AGTCTAAGTGGCCTCGGCAGCTGCACCTGTCCGGAAACACGTTTTCTGCCCTCTCTTTTCGTGTTCACGTTTAGACCAGAAGAAGCAGTCAAATTTGTTTGGGGCGCGACGAATAATTTTGTTTTTGGTGAAAATTATTTCAGCATATGTGAATTGAGCTAGTTTACAATTGAATTAAAACAAGCTAAATTGAAGCTAAATTGAGTTTCAAACAAAAGTCGCTTGCTCTTTTTAGAACCTGAGTTCAAGCTGAGTCAGGGTCCTGTGTCAGGTTCCTGAGTCAGGTTCCTGTGTCAGGTTCCTGTGCCAGGTTCCTGAATCAGGTTCCTGTGTAAGGTTCCTGAGTCAGGTTCCTGTGTCAGGTTCCTGTGCCAGGTTCCTGAATCAGGTTCCTGTGTAAGGTTCCTGAGTCAGGTTCCTGAATCAGGTTCCTGTGTAAGGTTTCTGAGTCAGGTTCCTGTGTCAGGTTCCTGTGTCAGGTTCCTGTGTAAGGGTCCTGATTCAGGCAGCGTATAGAACGGCTTTCAACATATTCGTTCGTCATCAAAAATTTATGAGAAAACATCATTTGCAATTCGAAAAAATCGTGATTCCCGATTCCTTCTATTAACATTTTTAACCTTATCGAGGCCCCGCGCGCTTAGGGAAACAACGTGAGTTGCGACTTGCGGACCATCACTTCGTTGATACATATATCAAACGGTCGAATTTGCATTTTGGCGGCCCTGGGTTGTGGCCTTTTCGACCTTTGGAATAATTTTCGAGTGTAAGATTTTTTCTCCTTGAATCAAGAACTTCTTCACTGCGGAATATCTTGTCATTATTTATTATAATTGAATTCTAAAATTATCAATTAAAAAAATTAAAGCAATTTTCGCCTCAATTTTTATAATTATGACACCCTTAAAAAAATTATCGAAAAGACGAGAAAGAGGATCCGTTATTTTGGTTTATCGATGTCTACCCCCTTATTGACATGAAAATATGAATGATTTTCGTTCTATTATTATTCTTGTTTTTCAAAAATATTTATCAATAATCTAATTATACTCGCGGTGTCTTATCGAATAGCAATCTTCCCCAAAACAATTTGCTTCAAAATACTTTTTGCAATTTTTGTAAAATTACTCCCTCCAATTCAAGAAAAATTCCTGAAGTTGAGCTCTTTTTTCGATGTTTTTGAAGACTTTCTAACTTTATTTTCGTTCCAGAGTTGGTTCTATTTTCAAGGATTACGCTTTATCGGAACTTGTTAGTTTTCGCGCCGAACGGTGAGTTCTTATCAGCGCCAAGCTCCTCGGCGGGATATGATAATATGATGCTACAGTAGTGCCATTACAGATGTGCGCTAGGGAGAAATGAAAATATGCGAAAGCATAGAAGTTTTTCCAACTGTGGCCTCTCTGACGCAACAGCGGTAGGACTATCGCGCTAAGGGTATACACACAGATAAATTTATCCACACAGGTGTTTGAGAAAAAAAGCAATTTTTATCGAAAACGGACCTTCTTTGAGTAATTCTATTTCAAAGGGATCAATAATGCTCAAATCATGTTTCGTTTTCGAGATTTTTTAAGGGTGTTTATGATTGTGATACCCTTATTTTAATCATTTTTCAATCAAATTTATCGGTAGACAAAGGACCCAAATTCTTTATTCCAATGTAAAATAAGGGTGTCACAGTGCTAAGATTTGAGTAATATAATGATAAAAAGACGAATAAAAGATATGTATACCCTTAAAACTGCCCGCGTGATTTGCTAGAAATGCGGCTAAGAAATGGAACTTTTCGCAAAGATTTGACTCAGATTGAATCAGTCGTGAATTTCGTCGCGGTGCGAAATTTTCTTATGCGCGATTGTGATTGCCTCGGACAACCGGTCGGTTCGGCGGTCCGTATCAGACCACGGGAAAATTGGGTTGTGGCTTGCCGTTGTTGCAACCACGTGCTACTGTAGTGAGAGACGGACTTTATTATCTCATATTCGGAAAGATAAAAGCTAAAATTCTCTATTTTTTCGACTCTCCCAATTCGCCAGTAGCCGCCTAACTCTTTCGGAAGTCGTTATCACTCCCGATGTTCCCAAATATTTGCCTCTTTACCGGTAGTCGCGTCTACAAAACCCTCTTTTAGCTAAAGCACTTTTATTCGCGAGACATGGTACGCAAATGCCAAATTCTAGCACCATCGCGACTCGCGAATTCTCGCTAAGCTCAAAATCGCCACCCGAATGAACTTGGGATAAAAAAAATTTCGGATCAGCGAGGGGATTAGCCCCGACGCGAAAAACGATCTCAAACGTGGACGAGCGTTTTAGACAAAATACTTATCGAGTCGCTTTTTTTATTTTTATTCTAGCGCCGAAGGAACGAGATTTCGATCGAATTACTTTTTCAAATATTTTTAAAAATTTTTTTATTGAAATTTTTTGGCGTAAAAAAAAATCAACAAAAAAAATTTTTGGTAAAAAAAGTCTTCATTTTTGGATTTTTTTTCTTTTTTGACCAAATTTTGATGACTATTTAATTTGAGAACACCCGTTTTCGCGTCACATTTTTAAAAAGTCGCTTCTAACCTGACGATAAAGTCAAGCCGTTTTCGCATAATCCCAATGTATTTGCATCATCAGTTGGATCGGAAACGAGCACTTTCGCGTGCTTCCACCACTTTGAAAGCTTCAACCTCGAACTTCGTCAGACTTGATCACGTGGGCTCCTTTTTTTCAACAACCTCACCGAGTTGCACCTTCTATGACCGCAAGTTACGAGCACTAACTCTCCAAATCCAAATTGGCTTCAACTTTTTTGTTCAAGTTTTGAAGCTTGGTTTTGTCTTTCTTTTTGTAGCTGCGGCGGAGGGGATGAGAAAAAACGTGGCACTAGAAAGTCTTTATAAAATTCACCACAGACGTAAATATGTTGGGAGGAGCGTAATTGGTTACGCAACTGACTTTTTCTCGATTAAAAATTCAAAAAATCTTTCCTCGAAGTCGGGAAAAAGGGAATTCTCAAGGGTATCTACCTGCGAAAACCAAAATTAACCAAGACGCCACTTGTCCCCTGATGATGATATAAAAGGGCCCCACTCTTAACCCAAGGCAGCCAGCCGAAGCTTATCGAACTCGGGAGTCATTATGAGCGCAAATCACAAAACGCACTTACTGCTAGAATTTTTGTCTTATCTAAACCTAAGGGTGCTTAGCTTCGTTTTTTTGCGACACGTTGCGGCCTATCTTACCACATGGACCATATTTTGACATGGGAATGATTTTGAAATCGTGATTTTTTTTTTAATAAATCAAATTAAAAAAATGTCACGAATGTCGCAAAAGTCACGAATGTCAACAGTTTTAGTATAAAAATAAATGACATTTTTCGGGATGGTGTCTGGAACCGACAAAAAATTTCTGTCCGGTTGCTGATTGGCCAATTTGCCGAATCCAGGTTTCTGATTGGTTGAAAATTTTCACGTAAAATTTGTCGAAATATTTTTGTCGGTTCCAGACACCTCCCCATTTTTCGACCAATAAGACATCTTTATTCTTGAAAATCCCTCACGCTATCTTTACCCTAACGGTTCGGGCCTAACCCTAACCCTACCACACGTGACAACGTTGACATTTTCAAGTGCACCCGAAAAGTATCCAAGAATTCATATGTTATTTGTACTAATGTCCGGAAATGGGCCAACTCATCCGAAAAGGCTTACTTATTTGACGCATCCGAAGTACTTCCGCATCGATTAAGCTAATTTGTTATTTTCAGGAACGCAAAAAAGTCCCGAACGAAACGAAACTTCAACTCAAGAAAAAAAAAAGGTAAAGTGGACAAATAATCAGGAAAATTCGCCGCAAATTACGTCGTCTTGCGGCTTCGTCTACGCGCCGAGGAATTTTGTATGCCAATATTTTCGTTAATAATTATCTAAAAAGTTAAAAATGGATGTTCAATAGGAGAAGCAAATGTACCTACGTTTGCAACACGCGAGGTTACCCGGAAGGACGCATATTCGGAATATTTTTGTCGGTTTCAAAATGCGGCTCTCACCTTTTTTAACGCGACCGCGGAATGATGTCTATTTACGTTTTTTCCGCTGGTGATTTCACTGCATCCTTTTAGACTTAATTTTAGTGGTTTGACTTTTGATCTGTCTGCCAGACAAAATAGGATTCGTATCTTCGAATATGTGAATCGTAAAACTAACAATAAGTCCTTTATTTTTATGGTCTTTTTCGTGTTTTGTCTGCCAGACAGCTTGAATGTCTATCAGACATAAAATTTCACGAATTTAACGAATTGAAATTTCTTTTTCAGAGTTTGTAGATTTATTTCTGGGAAACTGAAAATTCTAGAGCGTCATTTGAAAGATTCCCTCTAATTAACTTTTTTACTAAATCATATTTTTTAAGCTTCACTTCGCGCCGCTACCTCATCACTTCCCGCCGAAAACCGGTAATTTAAAATTTTCCAGCACTAACCCGCCAAGTCCAGTATTAACATAATTTGCAAAAAACTCGACATACCAAATTGATTGGATAACTCACAAACTTTATAACTGGCTAATTGACTAATTGAAATTTCCGGCGTGTCGTCATCTTCTAGAGCTAATACCCACCGCTGCACTTTTTTCTGTCATGTGTCGGTAATGGGTTAAGTAGCCATGTACACCATTGGACAGTTTGCTTCCGGTTTAGACGGTGGTTAACCACGGTTAGATGGCAGTTCCTCACGTGACCTTTTTGGAGGAAACTCTAGAATTTTATTTTGCACTGAATTTATTCGGGGAAAGGAGTCAGGCTTCCTTCTAAAACGCGGCAGTTTCCAGGAGCAAAAAAATTCCAAGCGACAAGTTCGCGAGTTCTTCATAGACTCATTCGGCGGGAATTCTTGGCTAATTTGTGAAATTTCTGCGAGATCTCGTCCCTACTCAGCGGCTTTTTGCGCAAGTTCGACAATAAAGAAAAAACGGCCTTGGAAGGGCCAGGAATGCCCCGAACGGGTTAGATAATAAATATCAAGGAGTTAAAGCACTTTTTGCGTTCCCTAGACAAAAATGCAACGGAAACCTCTTCGATCTTCACCAAACAAAGGGGACATTCGGAGCACTTTTCCGCGCAATCTTGGCACATCAACTTAAAATATTTATTTGCTTTCTTCAACCCTTCTAAAAACCTCTTTCTAAAGGTGCGGCAGTTTATGTTTAAAATTTAAAATTATATTTATGGTAATCATGTGAGAGGGTGTCGAGTGCGAGTTCTAGTAATTACCTGATGATTACATGGACGAAGGATCACGCTCACGGATCGATCGAAACAAATGTGGCAGGTTAAATCTGACATGATCTAAATATGACATTTTTGGAGTTTATGAAAATTCAGATGGCTTGGTGATCTGGTGATCTCGAAGGTTGAAATGACATTTTCGCAGCCAAATGTCTGTAAAAATGAACACATGTCCGAATGTATAGACATTTCGAAGACATTCGAGGCGAAATTGACATCAGAACAGTCTTTTAGACGTTGAACTTGTCTACTAGACAGGAGAAATGTCAATCTTTCAAAGAGACATCATTTCAACTACAATTGACTGTCTGGATGTCATCAAGAGTCGTCATCAGACTTTTGAGACATTAGAAATGTGTTCATGCACACTCTAAATGAGCGTACCTTGTAGACCAGGTCGGCAAATCCGCGTTCATTTTTCACCAGTTCCTGCCCGTTGCGTATCCTCTTCCTGTGCCTAGAAAGCTGGTTACGTAACTGAACACTCTTTTGGTGACACAACTCACCTGAGATCCAGTTGAGCCTTCGTACTCACCGAGTCGAATTGAAACGTCTAAATAACACGTGACCAATTCTCTTTTTTTTTTCCTGTCAAACCTTGTAGTTGCGCCCCTGTTTCGGATTGAACAGGTCTAATATTTGTATTCCCAGGTCTTGTTTCTGCCCCTCGAGCATGTAAAGCGGCACCTAAACATTTTGGAAAAAGTATTAGACCCTCGAACCGCGCGAAAATATACGGACATGGGTTGTTGTTATTACTGTATACCCTCTATATAAAACTGTGGACAGTCTCTATCTTTTTGGGTAAAGATGATAAATCTTCTCCGCCCCGCGCTAACGGGTTAATTGCTTGGGCGACCAAAAAGGTACTTCCGCGATTACCACTGTTGAGTGAGAGGGGTGGAGTTTTAGAAGGTTGCGTTACCTGATCGAAGGAGTAGAAGACGTAACACTCGGAAATGAAGCGGAATGTGGCTTTTGCCGTTCTCGGCGAATCTTGTTCCCATTGGTGTTCAACGGTTACAAAGGGCTTTTGAGTGGAACGCTCAAAAAGAGTGTCCAAACTCGTTTGGCAATGGTTCCTAAGATGATGTCCATCTGTCGCCGGGTGGATTTGTCCTTATTTAATGAATCATCGGTTAACCTTGGGAGCAGTGGAAAAAGGTTAAAGCGTTACCTCGTCGATTAGCAAAATTCGAATGCCTTGCTTGACCTTCTTCATTTTAGAGACCCCGTAGATTTCGTGATATTTCACGCTGAAGACGAAAATTTGTGTTAATCAAATCATCACGTTTTTTGGTTAGATAAGCCACTAGAAACGGTACTTTTCGGACTTGGGTTGATTTCATGATCGCTCATTTCGATCGCGAAATCGTTTTATTTTCGACTCAAAAACTCATATTGGTCGAAAAATGATTTGATGCGTTTTTTTCATGATCGCTCATTTTCGACTCAAAAAAGAAGGTGACGGCTTGAATCCACAAACTTGGAGCCGGAAGAGCTCCTGTGCTAATAAACGGGGTCTGCCCCTCCTCCTCGGTTCCAAAAGTGACAGAAATTTCAAACCCAATTACATAGCGGTCCCTCCGAGGAACCCCTTCCGACAAGTTAGGTTATCCCGCCCGTCAAATGGTTCACGCCGCTGCCATTTTGTCAATATGACGCGCGCTGCATATAATTATGCCATGCATGCAAAAAGAAAAACTGGGGGGCTTGGGAAAGTGTACTCGGTAAGAGGAGAAATGTTTCGGAAATCCAGCCGCGTGGCCGTCACGCAAATCCTTCTCCAGCTATGTCCGCTATTTTCCACTTCAAAAGAGGGAGAGAGAATCGAGTTGAATACAACTCACAGCAGATGCTCCTCTCAGACTACTCTTGCTAATCCTGGAATTAGAAAGTCGAAGTGGGGATGAGCTGGGAGATGAGGGCCAGGGTGAGTGGGATCATTAGCGCGGCGGCGGGCGCTGTGGTCGCCGCCAAAAGCATTCCCTCGACCGCTGTAAACAATCGATCTCTCGAATTTAACGGCGGACAACGAGTTAACCTCCTTGCCAGGAACTCTGATAAGAACTCGGCGGGGTACCTAGCTAAATACACCCTTGATTGCCTCTTCCTCGATTTCTGCCCAATTAGCGAAAAAATTCATTGTTTGATATGAAAATCATGATAAATCGCAGTTTGAACTGATAACTTCTACTCCTTTCTTATCAGCTCAGCGGGTGACGTGTTGAAATGTACCCATAAGAGCGGTGTAATTGATTGTTTGACGTTAAATGGGCCGGATCTGTCGGAGAGACAAAACATGGGTTAATAATTTTGATTGTGAAATAACCCAACGGTTCGAACTGATAAGATCCCAGCGGGTGACCGTTTCGATTAGAAGGGCTAACCTGTATGACAAGCTCATCAGTCTGGGCGCGTTGATAAATTCATTCGCAGTGCTCAAAGGGCATGAAAAATTGCGTTTATTCGAACTCAAAATTACGCCATCATCGAAATCTCTCACGAAAACTGGCTTTTTCAAATCCTTTCACGTTCGCTGTTGCAAATCGCTGCATAAAAGGTGTCGCCTTAACGTCGACAGGTTAAAATGCAACTTTGAACTTTCAATTCAAAATTTTCAAAGCGCAGAATTTTTGTAAATGCGCGAATTTTCCATGGGAGCGCAATTTGTACTTGGGCGTATTTTTCTTTTTTGGCTGGATTGGAACATCTGCTGGCACTAGAAAATTCACAACGCTCGGTGGTGATAGAATTCCCACTTTAAATTCGGAGCACCCATGTTGCCAGTACCGCGGAATTTCGCCCCGTCTGCGTTTTACAATTGATAAGTTAGAAAGTGCTCTGAAAGCAGCTTGAAGCTTGGATCGGGGCACCTTTTTTCGAGTCGAAAATCGTGAAGGATTAGTAGCGCGAACAAAAATAAGTTGTGTTAGAAAGTGTGTTATTCTTTGTGTCTGCTCGGTTGCGCGGTTAAGGGTATCCCTATCCGATTAGTAGCCTATCGAGTGAGTCAAAACACAACACGTTTTCACACACCTATCCGCTGGCGTTTGTGGAAATATCAACCCTTCACGGTTAATAATCATCTCGCTGGTTCCTCCTTGGCTCCCCGCGGGTGCACCTTAACCCTGGGGTCTCCAACCAAATTGGCACCTAAAGCAAGAAATTCAGAAAACAGAGCCCCCCAATTCCTGCTGAGCAGCCAAAAGACTCCGCCGGGTTCGCTTCTTGTTCAGGGAGAGGCTCGGAATTCACTCGCGACAAATGTTCTAACCCTCCAGTTGATCAAAAACTAGAGCGGCAAGCTTATTGAGCTGCTCGAAATTAACTCGTGGAAGACAAGCTTTTGGGAACTTTTCTGTGAGCGAAAATTTGCATGATGAAACTTTTATTTTTAAAAATCAATTTTTTTTTGACTCAAAACCTAGATACCACAAAATTGCGGAAAAAGTCGTCATGAGTTAATTTTTTAACCTGTTTTGAGAAAGATCTTCAATGTCAGCCTACAAGCGTCAAATGAGACGCTAATCGCTGAGGGGTTAAATTTGTTAACCCATCCTGACCGTATGTCCAAAAATTTGGGATGGTGTCTGGAACCGACGAAAAAATTCCGACAAATTTTGCGTGGGCGTCTACTCGGTTTGCCGAATCCAGGCTTCTGATTGGTTGAAAATTTCCAAGTAAAATTTGTCGAAATATTTTTGTCGGTTCCAGACACCTCCCCCAAAATTTGGCCAAAAATGATGATTTTGGCTCTAGAAAACTTCTCGCGAATCAACGGTGCATCACACAAGCCGATCTTTGGGGATCTAAGGAATTATCAGAATTCGGAGCCTAATCTGACATTTCGATAATATTCTCCGCCGGCGTGGTGCTGTTTGTGGCGGTGGCGGTGGTAGAAAGCGGCGCAACGGTGCGTACGACGTACTGCCCGAATTGCGGTAGTTTAGAGAGATAGGCGAGCGCAATGGAGATCTAAACAAAGCTACTAAAGTGGACGGTTTCAGAAAGAGTAAGAAAGTCTTACTTTGTGTGAGGACTCGACTTTCGCCGCGAACTCGGCGAAGAAGCTCTCGGGTATCGTTTGCTGCCCGTTGCGCCCAAGGCGAAAATCTAAAACGTTCACACTTTTTCGTTGTCTCAAGTTGAAGGGCAGAGATATCAGATTAAAATAGCAGTAGTCTGAAGAGAACGCTACTATTTGTTTGGTACTCAATCCTACAATCCGAGGACAAGATAAATTCTTCTTCCACTAGTTTCAAGAGGGTTTATCGAAGGCGGATAATCCATTGATAACAAATGGATAAAATGGGGGTTAATTTGTTAGCCTCTCGAACCTTCCTCTTCCTACACGAGCTTAACCGGCTCTAGAATCCTCAGAAAGGAACGTTACCGAGAATCTTTTCGTTCTCAGCTTTGGCGATTTCAGATTTACAATTTTGGAGGGCAAAATAAAGCTCGAAACGCGGAGTTATTTGAGATTAAATAGAAGAAAGCGTCTAATGCATGTCTCGGAAATAGCGCACGGGGCGAATTACACCTGTCGTGCCGTAAAGGGTTAATACCTTGTTCAATTTGACGTAAGAGGAATTCTTTTTCCTGTTTGCGGCGTGTCGCAAATTGGTTTTATCCGGTGTATTAAGCTTCCTAGACGCCTTTCCTTTGAAGTAAGCAGACTCACATCAGGAAAGTACTTCTGCCTTATGTACAGTAGCTCCTCTTGCTCCTGTATTTGCAGCTCCAGTCTGTTCCGCCCGTTCAGCCACTCAGTCGAGCCAGGAACTCGCTGCAAACCATAAATCTCCGCGATGGTAATTCCGAGCTCGTCGCAAATCGATTTGACCACATCATGAACCACAACATTCGGTCCGAATCTATACTCCCTCTTCTCCTCATTTGGAAGTTGAATTTCTAATTTACAAAACGGCGATTATTTTTACCCGGCGATGGGAAAATGAGGGGCGACTTACTCAATGTAAATTTATCCAAATTCTTGCGCCAAATACGTTCTTTTGCGTAATCTGCGAACTTAGTCACCTCGCCGCCGTTTTTCTTCATTCTCTTTTTTTTTGAATTAAGGGTATCCTCTTCCAAGTTAGTTTGATAGATCAAATTTGCTTTTACTGATGTCTGGTAGTGAATTGAGTCATTATTTGTATTGATGCAAAATCTTGGATTTATTTTGTGAATGTTTATTTACAGAAAGAATTGAGTCATAATTACAGTAACACGAAATAAGGCGAAATGCTTCGTGAAATTTCACTCGTAAAAATTGAGCTTGAAATGCATCAAGCTGGCGGTATTTCCGGTGTTGCGCGCCAGATTTGAATTTTTTCTATTTTCCCAGTTTGCTGGAGATATCGAATCTTGGAAAAATAGAAAAGAAGGGAAATGGAAATTAAAATGTTGCATGTTCTATCAGAAGTGCTTCGAGTGTGCATATGGACGGTGGAGGGTTAAAATGTACATTTTCGGTACTGGAGCCACGTGAGTACGTCCTCGAGGGTGGCTACGACTGCTCATGAATATGGCGAGTAAACATCTGCGTTGAATTTCATGATGCTTCCTCCTCTTCAGCGTCAGAAGTTGATTTGGGCCGCAGACTAAGACGCTTGACACGGGGTTAATCAAACATTAAGCCTTCGAGATAACAAGCTTCAATTAGAAATTTAGGGGCTTTTTCGCGATAAGAAAACGGATTTTTAAACTACTGTCGAAATTTCTCTGAGCAGCGAAATTGATTTCCACAGCTCAAGAAAAAGCACTTATCTTTTCGTTAATTCTTTTGCCCATCTTCTAAAGCCCGCTCGTCTTGAATAAAGAAACATGTGACAACTTGCTTGCCACAAGGTCGAATTCACCAAAAACAAATTTTGTAAAAAATATCTGCAACATGCACTACATCTTCTTTTTTCCGCTCAAATGTTTTGTTTAACCCGAATGTTCCTTTTCTGGATTTTCCAGCGTCGCCAATTCAGGCGTGTGAGGTCTAAAAAACGGTAACGAAACATACGTGCGTGTGAACCTGATACCTATGTACTCTTAATTGCGATTTGACCGGGCTCGAGAGATTGACAGAGAGCTTCCGGAGCTCGTGGACCGTCGGCGTTACTGACAAAGTGGCGACTTCGGGCGCGGAAGGCGATCGGCTTAACGTGTTTTTTATGGGTTAACCTATGCGCATAAATTGGCCATTTTTTCGTCACATCCAATTTCGAATCAGTTTTGCTCATCGAGAATAATTGCCAAGAAAATGGTCAATCAGTGCAAACAGGTTAAAATAATTTTACCCATAACCGTACCTGCTGTAATGACTAGGTCTTCCGAGCAAATCCGCCGGTGCAGAAACACTGAAACTCGCCGACTAAAATGCCAGGTGGTCAAAATGAATGATCAAAAAGAAATTTGAAATTCATTGTTGACTTTTAACCCACCTGGTGTCCTTTTTGTGGTGCGCGTAAATGTAACGGCGATGAGTTGTCTAAAAAGGGATGAAAGAACGGACACGAAAAAAAAATTCCTGAAGCGCTCAGGTGTTCAACCCTTCTCCTAAACTGCAACTGGCTGCGTTGAGGGTCGCTTGAGCCTGCTGAGCTTGATAGAAGCGGCTTTTCCTATCCCGGGCGTAGTCGTAACAGGCTGATTCGGCGGTTTTTCGGAAGACGCACATAAGGAGCACAATTCCTTTAAAAATTCACTCAAAAACTGACTTCAAAAAATCTTGTTTCTTACCTGTTGTAACACAGACCGCTGCCAAAACTGGGTAGAAAAAGGGAGGAAATTCCCCTCCATTAACATCCATCTTCTATCTTTCTTAGTTGAAGTATTCTCTTTGCTCACTCGCTAATTGAAAATTGGATCCAATCCCTCGCAGAGCAAATTTATTAATGGATCACTCCTTCCCTCTGGATCTGGATCTGCCTCTTTTAATTTATGGAAAAGTTTCTATTCTTCTGAGTCAATCATAAAAAGGTGCTAAGTACTCTGCTGAGTAATTGACCTTTAGACTCGTAACTTTCCATTCTTAACCAAATTAGACCGCCGATGATTTAATTAGAATCGTGATGAAACGAGGTTTTGTGTGTTTAAAATTGAGAAACTCAGAACGGCTACATAGGTTAAAAATAAACCTGCGATTCGTAGGGATGACAAGGCACCGTAATTACGTTATTTAATTTTCCATCTAACGAGGAAAAATGACAATGTGATCATGTGATTAAGTGGGAAGAAGGGGGACTTAGAAATAGAATAGAAAGTTTTGAACCTTAACCCATTATGGCACTTTGTCCAAAAATTTGTTGAGATGAGCCTTTTTCGACTAGAAAATGACTTTTTTGAAAATTTTTGAAAAAGAGAATCAGAAATTTTCTTGAACGAAATTTGCTTAACCCATTGAAGGAATTTTTCCAATCTTTTGGTTGGATATTTTTGAATTTATATTTCATAGAAAAGAAGGTTACAAAAGTTTTGTTTGAAAAGAACGGTGATTTTTTTGTTTGTTTTTCGGAAAACACATTAAGAAAACGGAGGATCAGTAAATCAGCACGGACACAGTGAGTGTTGTGTAGTGGAGTGTTTTTGTGAAAATGACTTTTGACGTTGACGCCACGTATCAGCTTGCGTGTGCGACTTGCGCACTCGATTTCTAGCGTCGCCGGGGAGCCTCGTTACATCGTTAATACTAAAGAAAACATAGTATGCTCATTTTGTCATCTTTTCATTAAAATTGCTCTTACCCTTGTACGAAGTAATTATCGCCACCGCTTTGTTTAATGGTCAAGATTCGAGCTTATTTAACACGTCGTTGGAAAAAGCGCAAAAATGGTAATAATCTCGACAATTTTCCTGAAGCGAGGGAAATGACTGCAACCTTTAACTTCTCGTTCTGATCAACCAGTTCGTCTATTCGTTAAGGGTGTTTAACTCGTTTAACTCGATAAGAATCGGAAAATTGAATTATCGCGTAATTTAACGTTTTCTTCGTAAACCATGGCGATAACCTAAACACCCTTTCCTCTCCTCTTTATCAGCCATTTTCGTTTTTCTTCGCTATCCGCTAAAAAAGGTGGGTTTTCACAACAACGAGGAAATAGAGAGATAACCTTTGTCGCTTACTACCCCCTCCCCCTTAAGCTCCTTTGATCAGCCGGTGATTTCGACTTCTAGCAACGTTCAAAAACGAAAATATCAATACAAATTTAACTCGATCTTTAATGACGGACATTTTAGGCCCTTTCTTTCGGATGCTCTTAAATTGCTAGACTTACCTAATTGACTCCTTTTCGCTTTGAGCTCAGCCTTCAATTCCTGCTTTTCCAGGCTCTGTAGATGCCGGTCCATCCTGAGATCCGATCTGATAATTTCTAGCGCCTCGTGAAGCCTAAACCACAAAATTACACCACCCTTATTGGCAAATAATCGCTCCCAGCCGCGCAAATTTGCAAATTACAAAACTTAAAATCAGCGAAAACAGGTTTTTTTCCAACAAAGAAGGTTTCCTTCTATATAGAATTTCGATTTTCTAATGGAAAGAAATTCGGAAAATGAGTACGACGAAAAGAGGGCCCTCTTTAGATTAGTGCGTAAAAATATCGTTTAGGATGAGCGCAGAGAGTAATTTGTAAAAATGAACGAAAAGTATGTTGCGCTAAGGGGACCAACTTTATTAGCAAAGTACGCCGGATTCCAGTTTTGGCTCGAATAAAGAAACAAATAGCGTAAACATGAGTTGTCATGATAAATGCGCCGCCAGGGGCTGATATTTTCTCTTTGAAAATATACTATTCGTGACAACTCATGAAAACTGTTGCGTAATCGAACTTCCCTCGAAAATCTTTTAGAAGCGTTCTTCTCCGACTAACCTTTCTCGCTCATCTAGCAGCACTTCGCTCCCACACAAGTAATCCGTCGCAACTTCCAAATTTCGCAACTGACTAAAATGATAAAATTACCTTTTGAATCCCATTTTTCCCCGCTTACCATAACTCGTCGAGAACATCTTCAATCAAGTCCGTATAATCTTCCTGTACCGAAATCGTCTGCAACCTGCTTTCGAGCAATTTACGCTCTAGAATCGCCACGTGCGGTCTAATTAAAAAAGAAATCATCCCCACCACTTGGCAAATTTAAAATTGGAGAAACAAAAAGAAGCAGCTTTTGGCATCTGCGATCTCACCTGACGTTAGAATCTCTCTCTTTCTGCTCAGGCATTCCTTTGGCCTTCAAAGTTCGAAAGCTCGAAAGGTCGATTTTCAGAAAGACTTTGAAAATTCTTCCGTTGTAAATTTTCGGGAAGGCTGATTAAAATCAGGGCAGAAGCTTATTTTTGGGGTGTGATTCTCTGGCGACCACCTCAAAGCTTAGAGGAACTACTGATAAGCTCAAGCGAGGTGATAATGGAGCATCGCTTTCTACGAAAAATCCCCTGGATAAGCGCAAGAAATCGAAAACAACCTTGATTTAGGGTTATTTCGACAGGTGCGAGCGGAAAATCAGGGCTCTCGAGAGCGCTGCTTTTGTAATCCTTCTTTTCGACGTTCTTTTTTTTGAAAGAAAGCCTTTTCCGCCAAAAAGGCTTACTCATCACTTTCGCCAAAACTGCCAAACAATCACGTTGTTTAACACTAATCTTTGCGAAAATTTGGAAAATTCACTCAATTTCGCTCGACAGTCTCGGCTAGTTAGCTCCTATCAGCGTTCACCTGCTCCAGAAACAAAAAAAAGACCGGAAAAGCGCGATGTTGTTGTTTTTTTAGAGCCTGTTGATTTACAAGCTGGGAAGAAGATATTTCGACTCTTCTCACTTCTTTCAACAAGTTTTATTATTGAGCGACGTCAGAATGGGCTTAGCGAGGGCTGTGAAGAGGGTTGACTGTAGTTGACTGAGGTGAAATATCTCTTTTGATTATAAAATCAATTGAACCATCAGGGTATCAAATTCTGATAATCAGGACCCTTTCATAGCGCTAAGGGGCCCCTCCTTATACTTGTTGTTATCGGTAGGGATACCCTTAAGTCTCTGTAAAAGCATCTAAAAAAATTCAAGACGGGAAGAAGTGTGTTCCACTAAACATTAAATTTCAAGCGAAAACGTGTTTATTTGAAAAGTTTTCGAGCGATCTTCCGGTAGCCGTACTTGATACTCCCTCCGCGAGTAGTTCCTACAACGTGTCATCGTCTTTCGACTCATCGTTTCCGTTATTTTATTTTGGGACGGTAGTAAGACTGGAAGGAAGTAAGACTGAACGTGTTTGGCACATGGCATGTCTTCGCTGGTTATGTTCGCGTTGAGTGCTAAAAAAGAAGACGAGTTAGCAGAGCTCGCGCCAAGGGGTTAACCTGCAGTCGCCACGATGACTCATCAGGATGGAGACCCGCTCGTCGAAGTTTTTGATGTTGATCATGTTTGTTTTCTTGTCAATAATTTGCTGCTTTTTCCAGATGATGTACTAAGATAGAAAATTTAACCTGTTGGGGAACAATGGCAAATTATGTGCCCCTTTTTTGTAAAAGTTCAAAGATAATTGATAATTTTTGCGTTCAAAAAGTGTCAAAGAGGATTGACATAGGATTAATCCTCGCGAAAATCGTAAGAATACTTTGGTTGTACAAGATTTGTACTTCTAACCCTCGCGGGTTAAAAATCATAACAATACAAATTGTATTATGTTGACCATCACCGCATGGCATGATCACCGTTGTAACAATAAACTTGTGATTTTCTGATTTTCTTGTTGTTTCCGAAAAAATCTCTTTTTAATAATCCGCTTTCTTGGACCGTTTGTTTTGGAATCATTATTTTCTTGCCATTTCCGGGAGGCTGATTTAAAAGCAATGTAGCGGTACGTAAAGTATTATTACAAGAATTTTAAAAAGCAGAAAAAGCAAAAACACGTTTAGAATCAAACTGGCAGGATTAGTGTCACGCGAGCGAGCACTTTTTTGAATGTCGTAATAAGGGGATGAGAGTCTCACTTTTCGCGTGCCGTAATAGAAGAATGCGAAGAGACACAGGCAGCACCATATAATCACGCCTAAATGACTGTATTAAAATGTTCTTTAGAGTGATTTTTCTTCACCTTTTTTGTCGCGAAGTGATTTGAATTTAACTTCTCTTGGTTTTGCGAAAAAATCCTCCGGGATGTTCATTTTGGCCTTTTTGGAAGTATTGTGATTTAATTTGGTTGTTCAAATCCAGTCGGGAATTAAGAGAACAGTAGCTTAAATCCGTGCTGGATTACGAAAACTCCGCAAATTGCATCCATCGTTATCGATTTGCGCATCAAAAGTTCACAATTTTCTCCTTCCCGCGGATTTAGCCCCGCTCTTTCCGAGTTTTCTTGTTATAAATCGAAAGTTTCTCTAAGCGCTAGAATTTCAAATTGATTCCATTTATTATGCCGAGAGCTTGAGCCACCCAAAATTTTTCATGCAAAAAGGATTAATGGAAAGTCTTATTTTTAAAATTCTGAGTTTTCTGATTTATCCAATCAATTCGACGGCACCTCAAAAATTAAATTTCAATTTCTAACTGTTTCTTTCAGGGAACTTTCAATCAATCCAAAACATTAACGAAGAACCTGCTTCTTGAACAAAAGGTAAAAGATAATAATTCAACAAATCTCCTTCCTCTATATCAACAATGAAGAACCTTAATTTTAGAAAAAAAAAATATTTAACTTATCATCGAGTTAATTATTAAGGCTTCATATCTCTTTTTTAGCGCCTTATATTTTATATTTGAAGATAAACTTTTGTTTTTTTTTTAATTGAAAACCTTAAAAGAGAAACCTCATAAAATGATAAACCTCTTTTTCTATTTTGGTAGTCTATCAATCTTGCATCTCCAAAAACCAACATCTTTTCTACATTACATTTTCGCTACCATCAATTTTAGAAGTCCCCTAGTTGACTTTTCTCTTGGCGAGTATTAGGCCGAAATTTCTCGTAAATGGCGCGTTGTGCGTGTATGATAGCCGGGGTAAAAATTCCGCGCGCTCTCAGTCATACAAATTACGGCCGCAAAAGTCAAATTAGCAATAAATAGCCACCAGCGGGGGTCCACCATGGTCAGTGTGTGTAGCATTTGCGGAGCGCTTTGCAGCAGGCTTGATCATCTCCTCGCCTGGGTAATTTGGACTCGCAGATGGACAATCCCTACGTGGATCAACAGTACTCTGGAACTGTTGTGAAGACTGTAGAATAAACAGTAATTCAATAAGTGTGAACCTGAATTCGTGAAAGTTCGCGCGGCGCGAATATTTTTTAGAAAGCGGCGCCGAGAATTCAAATTTTCGCTAGACAAACCCTAGATATGCACTTTTCCATTCAGCAGTCGTGCTCTTTGAGCTGCCATTTTTACTCAACGGGGCATCGAGCTTGGCCCGATTTACTTTTTGATAAGTCGTCGTTGACTTTTCCTGCGCTTCACACTTTTTGGGTCAATTTTTGAAGCAATTTCAGAATTTCAATAAGAAAGAATTTTCCTTAGGCGAGCAAATAAACGATTCCTTTTGCGTAATTTCGCGAGTTCCGGGGATAATCCAGTCGTTTCGAGGCCGAGAAAATCTGCGCGTGTATATTTTACTTTGCATATTCGTCCAGCTTGTACCTGCTCCCCAGCGTTGCCCGCAAATTTAAACACCATAATACGTACTCATACTACCTCGAGCACAAACTCCCGCTATCTTCAAATACGGCGGAAGTGTGCCCTTCCCGATATCACCCCGATAGTCATCTGATTATAATTTCTAAAGGCCGCTTCATCCTTTTTAACACTGTCGCTGACCTTCTCCCTCGCTCTAATATTTTAACTCTCGCTAATCATCATTTTCCAGGTCAGAGAAGCTCGCTAAACATGCTGCGGTTCATTACCGCAGTGGGCCTCTTCCTGAGCCCGACACTTGTTCGCTCCACAAATCCCGAGCCGTGCATCAACTCCTTCACAGATGTCGCTTCAAATGCAATTGCTCGCAGCGTGTTTACTCACTGCATCGACGTTGATGCTGCTGCCGAGCGACATACAAATGAAGACATTGAAATCACCGATCCATTGACCACCGTGCGCAAGTACTGCCCCTTGAGCATTTCGACCAAGATGTTCCACTCTGCCTTCTACGAAATCCTCGCCGCCGGCTGGGCAACTCCATCAGACGAGGCCCCTCCAAGGTAAGAGATGACCTCTAAAAATAGATACTTCGCGCAAAAGGAGGAAAGTTCTATTCCACTCTCGAGAGTGCAACGGTGCTATCCACTTGAGATTAAAATAAATTTCCAATTCGCTTTTTCTTGTCTCGCCACTCACCGTAAAATTTCAGCCGATACAACGCCATTGTTGGTCTCACCAATCTCGCCAAGAAGGATCACATGAATCACGAGGCCCGACGAAAGCTCGGAAATCTCCTTTCTCACATCTACCGGGAACACCTCCACGATGGTGGACATTGCTTGACCATGGAGGATAGAAAGGCCGCAATCGAAGATATGGAAACCACTCTTTACAAAGTCCGCAACATCGTCGGATCGATCCAGTACGCTGACTTGCTTTACTTGAAAAACACCTACAAGCCAGTTGTCACTCTTGAATCGGAAGATGACATCATGAATTTGAAGAAATCCGGCAACGCTGGTGACGGTTCATCCGCTGATCACCTTCGAATCATGCTCGACAAGCCTTCCGCGGTCTACATGTCCCTGACCAACGGTGCTCCCAACTCCGCCTTGATCGTCGGAGAAGACAACCAAGAAATCGATCTCAATCTCCTTTACAAATCTATTCTCAAGGACACCACCCCTGGTACTGTTCTTTTCCTCGTGACTGGCGCCGAATTCCCCGTCGACAACCCACGACTTGTCAACATCATCGCTGGAAACGCCCAAAACAAGAATATTCTTATCAACGTCGTCCTTCTCGATCCAAAATACGTGACTGATGTTTCGAAGATCATGTACAACACCCTTGCCCTTTCTACTGGCGGTATGATGTACGAAACTCCCCGACGACAGGCTTCCGATCTCATCCCCGTCATCGAGTCTCGATTCCAGCCAGATCAGGTCACAATCGTTCGAAACCAGCGAATTCCCGTCACTGGCCGAGGCAACTCCATCGTTGATATTCCAGTCGATTCCACCATGTCCGAGCTCATCTTTGAAGTCTTCTGCCCAAGCCTCCAGTCACTCATGATCTACAACCCCCGATATCGTCCACAGAGAGACATCGAAACCCTCGTCGCCACCCGAGAACACTACTTGTATTCCATCAAGAACGTCGAGCCCGGCAACTGGCAAGCTCAGGTCAAATGCGATACCGATTTCTACATCGAGGTCCGTGGTCAATCCCCTGTAGACTTTTTCTTCACCTTTGCCAACACCAACGGCGAATTCAAGTCTACGTCTCCATTCGGCCTCAACCCTAAGGGATCCCTCAACGCTGATGAAGAATCTAAATTTTTGTTGGTCCATTCTCTCGGTGTTGAAAATGTAGAACTTCAATCCGTCCAGTTCAAGGATGAAGATAAAATCTCCGATGATCGAGTTTCCCCACTTTACCTCGTCGAATCACTCGTTTCCGCCTTCCCGATGCCTCTTGAGAGCGAATCACTCGAACAAAAGACTTTCCAAATGGCTAAAATCGAAGGAATTGATCAATCTGGATTCCCAGTTCTCCGAACACACGTGATCTTCCCATCCAAAATTCTCCTCCTCACTGAGCTTGAAAAGACCGACTTCCTTCCAGGCGTCGATTCTACTGTCACAGTCCGAGTTACAAACGCTTACCGAGAAATCGACCTTGCTGCTAATGATTTCGAAGATTGGATCGTCAATATTTCACCTTCTAAAACCTCCAAGACCTACTACACTGATGTTGTCGTGACTATCCGACCGCCAGCGAACACTGAACAAGGCAAGATCTCGTCCGTCACATTTACCGCAACCGCAGAAGAGCAGAAGGTCCTCCTTGGTTCGATCACTTTCGACGTCGCCGCTGGACAACGAGCCAAGCCCACAATCGAGTCTCTGCATATCGATACTCAGATCAACAACAAGTTCGCCACTACTTCCATCAAGTCAAACATCCGAAACGATCACCCAGAGCCACGAGAAGCTGTCTTTGACGCTCTTGTCCCACCAAACGCACTCATCACCGGTCTCCGATTGTTCATTGGCGAAGAAGTCTTTGACTCTGAAATCTACCCCGCCAAGGCTGTTGAGAAGAAACCAACTGATAACAAGTCTAAAATCACTATCAACCCCCACCCAAGTGAAATGATTAAGGGCCACAGCCCCGGCGGTAATCTCCACGGACTCAGCGCTCCCCAGATTCTCCAACGAGACGCTCACCGATATGAAATCAAAATGAACATTGACTCCTGGGACAACGTCACCTTTGAACTCACCTACGAAGAGCTTCTCGAGCGATCTCAGGACCGATACCAGCACTGGGTCAGCCTCGCCCCCTCCCAAATCGTTCCAGACATGAGCACATCGATTCAAGTCAGCGACATGGGCGGAATTAAGTGGATCCGAGCTTTCCCACTCCAATCTGGTTCTGAGTCATTCCGACCAGGTTCTGATGCTGAAATCAAATGGGAAAAGGGAGATGAATTCGCAGAAGTCAAATACGCCCCAAGCGAGGAGGATCAACACAGCTTCAGCCAAGACGGTATTACTGGCCGACTTATGCTCGTCTACGATACAAACCACGAAAAAGCTTGTGATGCTATGATCCAGAATAATTTCTTTGTCCAGACCTGTCTTCCACCAAAGATCATGCTCAAGTCAAACGCTCAGTCAAGCTCCACTGCTCCTTACAATGTTGTCTTTGTCATGGACAAATCCGGTTCCATGATTGGCACGAAATTAGATCAGACCAAAGAAGCCTTCCGATCCATGATCTCTTCCCTCGATCGAAACGCAAAATTCTCCATCGTCGGTTTCAACTATGCCACTACCGCTTGGAGAAACAAACTCGTCCGAGCTACCAACTACAACGTCGAAGAAGCCCGATCATTTATCTCTAGAATCTCTGCCGGTGGCGGAACCAACATGCACGCCGCTCTTCTTGATGCCATCGAGCTCTGCAACTCCGAATCCTCCTCAACTGTCCCATGCATGATCCTATTTATGACCGACGGAACCCCAACTGTGGGAGTCACTGAAGAGTCGCGAATCCTTTCGGATGTCACCAAATCCCGACAGCAAGGAAATGCCAACATCGCGTTCAATGTAATCGGATTTGGCGCTGGAATCAGCTACAGCTTCCTTTCTCGCTTGTCCGTTTTGAACTCTGGTATCGCCCGACAGATCTTTGAAGACACCAACGCTGCTTTCCAGATGCAAGGATTCTTCGATGAGGTAAAAACTGATGAAATTTGAGCAATTTTCGAGCTATTATTTTAGGTCATGAAATTCACCGACGCCCGACGAACAATGAAATCCGTCCAGTTCATGTACTCTGATGACTTCCTTGACTCCAACGAGACCACATACGATTCCATCGACCAATCCCAGCTCGGCAACGGCCAGGAATTCACCTTCGCCGGCAAAATCAAAGAGAAGGTCCTCGGCACATTCAAAACCGTCTCCAACGACTTGAAAATCATCGACCCGAACGGCGAGGAGCGAATCATCGAGCAAAAATACATCGTATGACACTTTTTTCAATCTCTTGAATTTTCACACTTTTTTCGTGAAAATTAGCGGCATTATGTATAATCGTATTTTTCAGGTCAACGAGATCATGAGCCCTGTCAACCTCAAATTCGCCGGCCGAAAGGATGAGAAGAACGTCAATTTGAATCTGGCTGAGAGAATTTACCGACTCCAGGTCATTAAGCAGCTTATTCGCGAGAGACACATTGCTCACACTGCTGAGGACTTCAATGAAGGTAGAAAGATATCCTCTTTTACGGTAATCTAACTAACTTTCAGTGACTCGAAAGCTGATTGCTATTTCCTCTGGCAACGAGCACGTTTCCGCTTACCTCTCTCCCGTCATGTCCATGTCTGTAACTAAGCCGCTTCCAGGCAATCGCGCCCGTCGATCGTCCGACTCCTTCGAGGAATTCGACCTCAACCTCAAGACGCAAGTTCAACACGTGGTCCAGTACGAGTACCGAAAGCTCTGGTGGAAGAATCAGGTACACACTTCACTTTAATTAAAAAACACGCCGTCGCGAGCCGCCTCGATCTCAAGAATATTCAAATTTTCGTTTCAGGCGCCTGAAGAAAATGTGATCGAAATGGACGCTCCAGAGCCATCGATTGCTTCCGTCTCTGGTCTCCCAGCCCTGTTCAATGTCAACCTTCGAAACAGCGCCTCCCCCGCTTGTTTTGACATTGGTGGACGATCCGGAAGCGAGTTCAATATTCTCAAGGACGATACTGTTGGCATTGCTGTTTCTGGAAAGGCTGCGCTCGACAAAGACAATCAGGTAAGAAGAAAATCCTTCTTCGAACCCTTTTCATGCTAAAAATTTAGCTGTACTTTGATCAAGTCCGAGTGAAACTCGGATCTACAACGATTATCGTCCTCGCTGGTGGTCAAATCCTCAAGCAAACCTTTGACGGCGCCATCTATCGACTCGAATCTGACAAGGTAAAAACCGATTCTCTCTTCCTCCACCCTAACTGATTTTCTAGATGATTTTGGTAAAGGACTGGCAAGTGCGATCAACCGGCTCCGACTGCTACCTCCAGTACAAGGATCAGATCCAGATTCGACTCATTTCTGATGCTTCTTCCGTTGGTGTTGAGCTCGTCAGCTACGAGGTAGTTAACAATATTTAAGTTTGTTGAAAAGCTTGATAGTCAATTTTAATGAGCATGTTTCTGAATGTTTTTTTTCAGGACGGAAACAGCCTCTCAGCTACCGGTCTCTTGGGTCAGTTCGCCTCAAACAACATCGCGTTGGATCAAGCTCAGGCTAATTTGATCACTTCCTCCTCGCTCATTCCAGTGGTCACCCGGGAAACTTCCAACGGACAGGTAATTATTCAAAACACGCGTCTTACAATTATAAAGCCATTTTCATTCAAACTACAAATTCAACCAAAATACAAGGTCAACTAAAATAATCTCTTTTTCTAGTGCTGGTACACGGACGATTACACGATGAAACTTCTCGGCCGACGATACTCTGATTACATTAATTAATTAATTAATTAATTTAATGATTTTATATCCACCGCCGGAGATAATTTTTGTACTGCTTTTGTGTATATTTAAAAAACTAACTTACAATAACTCGACCGGACAAAAAAGACCAAAAAGCGACAATACAACAGCGCCACCACGCGACGACCAAATCAAGCCCAAATCACGAAAACTGCAAATTCAAAAAAAAAACAACAAAAATTCCCCCTGTACATTTCACAGTTGCTTTTTAATAAGCCTTGATTCGATGAAAAAGTCAAAATGAAAATTTTCAAAAATCAAGAAAAAAAAATTCGAAAGATCCAAATTTTCGATGAAAAAAGCAAGTTATTCGCCGCTCAAATGCTGATTTGTAGGTGTGCCCAAACAATTTTAACTTTCTGTACATCAACTCAATAAAATTGCACTTTCACATAATCTTCTGATTTTCTCATCTTTTCAAGAGAGAAACAGGTTGTTTCAAGATATTTTTATTAAATAAATATTTTTTCAAATTGTATAAAAATCGCCTAGAAAAGTACAAAACCTCGTGTTCTTATATGTTCGCGAAGTGTCTCAGCGTCATATCTCCATAAACTTCTGGCGCTTCGGCAACATCGATGAGTCCTTGGAGATAGATTTGAGCAGTTTCGTTGTATTCTTTCATGTCCGGGTGGGTGATCGTAACGCAGAGTTTATCAGTTGTCTGGAAGAGCAGCCCGTACTCGTAGGAATTGATCCACTTGTTGCCAGAGCAATAAAGCTCGCGAATTTTGCCGAAGCTGAATTCTGTGTCGAATTTGTATTTTCCGACATTGGAAAAGTTAACGCTACCGTCTTGAAAACATCTTTATTAAAAAATAAAGAAGAAAGAATTTACCGATATGGTTATTTTCGGGTTTCATTTGTGCTGCCTCCATAAACGCTCCAACCATAAAAGGCTCTTGGTTTTCAAGTTGCTCGTTGATTTCTTTTTTGATTCGTTTGGCTACGTCGACCATCGTTTCGCTAAAGTCAGCTTTGGGATTAATGCTTCCGAGTCCGATGTAGCATGCTACAACAGTGTTCCCAAGCTTCTGAGGAAACCGATCTCGGAGATTGTAGTCAATGTCCATTTTCAACTCGTTTCCGAGTTTTTGCTAGAAAGAAAAATCAACGACGAAAGAAAAAATCGACTTACAATGACTCGAGAGTTGACAAAATTGAACGCGGCCATCAAAAAGTGCCAATCGTGATTCCATTCTTTCGACAAAAATGAAGAAGCTTTTTGCTGCCTTCTGGAGTTCCTTTTCCGATCGTTACATTTGTCTGCTCGGGATTTCGCTTTTCGAACTTGTGATGAGGAACGATGTTCTTGAATTCTTTCTGCTTGGCGAGTACTTTTTCCTAAAATAAGGCTGGGTCGAGTGATAAGACTTTGCGCAGCGGGTCAGGTCCCACATGGTCTAGGGGTTAGGATTTCGGATTTTCACTCCGACGGCCCGGGTTCGATTCCCGGTGTGGGAGGACTTTTTGAGTACTGTTAGTACCTTGTAGTTATTTTGGGCTTCTTTGGTCAGTTCTGGCTTGAGTTTTTCGGCTTGAACGGGATAGACCTCGTCCAAAATCGCAGATTGATGCGGCTTTTCGTAGAATTTCAGAAGGTCGTTGAGAATGATCATCATTGCTGTTCCATCTGCGAGGGAATGGGGAATCGTCACTAGAATCAAATAGAAAACCGGACAATGTCCATCTTACCTAGAATTTGAATTGTCAATCCTTGTTCGCAAACAGTCAGTTCCGCGAATTTCGCATCTTTGTTCGAGTGAAAAATCAGCTGATCTACCATTTCTTGGCTCTGTGTTATGTCCAAATAGGTTGGCTCTGTATTTCCTTTGACTGTGGAGATGAAGCCGCTGCACCATTTTGCGCGTAAAAAGGGATGAGTCTGAAGGGTCTTGTACCAGGCGCCGGTCATGGTTGATCGGTCGAGAGGAGTGTTGAGCTCTAGAATTGCTGCGTGGCAAACTGAAAGCCCAGTGTAGTTCATTGCAAACTCGATTCCCATGTTGTCCTGGTCTCGACATGAAGCTGAGCCGCAGCAGCATAATGCTCTTGGGGGAAAATTTTTACGCGTAAAAGTAGAAGATTCTACCTGACACATCCACCAAAGCAGCAGCCACAATTCATCTTTCTCTTATTTAATTTCTCGCTTATCTGATTGGCATAATGTGGAAAAACTCTTTCTGAAATGAGTTCTAGAGAAAAATCAATGAGTGGTGAGTCTTTGTTATTTTCAGCTTTTAGCTGGACAAAAGATCGAACTGGTCAAATATTTACAGTTTTATGAAGATGACTAACGAGTTACTGCCGATAAGGAGTCATAATTTGTTCATACCGAAGTTGATTTTTTCTCAATACTGTCAACAGCTTCCAAACTGACCAACAGGTGAAACAAAAATAATTGGATTAAATATTGTTTCACGTTTTTCGTAACCCTGCTCTGCGATAATGTGAGTTCCAATGACGTTTTCTTCGGAGTCTTTATCAAGGATCAAAATTTGAAAAATGGGGAATAAAATTTTATCTTTATTGTTGAAAAATCAACACATTTCTGACCCTTGCACTAGTTTTATTTTTTGAATCGGACGAAACTCGTCTTGGGTCATAAATCTAGGGAATACAAAGATGCTGTTGTCCAATTTAATCGCTGACGGAACAGATACTGCCTAGAATAAAATCAACCAAACTTTTCAATGTCAAAAAATGTTAAAAAAGAAAGATCATTTTACTATTGAAAGGGAGCCGACTAAAGACCAGTTATCGTTGAACAGTTGCCAGATTTCATCGTATCGTTCCCATTTTCTGCCATTTTCTTCCCCTCCGATTGTCAAAAGTCTCCCGTTTGCAAGCCCGATAGCAGAAAACCCTTGAATTTTATTTCTAAATTTTTTGAAATATAGAATACTTTGAATTTTTTACCTAGGATGATTCAAGCTCGGCATAATTGTCCATGTATCTCCAGACAACTTCTCGACTTGTCCGTTTGCTCCTTGTCCTCCGATTGCGATCACATGACCGTTGTAGAGTCCCAATTCACCATGTTGGTGTTTTATATTTGTAATTAAAGCCTTTGTAATTCCCTCTTCATTAAAGACCTCACAAAATCTGCGAGTTGAACCATCGAAGCAAATGATCGCTAAAAGAATAAAATTGGCATCGGTCACAATGAATGACCTTTGGTTCGCCGGGATTTTCCCCTCACCCTCGGTTCGCCGGGACTGTTTGGCTCAAAGCCCGGCGAACGGAGTATATCCGGTCACAATAATCAATATCACAATGTACATTTTTGTTCATAATTTTTACTAACCTTCGTTTCCTTGTACGGAAGATATAGCCGAATGGCCGAAGTAATAATTAAGATAAAGACGGGTGCTCAATTCTGTGAATTGGCAGCCATCTAATCGCGCAATCTATTTACAATGTAATAAGAAATATTCATTTTTTAAAATCTTTGTTACTCTGGTAGTTTTTTTATACACTCCTCCAAAAATATAAAGTCGCCCATTGACCAATGCATGTCTTGAATCCTCAACGTATTCTGCAAGGCATCCGTTGTAGTAATCGGCAGGAGTCTTGAAGAAAACATTGTTGATTCTCGACCCATCGGGCATCAAAGCGTAGGGTTTAACAGCGCACGAAGGATAAGGCAATAAAATATTTATTTGGGATGCGTGTTGTATGCCAACAAAATTTCGTATTTTTGTAACGCTGTCCAACTTCGAAATGCGAACCTTTTTGTTTTCGACATTTTCAAGTGCAGAAAATTTTATTTTCTTATCACTTTTGATTTTTGGAATGCGATTCTTTTTCGAGCTTTAATTAGAACAAGAAATAAATATGAAATATAATAATAAATGACATAATTTAATAAAAAATATCTTCATATTAAACTTTTCCTCAAAAACTTCGAAATTTGACGAGTTCAATGATGTTGAATTAAAATTAAATGCAAGATCTGTTGATTCTAATCCATTCGTCTGAAAGGACAAGCGTTCTTCAAAATAATCAGATGTCACCCAAAATGAGCCATTTTCATATATCCCAAAAAGGAGCAAAGTTGTTGCATCAAAAAATTTGCACTCAAGAATTTCCATAGCCTCGCCAAAAGCTTCGGTCACGTTGATTTCGAACACAAATTTATCAGTGCCATCAAATTTCATTTCAATGGTTGAGATGTGGGTCAATTCTTTGAGCGAGGAAAAAGGATAGTCAGGGACAAATGTTTTCTTGTAAAAGACGCCTGGAAATTCTTCCTGAGAGACAGCATTCTTCGCGAAAGCAGGAAAGACATCATCGTGGAATGCGAAGAAGGGATTGCTCGTCACGTGCATTTTCTGTTGAGCATTTTGTTGGACAAATTCGAGCTCTATACGTTCTTAAGTGGATTTATTTCAAATCAATATTTTGCTGGTCTATACTTGAGAGCATAGAGGTATGTGATTCCACCAAATGTTAGTTGAAAATCCTTCCCAAAATTAAACTCCATTTCGAATAAAACATCAAAAACATAATTCTGAAAAAATATTTTCTCGTCGTGGATGATTCCGTTTCCAAAGTACTCGCATTCGTCGTTGTTGACTGCAACTTGATCCGTATAGTGAGGATCGTCCGAGGCAAATAGTTCTGAATAACAGATTGATTGTTGGTCGTATTCGATCAGAGAGCCGATCCACTCGCGACCGAGAACCAGAAATTTTCCTTCTGCCTCCAGCAACAACGAATACAGAGTATTTGAAAGCTGGATACTTCTTGATACCAAAATTAAAAGAAGTTTTCCCAGATCGGTCTTTTTCAAGTTCAAAAGAATAGAGATCAATCTTTTTCAAGACTATCTTTTCAACTATTGCCAGAGGGACGACATGAACAGGGTCTAGGTCTCTAAACTCTGTCGGGAAGTGAATTTCTTTCTTTCTCCACCCTTTCTCCAGTTGCTCGTCTTTTCGAATCCTGTTCAAAGAAACTGTTGTTGACAGCTTTATGAAAAAGTCGCCCAGTTGAACACTAATCAGATAAAACACTCCTCTCAAGCTTGTTGAAGAAACTTTTGCGTTAAAGTGGTTACTGGCAATATAACCTTGAGCCTCTTCAAATCGATTCAGGTTGTAATCTGGAGCATAATAGTAGCATTTATCGACTCTGCCAGTTGGAGAACTTGGTATGGGTCGGTTAAGGATATAGCCGTTCTCAAGGCACTTTTGTAGCGCCGAAATGGGACGATAAAATTTTTTCATTTCAAGACAGTTCCTACCTAAAATCGTCTGTAGAATTCAAATCTGATGTTTTTCAAAATTTTTTTTCAGGAAAATTTCTCTCTAGAGCGATTTGAAATCTTACGATCACTTTTTCTCGAAAATTTTCCATTAAATCGCTAAAACTAAACCGTGTATTATAATAAGAAACTATCAATCTAGCTTCTTAGGGCTTCAAAATTTCAAAACTCGACCAAATTTATATTCTAGCGCCTTCTTCTATTCAATCTCTTCTTCTTTCTCGTTGATGATTCGCTCGCGCGCGACCAATCAAAGAGCGGTGAGAACTCTCGTGGAGGAGAGGCCCATTTTCATTTTTTCGAGAGAAACTGCGAGAACTTGCAACGAAACCGTGAACACTATTTATTTTTTTACCATACTACTATTTATATTAGAAATTTAACAATTTATAAAATATGCTCCCCAAGAAAACAATTCAATTAATGATACTTTTTTATCCAAAATCTGCTGTTATATTCAATTAATTTTTAAAAGATTCGTAAAATTTACGATAGCTGTTATTATTAGAAATGATCACTGCTTCAAAAACACGCGCTGGAGATCGTCATGGAAGAGAAAAACTGTTTTCCAAGGTTTGTTACGCAAATCGTGCAAATATCCAGACAAATTGTTCTTTCAGTGAGATGTCTCCAGAAGAGAACCAGTCAACGGAATACACTTCAAATGAGCAGGTTTCAAGTTTGGATCCAAGTGAGAGCCCTAAGACGGTGGAAAATGACTCTCGAAGAGGTAAATACATCTTAACATAATTATCCTATCAATATTCTATATTTTTATTGCTTTATCTTCAAAGGCGTATCTTCAGAACCGCAGCAAGCACTCCATGGAAACTCGATTCTGACAGAAGAAGAAGATTTTTCAACCTTCAAAGTGTGCGACAACAATAAAATAAAGCGAGCAACAAACCTTCAAAAGGCGGCTTGAGAAGCCAAAATCGAACTCGTCGAATGGTATGTCTTTCGAAAATGGTGCATACAAGATGGACAACCTGGGACAGTACTTCAATACATTCATCAAAGTCCAAGTTTTGGCTCTAAATCATCAATGCAAGGTACATCGGAGTGCTATTCTAGCATAATTCTAGCCACGTCTTTAGATATGCAGCCACGCGACGGAAACCGAGCTAGAAATCTGCTGATCATATTCAGGAGCACTCGCTAAAAGAGCTCAATTCATTCGCGAAGACACTTTGAATTCTTCCAATTTGTGGTCAATCTTAGACCATTGCCTCCTGTACAAATTTGAATCTGCCACTCCCTCGTTTTTTTTATCAGCGTCTTCAGAGTTCATTACTAGATAACTTGCAACATACCCACGAGCTGCCCTTGTTTCAAATTTCAGCGCGGGTCGTTATTTTTTTCCTTTCAAGCGTAATTTCTAGCGCCTCTCTCTTTTCTTCCTCACTTTTGTAAATAATTGAAAGCTATTTCAAAGTTCCAATCCATCTTCATGCTATGATCAAAGTTCAAAATCCTGAAAAGTTAAATACATATTTTCTTGAAAAGAAACTTTGTTTGATTGCTAAAAAAGCAGCCATGCATTGTTTTTTGTTTTCATTGAAAGATACATTTGCCAGTATTTTACAACTATTTAGAGTGAAGTAGAAGCGCAACTAATCGCACAGAACAAAACGCTGCAAACAATTACTGAAAGTCAAGCTCAGAAGAATTTCTCGAAGCAAACTCAGAAGCAGCGGCATAGCAGTCAAAAAGACTTATTTTGCAAATAATGAAACGAACTTGAGGATGCAAATTCATAGGCTTTGCGACGTGGTCAAAGACATGACGGTGAGATTGGAAATTTTTCGATCATTATTCTTCAGTTTCAATTTTCAGTAAAAATAGACACAACAAATTTATGGCGGTGCATTTTTGGATAACTAATAAGATTGCTTTATTTGGCCTACCGGCGAATCAAAGCCCAGATCCATAAAATCATTTCCATAAATTGGTTGAACCCGCGAAAATAGCATTTTTTGTTTGGGCGATTTGATTAGGGTTGAAATGAAGATTTCGTGTTGGAAATATCTCCAAGGGGCGTTCTTGCTTTTGACTTGGTTTTTTTGGAACTTAATGAAAAGGTAAGAATAAAATTTACACTGTATAAGTTTACCCTTTCTCCGTCATTGGCATCATTTCAACTAAACTTTCTGGGGGCATGACTTGGACCACTTCCTTCACTGGAACTTGAAAACCTTTCTTTTTGTTCTGGTTCTTCTCTCTCTTTTCAGCATTTGAACGATCCCTTTCCAACTCATGCTTCTTGTTATAAAGGCTAAATTAAATTAATTGTTTTGAGATCTGTGGATTTTTCACCTGAGTCTAAGTTTTTTCGAATCTTTTAGTTTTTTGCGCCTGTTTTCTTTCTGTATCGGCCCATTTTTCTTATTTTGAACATTCCTTTTCTTGATTTCATTTCTCATCATTTTAATGATGACAGGTGAGATTTGACGATCGAGTTTTTTTGCTAGTATTTCCGCAATATCAGCTTCATTGTTATTAAAACTCAAAGATGAGATGAAGACGCATGTAGTAAACTCATCTTTAGTTCTGTAACTAAGTGGAGATTCTTTGCGCCATCGTGAAAATATGGCAGAGTGGAAAGACTCGTTACGACTAAAAATTTCTTCAGATATTTTCGTTTTGAGCGTCTAACCTTGTTTCGCCCGAAGTCGCAATATCAGATGCAAATTTGTTCAGGTCGAATTTTTTCGCACAAAAACTCTTAGAGATAGCCACAAGTAAGTCTTCTTTTGTAAATTTTTCTGATGTAGGAAAGTAGCAAGTTTCTCCAGAGCAAAAAGAATCATCACAGTCAGTATGCACTCCCGCATTGTGGTACCAAACTCGTAGAATAGTGTTTTTGACAAGCTCGGGCGTCATTTCTGCAGAATTGTCCTTCAAAAATTGTAGCCCTCCTTGAGTTTTTGTAATTACATCGTGTAGATATCGCTCATTGATCCGACTGTCACTGACTCCGACAAGCTTCTCTTCTTTGAAAAATTTAATCACCGTCTAATCTACCGCAGGTAACCCTAAGTAACCCTAGACTAGACCCCGGCATCTTAGGACCTAAGGGGCGAAGCCCCGTGGTGAGGGGCACTTAGGTTCTAATATTGTATTTTTGATAATATATGTTCAAGAAATTCTGAGAATCTGTCCAATTCTGGCAGAACAAAAGAAGGCGCGATAAAAGGAATGTAACGGGCAGCTACCATTCTTTATCTTTTTGTTAGGTGATAAAATAAAAAATTTTTGTTTAGATTGGTACTAGATAAATATATTCAAAACAACGAGAAGTGTTCTTTGAATCAAAGACTTTGATCCCTGCTGATGATTTTGATATCAGCGCGCGCTCCGTTGCGCCCCCATCTCTTGGCTAGTAGCGCGGTGTAGTGCAGCGCCTCATGGCTTGTGTGCGGACAATTGTCCCTCCATCCGATCAGAGCAAGATTAAAAGCCCTAGCCTCGAGACTCTTTGACGAGCAAGGCTCATTTGACACGCCCTCAGGAAGCTTTTTTGGATATAATTAGGGGAAATCACTAACAAATCTATCTTGACCCCCTTTTAAAGCATATTTTCAGCTTACAACCCCATTTCTGGGGTACAATCTCACTGCCAAGATGATCAAACGCACGGATTTCCTTTCTGCCCTCGACTACGTCTTCTTGTAAATTCTCAAAAATCTCAAGCTCAAAATCCCCATCCCGCAACTCCTCACAACTCTGTTCACTCCTCTCATGCCAAGCAAGCCGCTCTCCGGTCCCAACAACAAGAAGTTCACAGTAATGCTACCAAGTCCCAAACTCCTCAAAAATGCGACCTGTTGGACAAGGTAGCATTTTTCAATTCTATCTCTACTTTTTCTAGTAGCAAATGGCCCGAGAGAGGATCAATCCCAAATCCAAGCCGCATCTGCTAATTTCGCTCGTGCTTTCATCAGAAAACGCATCGAACTCGGCGACGAAAACGAGCTGCTCTCCCGCTCGGGTTTCTTCACCGATTACACAACCAAAGCCATGCAAGAATTGAAAATTGCAGGCGTGAAGGGAACCCCAGTTCTCGGCGTTTCTGGCTTTACCCGAATCGTGAGGGAGATTTTTCCTACTACCCAGGTGCTAAACGACAGCCACAATCGACAGAGCTTCGTTGGCATTCGCATAAAAAAAGGGGACTTGTGGCTCGAAATTGGTAAGACCGACTTTGGTTGAAAAAAATAGCGAGAAAGCCGCTTGCGGCCTTCGAACACTTCTTAGGTACAATAATCAAGATTTCAAAACTTGTTTTTCATTGTCGATATTCGATTTTCAATAATATATAACTTTTGAAAGACTATATCGAGGCAATTACTAAACAAATTCTGGAATCATGAAATATTTCTTATAGAATTCAACACCTACTGCAGCTTCTACAACAGCGAAAAAAGAGCATATTCACCGTCGTCTTTGGCGAATTTTTCGAAGAATGCAAAATACCGAACCCTGTTCACAAAGGTAATTTATATCCATTCCTGGGAGAGATCCTGGCATGTCTTCCAGCGAGCAATTATTTGTGTGTGAACCACCTTTGCTGACTGACCAGGAATTCGAACCAGGACAGTGAGGGCACACATCGGGGAGTCTTTTCTGCAAGGATACGTTCCATCAACAGAAAAAGAAGGAATAATTGAGTTCTTCGCACAGTACTCCATGTAGTGGTCAAGAATTTCTTGTTGGTCTTTCATCGCAAGTCCTTAATTTTTTTATTCAGATTTGGCACATGAGCTTCCTTTTGAAAGTTCTACCAACACACGTACCAATTGATGTGACGGCTTTCAACGAAGAATTCGAAGCGCTAGAGCTAGAAATGCAACGCAGAATCGACACTCAGAAGAATCAGTTTTCGATTGATTTCGCTCTCGGTAGAGAAGATGATTTCGACGAGAGAGATGTGGCGCTTCATGAGAGGGAGAGTTACAACGATTTTTTGACGCATTTGTCCAACATGAATGTCAAAAGGTACTTTTTCTGAAGGCCTGGAGATCAGCTCGATTTTAGCATGGAACATGAAAGAGAGCCCGAAACGGTAAGAAGAAGAAGACCTGAGCTCCGATGAGCTCGAGAAAAGCGAATGCGACGGTGAAGGAGAAGAAGAAGAGGGCGAGGAGAAATTAAGAAAAGTGTCGGCCGCTTGTATGGTCGTCCGCGCCGGAAGTTTTCACGAAAAAGTCGAGTGCCAGGGTCTCGCGCAAATCTTACTCTTTTAGCCAGCGGAGGAGCTTTTCGAATGCGTCTCACAAACTATGCTTTCTGGTTGCGATCGAAACGCTGCATCCGGCTGGGGAGCCACTGTAACCATCATTCAAAAGGACAAAATCATCACCCGCAAGCTGAAGGCGCGAATGGACTAGCCAACTTCTACAAGTTCAAATTGATATTGAATCTTACTCATATTTTTTACAAATTTCGTTCTACATGTATATCGCCCGCCATCTCTCTTTGAGGCGAGCCAACTTTTTTCCGCTTAGAGTTGTTCACATGCAATAAAATCGACAGATACCGTTGTCTATCGCTTTCCATTTCTCTTTTCGTACGGAGCTCGAATACGCCAACTATCATTTCGACGTGGCGCCGGGTAAGTTCAGAGAAGCGCTGGACATTTGGGCGCAGTTTTTCATCGACCCATTGATGAAGGAAGATTCTGTTGAACGCGAAAGGAAGGGATAGAACCTATTTTCCTTATTCTTAAGATTAGATCTTGGTCGACACATGTCTAATAATGATCTTTTGACAGTAAAACTATCCCTTTGAATAGTTGCCTCCGTTCATTCGGAATTCGAAATGGCAAAAACCGACGACTATTGTCGCAAATTCCAGATTATCCAAGAGGCAGTGATGAAAAAAGGCCATCCTCAGAGCGGTTTCTTTTGAAACAGAAAGAGTCTTTGGGAGGATCTCAAGAAAATCAGAAAAACAGCATATGACATGTTGCACTATTGGTATCCAAGGAATTACTCGTCGAATTTGATGAAACTCGTTATTCAGGAAAAGGTTGATTATTGAACTTATGTTGTCAAATCTTACAGTACATTCAACTATGAAAAAGAGCTCGTTATGGCTGGACGAGTAACAAAAGTGGGTCGAAGAAATATTCTCTCTTGTTCCCTCCCGCAACTTGAGAAAAACCCTGGACGAGCCGGACTGGTCTGTCGGATCTGCATATAAAGGACAAAATGTTTCCAAGCTTATCAAATACCACCCAGTTTCGGACTTCCACAACGTCGATATCATGTGGAGTTTGCCGCCTCAAAAGGAATTTTACAGAGTATCCGCAGATATATTCTATCGGTATGTAAAAGCTTGGAATACTTCTTCGGCGTTACAATATTGTAGTGAGTTGGTGCACCCTTAGCGAGTGCTGCGTTGGTGCACCCCTGACCCGCACTTTTTCTATTGTTTTCTTCTAGAAGTAGCAAAAGTGAGTGATGCGTTTGTGCACCTTTTACCCGCTATCTAGGGGTGCACCAACTCCACACACCACTGTAGGTTTTTCGGAAAATAATTGCAAGCGTTCAGATAAGATACTAGACCAGACAAAAATGATAAAGAAGAAAAACTTCCTGGCTGTGCTCAAAGAAATCGAACAACGAAATAACCAAGTATGAATGCAGATTCTGCCTCGACAAAAAGTTCACTCCAAAAAAAAACATTTTTCTCCTACAAAATTGCTTTTTGCCTTTTCTATCATTCTGCTAAATACCTCGGTACATAATCCAAATCTCAAAATAAATACAATAGAATATGGACTTGTACCTTTTATCTCTCGGTAGATTTTAGCACGCCGAGTGTAGAATTTGTTGTTCTGATGATAACGAGCAGGATAAGTCTGAGTAAAACTCTTAAAGAAATGAATATAGGACTTTCTTTGATAAAAATACCTTGACCGCAAAATTATTGAAATAACAAAATCTACGCAGTTGAGACGCACTCATTCCCGCAAATTTCGACGCGCAAAGTATCGTATCGTTTATAGAAGAGGGAGTGTTTTCCAGAGTAAATCCACCGCGACAGTATTTAGTTTCGCATGTAATTTTGGCTTTGAAATGAAACACATCTGGTTGAAAGAAGAGCACATTTAGTTTTTTGTTGCACTTTGAGCAGGCCACGTTACTGACAAGCTCTTCAATCGCTGATTGTGACCAAATCATGCATGTATCAGAGTCATCTTCGCAAGAAATATTCGTGACATTCGTGACATTCGTGACATATTCAGGGGCGACCGATTTATCAGCTGGAAAAGGAGTTGTTTCTGTGATTTCTGGCTCATTTGACACCGGGTCATGTTGGTCAGGATTGTAAATGGACATTTCAGATTCTTGTGGCAGAGTAGGATGAGTGATCTGTAATTTTTGAAGACGATCTGCTACATCATTGATCTGTTGCTCTTCAATGTGATCTCCGACATTATGATGATAGTAGATCGAGCTTTCAAGAGGTTCCTCGAAATGACCAAACGTTGAGGATGATGTATCGATCCATCCAAGGTTTTCGGCAATAGCGTTGTTTTCGGGATTTGAATAGGGGTGAACAAGAGCATCGTCGATGTTTTCACAAGTCGATTCGGTAAGATTCGAAGAAGAAGCAGTGGTTAGCGAAGGAGAACTTCAATACTGTCAATATAAATCAAACTAAAAGGGTAAAACCAAAATATGGAATCCACGCGCGCATTGACGATCCGAAGATGGTACTTGAAAAATAGTATTTTCATGATGACTCAAACCCTCAAAACTATATGAATCGACTCCTCAGGAGTTGCTCTATCAGATGAGCACAAGAAAGATGGGGGATAGAATTTTGCTCCGAAAAAATGATTTTCATTTATCATATATTCACTTCCATATTTTGGTTTAGACCAGCAAAACCAAGTTCACCTTTTTGGCAGCAATCTACCATATTTGTCTTGCCTTCTTCTAACAGCTAAACTCTTTCTTTTTCTGCTTCTAGCTTTATTCCTCTTAGCTAGATTATTCTTTGCCATGCTTATGATATTGAAAAATTTGCAACACTGCTTTTAGTACTCATTGTTTCTCAATACTGAGTGAAAGTATCAGATTGACAAGCTTTTATTCAAGAAAGAATCAAGACAATTTGTCTGTTCTTCAATCATTCGTCGGATTTTCCGAAAGTTTGTTTATTGGCCGAAGGAAAGATACTACAGTGGAATATGAATCAGATGGAAAATGATTGAGGTTGAGGGTCGGGTCTTCTTGAGAATCATGGCGGGCTGTTTTGCGCTGATTGGTCGCGCGCGAGCGAATCATCAACGAGAAAGAAGAAGAGATTGAATAGAAGAAGGCGCTAGAATATAAATTTGGTCGAGTTTTGAAATTTTGAAGCCCTAAGAAGCTAGATTGATAGTTTCTTATTATAATACACGGTTTAGTTTTAGCGATTTAATGGAAAATTTTCGAGAAAAAGTGATCGTAAGATTTCAAATCGCTCTAGAGAGAAATTTTCCTGAAAAAAAATTTTGAAAAACATCAGATTTGAATTCTACAGACGATTTTAGGTAGGAACTGTCTTGAAATGAAAAAATTTTATCGTCCCATTTCGGCGCTACAAAAGTGCCTTGAGAACGGCTATATCCTTAAAGTAACTCAAGAAAATGGGTATTATTTTCAAAGAGCGTGTTTAGACGGTCTAAAGTTTAGACTCTAAACTTAAGACCCGTTTCAAATCACGACGACTGGAAACGTCTTGGTGTCTTTCTCTTTCAGACGAATCTCTATATGATGTGTTCCAATAGATGACCCATAGTGAAACACGAAGAATCCTCTAATGAGTGCATAAAATGGATTAAACGAAAACTTGCTTACATTCTCTGATGTCTATTTGGTATGAAAATCGAATCATCATTCGCTTGTCTCACTTAGGGATCGAACGCAAATCAAAACAGCCATTTTTTAAAATACTGATATGTCTCTTATATTAAAATTTTGAATAGTAATTCGGACATGCTGATTTCAAATTACTTAATGAAATTCCTTTATCACTTCCGGTTCTCCGGATACTGTCGAAAAACAGCCTTCCTGTTGACGCGCAATCACGCGTTGCTAACAGTAGATGTATTATGGATTAAAAAGAGTTTTCTGTAAAGAAAACACTCAAAATCGGCAACGCGTACTTGCGCTTGCCTTTTTGTACTTCTGAAGAATGACTCATAAAGCGGCGGCAAAAGCGCATAGCCCGCGTCAATGCGCGAAGGCGCTAGAGAGAGCCGCACGAAAAAATCAAAAGTTGAGCGCCGGGATTCGAACCCGCCGCACCGATTAGACCCTGACCCATCTATTGACCACTAGGCTATGTACACATGGAAGAGTCTCGTTCGATGATTATTAAATTACAGGGATCCCCCCATTTCCCGAACTTTAACTCGTATCTACTTTATATTGGTAAAAGGCTGATCAAGCGCTTATTTGAAAGCTCGTTTTCAAATGAACTGGTAGAATCAGCTCCCTATCTTGCCATTCGCTTATTCATTAACCTTACCCCGCCAGGGTACACCTCCTGAGGCAAAAGTTGGCTTTTACCGAAGTGCCTTTGAGTTTAAGGGTTCTTTATATTGGATTTCGACCACTCCAGGTACTTGGCTTTTTTTGAGAGTAACTGCATGCACCTGCTGAGGTGCATAGCGAAAACAACACATGCACCTCAGGCAGAGTTCTAAATCTGGTTAGCTCACAACTTAGCAAGCTTAGGAGAAATTTTTTATGCCCTCAGCTTAGCTAGTCTAGCTAGCTTAGGCCCCTAAGCTGACATGATTGAACCACCTCCAAAACCCACGGTTTTTACGAATTTGTCCCGCAGATTCACACTTATTGGCAATTTTCTGAGTCTAGATCTGGCATGGTTAATGGTTTATTTATTTTTAAGGCTGTCCCCAGCTATTTTTTTAAAAACTTAACTTGAGACTCCCGGACCCGATCGTTTGGGACACCCAAAAAAGAAGCTGGGTTGAGTCAAAAAATTGCTCGTGCTGCTACGTCAGGAGGTGTTTTTGGCGGGGGCCTAGTATTTTCCGTTCCATGATTTTAAAATTTAAGGGGCTTGACGGCCCTTCGGGCCGTCTCAGCCCCGTTCCATGATTTTTAAATTTAAGGGGCTTGACGGCCCTTCGGGCCGTCTCAGCCCCGTTCCATGATTTTTAAATTTAAGGGCTTGACGGCCCTTCGGGCCGTCTCAGCCCCGTTCCATGATTTTTAAATTTAAGGGGCTTGACGGCCCTTCGGGCCGTCTCAGCCCCGTTCCATGATTTTTAAATTTAAGGGCTTGACGGCCCTTCGGGCCGTCTCAGCCCCGTTCCATGATTTTTAAATTTAAGGGGCTTGACGGCCCTTCGGGCCGTCTCAGCCCCGTTCCATGATTTTTAAATTTAAGGGCTTGACGGCCCTTCGGGCCGTCTCAGCCCCGTTCCATGATTTTTAAATTTAAGGGGCTTGACGGCCCTTCGGGCCGTCTCAGCCCCGTTCCATGATTTTTAAATTTTAGGGGCTTGACGGCCCTTCGGGCCGTCTCAGCCCCGTTCCATGATTTTTAAATTTAAGGGGCTTACGGCCCTTCGGGCCGTCTCAGCCCCGTTCCATGATTTTAAATTTAAGGGGCTTGACGGCCCTTCGGGCCGTCTCAGCCCCGTTCCATGATTTTTAAATTTAAGGGGCTTGACGGCCCTTCGGGCCGTCTCAGCCCCGTTCCATGATTTTTAAATTTAAGGGCTTGACGGCCCTTCGGGCCGTCTCAGCCCCGTTCCATGATTTTTAAATTTAAGGGCTTGACGGCCCTTCGGGCCGTCTCAGCCCCGTTCCATGATTTTTAAATTTAAGGGCTTGACGGCCCTTCGGGCCGTCTCAGCCCCGTTCCATGATTTTTAAATTTAAGGGGCTTGACGGCCCTTCGGGCCGTCTCAGCCCCGTTCCATGATTTTTAAATTTAAGGGGCTTGACGGCCCTTCGGGCCGTCTCAGCCCCGTTCCATGATTTTTAAATTTAAGGGGCTTGACGGCCCTTCGGGCCGTCTCAGCCCCGTTCCATGATTTTTAAATTTAAGGGGCTTGACGGCCCTTCGGGCCGTCTCAGCCCCGTTCCATGATTTTTAAATTTAAGGGCTTGACGGCCCTTCGGGCCGTCTCAGCCCCGTTCCATGATTTTTAAATTTAAGGGGCTTGACGGCCCTTCGGGCCGTCTCAGCCCCGTTCCATGATTTTTAAATTTTAGGGGCTTGACGGCCCTTCGGGCCGTCTCAGCCCCGTTCCATGATTTTTAAATTTAAGGGGCTTACGGCCCTTCGGGCCGTCTCAGCCCCGTTCCATGATTTTAAATTTAAGGGCTTGACGGCCCTTCGGGCCGTCTCAGCCCCGTTCCATGATTTTTAAATTTAAGGGCTTGACGGCCCTTCGGGCCGTCTCAGCCCCGTTCCATGATTTTTAAATTTAAGGGGCTTGACGGCCCTTCGGGCCGTCTCAGCCCCGTTCCATGATTTTTAAATTTAAGGGGCTTGACGGCCCTTCGGGCCGTCTCAGCCCCGTTCCATGATTTTTAAATTTAAGGGCTTGACGGCCCTTCGGGCCGTCTCAGCCCCGTTCCATGATTTTTAAATTTAAGGGCTTGACGGCCCTTCGGGCCGTCTCAGCCCCGTTCCATGATTTTTAAATTTAAGGGCTTGACGGCCCTTCGGGCCGTCTCAGCCCCGTTCCATGATTTTTAAATTTAAGGGCTTGACGGCCCTTCGGGCCGTCTCAGCCCCGTTCCATGATTTTTAAATTTAAGGGGCTTGACGGCCCTTCGGGCCGTCTCAGCCCCGTTCCATGATTTTTAAATTTAAGGGGCTTGACGGCCCTTCGGGCCGTCTCAGCCCCGTTCCATGATTTTTAAATTTAAGGGGCTTGACAAAGGCCGGGAAATCTGAGTTGATCATTCTCAGTTCCGTCCCCAACCCCGCCCACCTCCATCTGATGTAAAAATCAATATAAGCCCAATTTCAAGCTCTGTTATGGTTTTTATTGAATTTTCAAATAATCCGAAAAAAATGATTATAAATCGATTTTTACACCCTTTTACAAACCTTTTTTTAAGAGCTTAGAGCAAACTCTTATCGGTGGCAGGGTTAGAAAAATCGATTTCTGTGAGGCTTACTATCGCCGATTTTTTATGTGGCAGTCCTAGCCATGTAGAATGGTCGGAAAAAATATAAATTTTCAATTTTGACAAAAATTTCATCTTGGGGATAAATCATTATCTTGACCGTTTTTGTCATCGTCTAAACTCTAGAAAACACCTGGAAAAAACCTTTTTTCATCGCCTGGGGCGATTCTGAGGCCATTTTCATGAATTTTCTACGAACTGCCATATCTCACGTGGCAGATGATGAAATCACGTGATTGATATATTTTTAGAAAGCTCAGCTTCTAAGAATTGGGGGAAAGAAAAGAAATTTGAAAAAAATCGATTCTGAATGACGAAAATTAATATTTTCAGCAATCAGCAAAAACCGATTTTTCGGAAAAATTTTTGCTTTCCCCCAATCCTCAGAATCTGAGCTTTCCATTGATACTTGGATCATCTGGTTTCAAAGAGTATCACGTGAGTTATGGCTGTTCGAAGGCCGAAAATTTATATTTTTTCCGGCCAATCGATTTCCGGGGTCAAAATTTTTAAATTCCGAAATTTTATTTTTCGAAAAAAGCTGATGGAAGGGTTAGGTTACTCTGACATTTACCAGTTCAAGTCTTCTAAATTGGACTTGACCTAAGTAGCCTAAATTTATCTATTCAAAATGAACGATCCACTCAAAAGCAAGTGGCCCAGTTGGCATTTGGTAGGATTGGGTCTCCCTGGTCGCGTGCGTTCGAATCACGCTGTGAATTTCTTTTTACAATTTTCTATTGGTGAGAGCGCTGGCTCGCTCGCAGTGAAAACTCGAAACGCGTCGCGGCAAAAGCTTCTCGCCCCGGAGCGCCACCCTTTGCGTGACGCTTCGCCGCGCTGCGCGCTTCTAATTGGCTCTTTTCTTCTTCTCTCTTTAATTTTCAAAGCGTGATAACTCAAAAACTACGATAACTATAAAAATTTGAATTTCATATTTGAAAAGCCTGCATCACAAAACCTATTTTTTCATTCATAAGCTCAGAAGAAAATTTTTTGGGTTCCCCGGTGATGATTTGCGTTCGATCCCTAGTCTCACTCTCATCAAATTTCCGAGCGCATCGACCAAGTAGTGCTCACCATTTAGGAAAGTTGCACCGGTCGACTTATGCGTTTTTTTGCAATTTTGAGCCAATAACAACTTTACAAGCAAAAACGTTCATAGGAAGAAAATGAATCGGAAATCTGAATATTTTTAGTGTTTCCAATGAAGTCGGAGAAAATTAATTTCCGAAATTTTCGTTCAGTTTTTCGCCGTTTGTGCCATCGAGCAGTTATAAGGTCAACATTTCGACCGGTATCTGTTTTAGTATTCACAGGATCAGAGATAAAGTCTGATGAGTTTGTCTTGAGATCAAAAACTGGAATCATTTTCTGGCGAAGCTCGAATTTTTCACACTCATAAAAAGGACAAGGACATCCGTCTCGACAGTATTTCTGGCTTGGACAGACTTGACCAGCTGAGTCCGAGGATTTCGTCAATTCGAAGCACATTGATTCACAGGGCGAGATTGGTTTAGTCCTCGTTGATTCCAAAACCAGCGTTGTCGAGCAAAGATGTCGGCAGATATTTTGATCGTAAAACTGTTTCTTTTGGCATCGATGGAGATTCAGTTGGTTGTCTTCTTCGGAGAATACGATGGCTGTGCCTTTGGCGTGCTCGATTTTCGACACTGGTTCAGGGACAATGAATTTTTTCGTCTCAAAGCATTGCTTCATCAAATGCCCGCAATAATCCATTGTCGCGATTTGAACGCACTTCTTGTAATTTCGATGACATGTGGAAGTCAGAAACGTTGTGACGCCGCGAGATTTCTCCAGAGATGCGAGATTCGCTGGTCTTTCAAAAAATTCTATCAAAAATTCTCAGCGTTACCTATGAGCATAACTGTGACCCAAAAAAGAGTCCCAAGTGTGAGATAAGTGTACTGCTGAGGATCTGTAGCGTTTCCATGCTTTGCGAGGCTTATTTTCGCTGTTATTTTTTTCTTCCATGTTTTCTTCTTTTTCAAATCGCGTTCTTGAGTATGAATGCTTCGAGTTGTCAAGACTTCTTCGGGAAAGAGATAAACCTTATTTCCTCGTTTTCTCAAAAAACCAATGCAGTCGCAGTCAAGACACTATTCGAAATTTATTTTTATCATTAATCTTTGACTCTAGAGCAGACTATGTTTATTAATATTATCCTTGAATTACCCTGATTTTGGTTTTGAAAATCGTATTTTCAAGCCGATTTTTTTCTTTTTTCATAGCAATAGCGATAGATCTCTGCGATCAAAATACTTTTCTGCGAAAAATCCACGAAATCTTGCTCGTTTACGAGAGTTACGGCCATTGCTAGGATGACAGCTGGACACCTGGGTCTTTTTTTTTGTTCCTTTTTGAAGGTCACATATTTTTCCTGCTTTCGGCGCTTTAGTTTTTTATAAGTTTTTATACTTCAAAGTCATAATAATAAACAGCTCTTTTGCCAAGGTGAAAAAGTAGGTCGACCATCCCTCTGAGCGAGTATCACATGTACTCGTCATGTAAAAATGTCAAAGCCAGCTCGACACAAATTTGAAGAGAGCTGGGTCTCTCTGGGAGAGGGGCTCGATGTGATAAAATTGAAACAACTAACGGTCGCATCATTTGAGTCTAATACTCCAATTTTATTACCCTCCCTAAAGAAATAAGTGTTTTGAAGGATTCAGACCTGTCCAGCCAGAAAGATCAATTTGACTTTTTTGTCCGATTTTGTAATTATGACAGAGATTTTCTCAAAAGAAGAGCTTGAGAATGCCGAAGATTTGCCATTAGAGTTGGGTGACCTTAGGGTTGAAGAAAAGCTTGAAACAAGGATTGAGTCTTGTCTTTATATTTATTGAAAAGGCTGAGTCATTCAGTACAGAAGAAGACAGTAATCTCTTTGCGATATTTTGACTTTCGGCTTCATTTTTGCACTCTTTTGTAAAATACTTGATTCCTTCAAATGAAACCAAACTATTTTTACTTAAATAAAGTCTCATTTTAGCATATGCTACTGACTACAGTCATATAGAGAGAGTGAAGAGGACTTGAGTCCCTTGCTTATATTGGAACCCGTTTCACGCAGAGAAAACTGAACCAAAATTAATGGGTCGGTCATATTTTCCTTGAAATAAATTGTGAAACACTTTTGAAAACTCTTTCAAAGCAATCTCTCAAGCATCTCCGACGATTCCATCTTACAGAACACTCAGGCATTGGTTTTCTCCCACCTTCGTTTTTATTCAAATAAAATCAAATACTAATCAATAATTCACTTTCTCCCGTTATAAAGCTGCTCTGTTAAGAAATTCAAAGAAAAAATTCTTTGGCAAGTGGACAAATAACTTTAGGGCTGAGTAGAGGATGATCTAATTAGTCGCAATTTGATCGATAATGACATCGTAATCCACCATCCTCGAGAGACGTTGATTGATTTCTGACTCCCAGCGGTCCGTTTTATCTTTTTTTGTGGTGGTAGAGTCAGAGTACAAAAACAAAAGCCTCTTTTAAAAAAATAACAGCGTTTTTTCACACTGGGCGGCGGGTCAGAGAAAGAAAAAAATGCCCGTGCTAAAAGCGATTAGAGAGTACAGTAATTGGGCATCTGGTCATTGATAAGGCCAGCCCAGCGGGTGACCATCTCGTGAGCGGAGAAAAAAGGCTGAAGAGTAGATTTTTTTCATGGAGATTTTGAAAGAGAAGGAAATCAAGGAGGAAAACCAAGAAAAGCTCCTGAGTTCAATCCGCGATCTGGCAGGAAGTTTTACGGCAAGTTCTAGAGAACTTAGAGATCAAGTCGCAGCGATTTCGGAAAATGTCGAGTTCATGCGATCTTCCCAGCGAAGCGACTCCGATCTCAACTTTGATTGCATCTTGGTAAGTGGTTCGAACGGGGCTGACCTGAAAAGGTTGCTCTTGGCCTATCAGATGGCCTAAAAACTCGGCGCGGGATTTAAAAAGCTGCCCATGGCGCGTGATATCGACCGAGAAATATAAAAACACGCATTTACAGTCGTTTTCAGACGCATGTACTAGGAGAGCTAGAGAAGATCAAAATGTTGAGAAAGAAGGTTTTATCCAAGGCATTTGTCAAAGAAAAATATCAGGTACCACTTTCTCGATTGACTTCTTCCTTGAGTCCTTTAGTCGTTGAAAATCTCCCTCGACAACATCGAATCTCAAGTCGACTCAATCCGCCTCTTCAAGAGCCATGAGCCGGAAATCATCGAAACCGTCGAACTCGAACTTCTCGATGCTCAAAAAATTGTGATGACGATGAAGGACAAATGGGACCTGTTCCAGAAATTCGACAGGAAATACTTTCACCATCTCAAATGGTTGACTGAAGTTGACTTGGATATCCTGCACCATGCGAGAATGACGGAAAGAGAAAAGCTAGAGAAGACTGTGGAGACATTGACGAAAGAGTTTTTATCAAGGAATGGTTGAGCATTTATTCAAGGAATTTTTAGATCAGGAAAAATGAGAATCCTTGATACATTCTGAGGACCTTAACAAGATCATTTAGACGTAATTGATATGATTGGTCACGATTCATTTTATTTAAAGGACTCTCAAACATGAGTTCAAGTTATTGAATACAGTAATATTAATATTCATACTAGCGCAGTGATTTTCAAAATAATTTAACACACTCTTCTTTTTTTGATCCCATTTCTTAAGTCATTCATTTACTCGGTATTGGTCCCGAGCGTTTACGCTTCTCTGTTTCAGGGATTTAGCTTCTTTTTGTAAATTTTTTCCACGGATCTCTTCTACTCCCAGGAAATATTTTAACAGTCTTTAAATTCAAAAGGTATTTATCATATTCGTTTCAATTTCTCAATGCGACCACCTTATAAACTTATTCACGAAGCAAGCAGTCCCCATTCAGCCGGAAAAATTCACCCCGGGCCAGTTTTATCTTGTTGTTTCTTTTAAAAAATTCCAAGCTCCGGTTAAGTTTGAGGCCCTTGTTTTGGGTTTACAACAAATCCCCACTTGAGAGCTGTAGCATTGAAAAAACAGAGCTCGAATCATAGAAAACGAGAGAAAAAGCATGAATAGCAAAATTGGCGATTGCGCATCCCGGGGTTAAATGGCTAATTAAACAATTGTTCTGCGTTTCCGAAAGAAAAAAATGCGTTTGTGATTTGCCCTTTTTTGGCTTTAAAAATGTACAGTTTGAACACAAGCTTAACCAGTCACAGAAAAGCCGGCCTTGAAGAGCTGCGCATTCTGGCCGGAGAAGTGATTGGTTTCGTCGACGACGAGGAAAAGATGGAAGTTAGAGAGCAAATGGAGAATCTGCAGACGCTGAGCGAAGGGATTATGGAAACCGTCTCGCGTTTGATCAAGGTGAGTGAGACAACGAATTTTCATGACCTCTTTTTTTTTGTCATAAAAAAGTTACTACCATTCTTCTTTGCTCCACATTTTGAATGTTAACATATATGGGTCTGAATAGGCTTCGAAGTTCGAAGTTCGAACTAATGCATCAAAACAAGTTCTTTTGGACCTTTCGAGTAGTAATACCCTTAATTTTGATTAGCAAAGATTTTAGATGCCAAGAAAATGTATCGGGTTAAATTCTCCAAAACCTTCTTTTCTTGATCGATTTTCGCACCTGCTACTCATCCTTCTTTTTCTGCCCCTCCCCCTCGCCCTCGGGGCTCTCTCCCTTCTCGTTGCCCTTGTTCCTTGCACTTGCCTGACTTTTTCAACCCTTCTCAACAGCTGATAAAAATTGGTTAAAAATCTGGCAGAGAAAGCAAACTCTGACCTCCGAATTTTCGCCTTATGCTCTAATATTTGCTTTTTCGTAGCGATTTTGCGTGTTCTATTTTTATCGCGGCCCTGGGTGCGAAAATGAAGCGCTCTTGAATGCGCTCCAACTGAAACAGTTGCTGATCGAAGCAACTTGAGCTTGATCAAGGGTTTGTTTCAAGAGTTGAGTCAGAAGAGCGCAATTACGGGCACACGTCCTGATCGAAAGAGATTTTGATGAATCGATACTCTCTAACGGCTATTGATGAATTTACGGTATTTTTTACAAAATTTTCAAAATTTCTTTCTACTCAAATTTTTCCCTTCTCATCAAATTCTTCAGCCACCAGCGTCAGATGAAGAAGATATCTCCGCATTCGAACACCCTCCTCTTTACACCTCCACCCCTGCTGCCAAAAAACACAGTGCCAGATCAAGTACTGGCTCCACTGAAATTCGACGAACTCGGCCACCAAGAGCGATTGTCCTGAAATCGTCAGATGATGAAGAGCGAGATGGCTTTGAATGGGACGATTCGGATATGCTCAGGTAGCTTCTTTCGGCTTTCCAAATTGGTCTAACGGATTTCAGAGACCTGGAAGATTCTCACGTAGAGGACGAAGAAGCCCCGATTCCAGTCATATCGCCGCTAGAAACTGCTGCAGCGCCGCTAGAGAAACTCATTGATGATGGCAGAACGAAAGTCGATCAAGTCGAATATCTCAACAGATGCGAAACGCCCGTTTTTTCGAAGCTTGATGGATTTACAAATGATTATGTATGATGACTCTTCATTATTTGACTCCGTTCAACCCTTTTTCAGGAGCAAATCGTGGATAAAGCCGACGAAAGTATCGAAAAAGTGCATAAGCAGCTTCTCTACCCGTCGATTCTCGATGCGTCTTGGAAAGATCAAGGTTGGTTGACCTTTTCTTTACGAGATTCCTTAGCTTGTTTTCAGCACAAGCACTTATCAACAAGTGGGAAGAAGTTCGAGTCGGGGCTTCGCAGCGATCAAATCGTCTCAGAGAAAAGTTCGAAAAGGCGGAAATGCTTCTTACTGACGTCAATCTCGCTATCTGTAAGAATAGTTACTCGTCTAACAGGCTTGACAATCATTTCTAGCGTGGCTGAAAGAGCACAATCTTCTAGAGCTCATGCACGGTGGAGATAAAAACTCATCAAGGGCAGAAGAAAGCCTGAATGTAACTGACTCAGAAAAGACTTTCAGAAAGTTCCAACAAGAAATCTCAAAGCTGAAGACTTTGGCGCTCGATACAAAAGAGCAAAAACCGATGATGGAGAGTCTGGTCAAGAAATCCGCCAATGGCGATTGCGAATCTTTCTGGGACGAAGAGCTGAAGTCGAAAGTGGAAAATCTTAACGTTCAGTGGAGAGATTTCACGAAAGGAATCGAAGTTTGGAAACTCAAGATCGAAACGAAGATCAAAAAGTCGAAAGAGTATGAGAATGTCATCTGCCGAGCTGAAGAACTTGTCGGAGAGCTACACAAGAAAACACAAGATCAGTACGATTCTGGAGAAATCGTCGAATTAGCCGATGAGCTTCAATCATTGAGATCGAGAGTCTCAAATTTGGAGGAGATCATTTCCGAGTTGCACGCTGTTGAAAAGGTCGACGACTCCCCAATCGACAAAACGAGCGAGTCTGTCGATTCTAGCGAGCCAATTCGATCCTCAACTCCAAAGAAAACGGGTCCCCAGGAGAAAGAAGCAGTTTACGATGGATTTGACACGCTGAGAATTGTGAAGACAATTTGCGACAAAGAACTTGAATACACTGAAAGAAAAATTGAAGAACACAATAACAATCACACCGAGGTAACTTTTTCCTGAAGAGAGTTTAACTCAAAATTGCTCTTAGGAGATCGAGGAAGATATTCCTGAGCTTGTCCTTGCCCCTGCTGACCCACTTTATACCTCAGAAAACGCGCAAGAAGAATCGCCACTATTTAATTTCGAGCTAGAATGCGAGCCCGACAACGCCTCTCCCGAAGACGCAGAAATCCTAAAAGATGACACGAGCGAGCAAGAAGCGCCGCTTTCGACTGAATCTCAATTCCAGCGCCGCTCGAAAGCCAAGCTGCTTTTCTATTCCATGATTTTGAGCTATCCAACTTATGCATACGCTTTACCGTTTCTTACCTTCCTTTACTCACTTGTACACTGCCAAAGTGAAGACCCGAGGAATTGTCCTCTAGAAAGGTACAGTATTCCTTCCTTTATCTATCCCTTAACCCTTTCTTTCAGACTCAGACATCCAGAAATCACCCTTACCTGGCCAAATGGAGCCCCTCCTCTTTAAAAAATCTCAACTTGTTTCCAAAATTGTACAAAATTTATCTATTGCCTTCGATTCTTTTCCAGTTTTCCACCCTCTCTTTCTTTCCTGACAAAGTTCATGTGAAAAAATGACAGAATACATTGTGAGTAACATTCTATTCTACAACTTCAAGCAGGCTAAATCAGTTTTCAGTATTTTGACGTGCTTGATGGTGGTCTGCCGCGGCTTTTTTATGATTCAAAAAGGGTTTTATCGATATCGATTTAAATTGAGTTCGAACCTATCCTTGGTGGTCCACGAGTTCTTCTTGGTGTTGTTCCTCGACCAGTTGGGTTTTGGGCGCTTTTTTGAGCCGCTGGTGCCTTCGATTCTTTTATTTCTTTAGTCAATTCTTCGATTCCAGTCTTTATTTCTTCCAAAAGAGCCCGCTTTGTCGGTCGTTTTGGCTTAGGTGTTGCTTTTGGGCGATTTCGAATAAGGGTTTCAAGCCGTTCAACCCTTTTTTCTAGCATTTCGGAGGATCGGTCATTATCGGCAAATACTAAAAAGCCGAGTTGAATGTAATAATGGAAGTTTCAGCGCTTACCAATAGCTGCATCATCGACAGAAGCGGCTTTTCCAGAAGAACAGAGGCTTGATTTCGCGTTCTCTAAAGATTGATATGAATTGAGAACCGGAAGACCGCTTTATGCGCTCTATACCGTAAGTTCTAGCTATCAACTCTCCAGAAGACCTGACAGAATCTCTGAACGACCTCATTTTGTATCCCCTTCTCTAAGCTCGCCTGCGAAAAAAAAATTCAAGAGAAAAGTTTCAACAAGCCCCCGCTGATATTGTAAGGACCTCTCATTCTTTCCATTTCTGTTGCGCTAATTTCGAAGGCGTGTTTGAATAACTAAACCGGCATCCTTTCAATTGCGTAAAACTTCAAGTTTTCAATGATCATTACTGTAACTTTGTCAAAAATGGAAGTGATTGAGGAATCTTTGAATGTATTCTTATGTACAGATGTATTCTTATTTTTTAGTATTCAAATAAGTTAATCTTCTTCATCTTCAAAAGAAAAATTTTGATTTGAGAGACAGCTCGGCATAGGTTTTCCTTCGCGAATGGCTTGCTGAGCTCCAGTCGCGCAATATCCGCCGTTTTCTTCCATTATCCGGACGAGTTCTCTAGCTTTTTAAGGGTCTTTCTACCGTAAAATTAATCATAAGAGCAAAGCGGAGATATCAACTGTCTTAATCCAGATCTTTATTCGACCCCTGTCCTGGAAGAGCAGTCCCTCCAAATTCCTTCCTCGCCTCCTGTAGCTTCTCCCTGTGATGACTCGTCCCTTGGAGGCACTTTGTATGGTCAATTTCGCACCTTTTCTGAATTTCTTTCAACTGGCGCAGCGCCAGCTCCATTCTTTCTTTCCCAAACTCTTCTATTTTTCTCAAAATCTCAGCGTGATAGAAATCGTAAAGCTTTCTGTCAACACTGAAGAATTTCTCGAAGACTCTTTGCTGCTTCGGTGAGAGGGTTGGTTTTGGGTAGTCGGTTGCGTTTTTCTTCGTGATGAAAAAGGCTAGTTCTAGCGGCATATTTAAAAAATCGGCGAGGAGAACAAGGCTTTCGTTGATGTACTCAGTTACAATCATAAAATCGATGTGACTTGCTGTCTGCGCGACAAATTCGTCCGGATCGTCGCCATTTTCGAAGCCAAGCTCGAAAGATTGATAGTTTTTACAACGGAAACTCCAGGGAATATCGTCCGAGAACTTCTCTTCCAGAATATCGAATAGTTCGTCCGGCAGTCGACCCGTTTCTCCGTCGAAAAAGGTCTTGAAGGGCTCACCAAGACACTCTGTATTGCAGCGATTGGTCTCGTTTCGGTAGTAGAAAAAGTTGAATGTAGAGAGAAAGAGGCTGTAGGGTTCGCGGATTGAAGAAATGAAAACAGTTCCAGGGGCGGCGAGGTTGCGTTGGACTTGAGGATTGAATCTTTTTTCATGTTTTCAAAAGTGTGAATATGAAATAAAGTTAGATATGCGAATCTCATAAGGTTTATCGGTACATAAGATTAACATTAAAACAATCCTGTGATGATAGAAAAACGAGGTAATCCCATCCGGATGTGGTACTTTTCGACACCTAGGATCCCACTTCGCAGGGTAACAACCTCCTAAGCTGCTGAACAGAGGCCGTTCATTTATCACTCCTCGCCAGTGAAGATAATTTCGAATGACTTGAATAAGCGAGCTGGAAGCACTCTTGAAAGGGTTAATTTTATGAAATTGAAAAATGCCGACAAAAATCTGCATATTTGAAATTTCACGCAGCATGTTATACAGTCGAATGTGCAGTTAAAAATTCGACATGAAATTGGGTGTGACAGTTTTCAACCCGATTTTCCTTGTGTTTCTTGATTAGGACGACGTTTTCAGGACTGCCGGTGAAATTGTAGTCTTTCAAATTTTTCCAACGTGGAAGAGGGGTTTTCTGGAGAGTCGAAAATTCATCTGGAATGGTGAGGAAGATCCCACAACTAGCAAATCGGTACGTAGACAGGCTGACAAAAAGAAGCAATAAGCAGGAGACAAGCTTCACAAATGTCAAAAGATTTCCTTTTTGGGCACATTCTTGTACTCTTATAGTGGGCTAGTGTTCTTACGGTAGAAACTCTTACGTTCAATTTTAATTCATTTACTTTCTTTCAAAAATCTTTTTCTGTTGCTTTGATAGATTGCTTATCCGGCGTGATCTTCCGTTCATGAATTTTTGTCATTTTATCTAATTTAGGATAACATGATTCCAACTCACGAACATCTTTGCTTATTCAACTGACAGATTTTTATACAATATCCCTCAAAATGGCGACATCTTCTACAAGTAATGTTCTTTGAGACGATTGAATATGATTTCTCTGACACTTTCCTGAGTAAGAGGAGTTCCAGAGGCAATACGGAAGCGCAAAAAGCTAAAATTAAGCATGTCTTTTAAGCCGTCCTTTGTCGCCTTTGAAGGGAGCTTCCGTCGCCTGGTAAGAGCCCGGGGCGCTATCAGTCGGACTGAATGATATGATTAGATTCATTTTGCTGCCACCTGCGGTGTATCACGACAGCTCTCTCCCTATCGCTCTGTTTCTCAGCCCACCGGTTAAACTAATAAGGTTCAGGGGAAATTCAGGGTGAAATTCAACGGAAAAAGTGGTGGTTATTGCTTATCAATTTAAACTGAAGGTTTGATTGAACTGTGAAAGCGATAAAATCGAGTAAAATTAACCCGATTGATGTTTAAAATTGATTCAATTAGGCAGAATTTTCTGTTAAACAGCCATTTTGGGCGAGTTTTCTGATACCTACCTTAAACTTGAACTTTTCTCTAAACTTTTGCGCTCTCGCCCGTCTTTTTTCTTCTTTAGGAAAATATCTGTTACGAATTCTCGAAGAGTCAATCTTCGGCCGCGTAAATTGTTCGGTGGTGGAGGGCGCACGGTGCTGCATTTTTGACAGGCGCCAAAGTTTTTTAGGTTTTGAGTTCGAAGTTAATGAGTTGTTTTGTTTTACGTTTCCTGCCAAAGATTCCAAGATGCATCAACTTTGACGGGAATATTCAACGAATAAATTGACTGTATAGATCGGGTAGTACTGGGCATAGTTTATTTAATAAGTAATCAAAGATGAATGGCAAAAGATATGAACTGAAGAAGCAAGTACATTCCGAGTGAAAATGTTCCAATCGTGACAATGACGATTCGAAGAAGAAGGTTTTTATCTTTCTGTATTTCAAGCGGAAGAAAAATATCCACCAAGGACGAAACAATCAGGTTTCCGTCTGAATATAAATCTTGTTTCCTTTTGAAAAAACAATTACCACGCATCTAACCAGAAAAGAGCGCGTCTTAGGTGGCTTGAAATACGTGGCAATTTTCGTTTTTATTTCTTGTCGTCGATATCAATTATAGAATTGGCACAAGAAAACAGGCCTTTAGGCACACCAGCTTTTTTACCTAAAGCGATGGAAGGAAGTGAATTGAAGAAGGCGAGCGCGAGTGAAATATTGAAGATGTATTCTAGCAGCTTGATTTGGAACTCGGCGAAGGCAGCGGAGATGAAGTATTTGGGCACGAGGGAGGAAATTGAAACAGATTTGACGAGTTCAAAAGGGTCTCCAACGAACAGAACGGTGTGTTGGTGGGTGTTTCGTTCGATGACGATCAGTCGCTCGTGGAGTTCTTCGTTGACTCTGAAGAATTAATGAGTAAAAAGGTAGCGAGAAAGCCGGTTACGGCAATGCCAGATGTTTCCGAGCCCAGATGATCATCTAAGCCCTCAATTTTAAACCTACTTTGGAACAAGGCATGAAAATCCACTCCCACAATCTTCATCAGAATGGCAAAACGACTGTGACGACTCAAACACGCTTCTGGCATGCAAGCAGACTTGAAAACCCTCTCCGCGGAAGCACAAATCAGTCAAACTATCTTCGTGACAGCAATCTTGCGAAGAAGGCGATTCGAGCTTCTCGACGTTTTCGCAGAACCCTGTTTGGGTGGAATTGCGGATTTTGACCATTGTCTCGGCGAAAGAAAGGTCGGAGAAGGAGTATTCATTTGCAGCGATAATTATATCTCCGCGTTTCAGCCCATAAGAGCCTAAATTTTGATATTTTTTTGAAAATTACTAGAATTGACAACCATACGGTTCATACCTGAAATTGAAGAGCTACTGTCAATGTAGGTCACGGACAATCCTTGATCTTTTTCAAAAAGAACGTTCGTCAAATTCATTTCTTCATGCCTCAGCAAAAGGCAAAAAGCGCAGATGAGAAGATTGTGCCAAATCCCAGCGCAGAAGATTCTGACTCGTCCCCAGTTCGGAACTCGCTCCAAATCCATGCTGACGAAGGCGCCTGGGAGAACTGCGAAAGAAAGAACTCCAACATGATTGATTGAGCCGCCTTCTGCGATACAAGCTAAAGCGTGGCCGATTTCGTGAAGGACGACGGAGATTATGATGGCGAAGAGGACGTGGATGATGTGAGAGAGGGGACGATTCACGCCTGGGACGATAAGTTCTGTATCAGGGGTAGAAGTAGAGGAAGAAGAGAGCGTTTTGAAGATCTTTTTGAAGGTTGAAGGCCGCGAAATTGGCTTAAAACTTGTCCTTCGTAAAAAAAAACGATGAATTCCATGACATTTTAGCAACATTGCTGACATTGTCAGTTTTTTCGTCCGCCATTGTCAAAATTAGCAGCTTTTTCGAACGTTTTAAACCTTTTCCTGAAACCAAAGAAACGGTATAGCAGCAAGAGACAACAGTAGAACGAAACATGTTCCAATTCTGTAGAAAAGGCTGGAAAAGTTCGAAAATCGGTGTCCAAGAGAAGCTAATCTTCGATTGAATCTCTCTGTCGTGAATTTAAAGAAGAAGTGAGAAATCTCTAGCTGCCCGGAAACGCGCAAATCCGAATATTTCTAGCAATAAATTTCTCATGAAAATGATTCTCTAAAAACATACTTTTGAAACGTCATTGTTTATCAGCCATCGGTCGATATACGGAAGACACACACCAAAGAGGCAAAAAAGAAGAAAAGGGATCATTCAGCTCATTTCTCGATTTTGGAAAAAAATATTTCTTTTCGGAGGATGCGGGCCAGAGCGCGCTATGGGAAAGTCCTCCAAAATGGCGCCGTGGTGGAAGAAGAAATGACACTGAAGAAAAACCCCGAAGGAAAAAATGCCTATTTTCCGTCCTTTTATTTATAAATTGTCTCAAACGATTTTTGTATTAATAAATCAGTCAAACAGGCAGTCTTCAATCGAGCAGCAGCCATCTTCGTTCGGCTCGTTGTTTTCAAAGAACATGAAATCCTAAGGAAGAATTTTTTACAAAAACTGACGGTGAAAAATACTCACGATTAAGAAGACCACTGCCATCAGTGAGAGCTTCACTCTGACATCCAAGTCCATCGGAAAACTAACGCCAAAGTTGTCCGCATCAGTTAATCCTTCCTTGACTAGGCCACTCCACTGTTTCGAAACTTTTCCAATTTTCTGACCGTCTTTTGTCAGTACCTAGAAATCAACGCATAAAAAGACAAGTCCGACTTTGATGTACCTCAAAATCAATGTCCCCACAGCAGGAAATGACACAAGCAGGGCCCTTGACTTTCAGAACTTCTTCTCCAGATGCATCGCAAATCGCAAAAACAGGATCAGTGCAATCAGCGCGTTGCTTTATCTTTCCAACAGTTTGGCCTCCCGCATTAATTTCTCAAAAATATAAATCAAAATTAATACATTTTCAGTCCACTTACCCATTTCTTGAAGCTGACAGGGAATGTAGCTCAAGCAACATCTGATGGTACAGTTGAAGGGTCTTATAAACCTCGCAACTTCTTTACCAGCGTTGTCAGCAATCACCATTTCAAAATCTCGAATAGAGCCACAGCATTGTCGTCCACAGCAGCCGCTCTTTTCTCCAGCAAAATATACTTGTTGTCCCATGCTGTTCAGAACCTTATCTTTCTACTCAAATACTGATTGAAATAATAAAGAACCTTGTATTTGTTTGAAGTTTCAAAACCCGTGAATGCTTCGAGAAGCTCGACTTGCTGTTTCACTAAAAGCTGATCGACGTAGAGCAAGTACTCCAATCCTGGTGGACAATTACTTGGCCGCTCCATTTCCGGCGCTGGTGCCCAGCCGTTTTCCCCTAACAAGGGAGCTCCCGCTTGAGGAGGCGCTTGATCACTCATTTTCAAGACTGTATGCTCTGTCGTTTCAGAAATGCTTCTCTGGATTAAAATGGGCTTGTGTATTTACCCTTCTGACTTGAATTTGCTACATTTAATATTTGACAGACAAATATTTTAGCCAAATTGGGCCCTTCCTGCGGACACTCAACAAAAATCACAATTTTTAGTCTAAATATTGATTGATTATTTGATCAAAAATCATAAATGGAAACTTTATAGCAGATTTCTTCTTGAAAGATAGTTGCTTATGTTAAATAATACCGATCTTTAGGGGTTTATTTGACCTCGCTTCTTGATTTTCTTGCCCCTGGTGATTCAATATTAATACTGTTTTCTTACTTGGATCAAAAATAAATTCAAAAACAAGTAGTCAATATCATGTGATATTAATATTTATCGTGTTAGCTGTCTTATATGAATAAAAGATCCTAACACCCTTATTTCCCCTCCGTCTCTTGCACTGTAACCAGGTCATGTGAGACTTGATATATGCTCCAATGCAACTTCTATTTGTAAGTGATATCAACAACGACTTCCATATGCTCCCGAGTCTTTTCCATTTTGAATATTTTTCGATAAGAATGACCCTGGCGCCTTCGGGGAACTCCGATACTAATCTCAGAAAGTGATAATGAGTTTCCTCCGCGAAATATTTTGCCAATCTGCAATTGCTGGATTGAGCCCAAAAACTTAGTGATAACTGATAAGGCCTCCCGGTACTTTACAATTTTATGATAAATACGAGACACGATGAGATAAAGTTCGGATTTGCTGGAATCATCATTGAGAAAACGATTAGTAGGATAGTGTCAGCTTTATTGAAGAAAGAAGAGTTTTTGTTTTGTTTGTGAAATTATTTGAAGTAATCGAAGAAAAATCGCTGTTCGTTTTGGAGGAGATCTGCGGGGATGTCTTTGAAAAGGGTTGATTTTGGCACTGTGGGTTTTTCGAGGTTTTTGTGAGAAATCGCGGTTAGGAACAATGTTGCTATAATAACAAAATTTTCATAAACCCGGAAGCTGATAAGGTGGAACCAGTTCGTTTAGGAATTTGATGCTCTGGACGCAGGTGTCTTGATTCAACCACTAAAACGAAGAATAAAGTCTCCTTCCTCTCTGACTTTCATCTCTACTTACGATTCAGAGCCAGAAGCATTGAAAAAAGAAAGAAAGAAAAGTCAAAATACATTTCTTTCGAGATTAGTTTTTGGCGTCTAGAAGAATAACTGCAGGTTCCTCCTTTCCCTCGCATTTTATCCGCTTATTCTCAACTAATCCGGCATCAATTATGCATTCAAAAAGACGTTTGAGCTCTCGGATTCATCAATTCAAGCCACTGGATGATCTCCAGACTCGTTGGTTTTTGGTTTCCCGTCGATTTTCGAAATCGACCTTTGCGTTTTTTCGCAAAGTAAACTTGAAGAAGGAAGATTTCTTTATTAAAAGTCTTCAGAAAAGAATATTTTTATATAATACAAATATCTTCGTGTGTGTTTTTCTTTGTACAAAAAGTTGTGTTGAGTCCGCTGGCGCAGCTTCAAATTGTCGGAAAATGTCGCGTATTTCGTCGATCGTTTGTGTTGTTGTTGCTATTTACAAAAAAAGAGTTACTTTAAAATTCACCTTTTAGTTTTTTCCATTTCAAATCCAAGATTTATCAACTTGGAAATCGGAGTTTTAGCATGTTTCTCCGTAAGGCTTTTTGTTTGTTGAAAAAAATGATCTTTTTTTAATAGAATTTTGAATAAAAAAAATCATTTTAGAAGTTTTTCTCGGTTTTTGATTAAAGATTAAAACAGTCAGATTCACCTAGAATTTAAAGTCGATCATTGTTTCTACGGAAGAAAAACATATTGTCTAATGCCAACGGGGTTCAAGATGCTTAAAAATTGAAGACACTCAAGGTACTCAGGATGAAAAACGTGACTTTAACCCTAATCATTTATCGAGCCAAGTGCTTGGTTAGACCATTTTCGATTCGAAATACAGTTTATTCCGGTTCTACTAGTAGCAATTTTTAATGATTAAATAACTTATTTTTTCGTCAAATAAGAAATTCAAGGCAAGTTTTCTTTTAGAATAATTTTTTTCTACAATAAAGACACTGTATCTCGGTCACAAAATATTTCTCACATGCAGCCATGTCTTTCATCATCAGTTATTCAATTTAAATGACAGAGAATACAGTAATATGTCACTATAATGAACCTGATAATGAAATTGATCTGACTGCGAGATGTCTCTATCATTACCGTCATCACCTAATAACCTAAAATCAACCACCTCGACAAAATCATTTGTCAACAAAATGAGACGTGTAATGTGACCGAGATCAAGAAGAAATGACGTTCCATCGGCCCCACCCGATAATCATTAAAGTCGCATACGGTATCCTTTCGAGCCCGCTTTGTCATTTTTAATTAAAATTAATGTTGACCGGCGAGTCATATAATTGCGCTTCTCGAGCTGCGTTCTAACTTCAATGACGCGGCGCCAAGTCATTTTCTTTTCCGAATAAACTTAATGATACTAACTTGCGGTAAAATGTAAACTAACGGGCGAAAAAGTAGTAAGTTCGAGGGACACGAGTTTTTCACTAGAAAATCGTTTTCTCCCAAAAATCCAACCAAAAACTTGTATTTTCGCAACAAAGCTTGATCCTCTGATCGGCACAGCATTGGTGCGTATTACTGGAGATGGGTTGCCGTTGCTGGTACGCAAGATTCGCTGTGTAGCTTCCGCAACATTGTTTTTTCTCGCCGGGAACTTGAATTGCCTGGCAGGTGCTTCGGTCAAAACCGTCGCCTGTTGCCTGATTGTAGCGGTATTGCGCGTTGTAGTAGCCCTTGTAGAACTGAAAAACGATCATGAAAGCACAACCCAATTTTTTCGTTGCCAAACCTGATCTCTGAGCTTGTGAGCGAAGTTCCTGTCGCACTGGCAAATTCTCCATCTGCAAGAACCCTCCTCATTCGTGCAAAGAACGTCTTTTTGCCCATTGGCGTCGTTGATGAGTTGCATACTGTAGCTAGATTCCTGATCGCAATGCTCGCCAGTGTCCTCTTTCGTGTCCTTTCCGGCACATTGGTAACACTGCTTCAGTTCCTGAAAATTATTGTAATTTTGGCCGCGCCCAAAAACCGTTTAGAAATTTTGAGACAGTTTTTCATTATAAAAATGAGCTTGAAATGGAGAAAACCATAAAGATTGATATTTTTTAACTAATTTATATATTTTTCATTGATTTCAGAATGAATCTGTAATAAAATCTCTGAAGTAAACTATAGACCATTCCCTCTCAAAAAACCCTTTCAAAAAGTTTAAAACATCATTTTAGAAAAAAAGTAATCAAAACTCTTTACTTTACGCAATCAAGTGATATTATCTCTAACTTATGAGTTATGAGCAGCTCACTTCATCACACTGATTAAAAAAACGGGCGTTTCTGAATATGATGGAACTGTTTTTTTTCAGTCAAAAAAGTCGATGCATTTCCTGGCTCTTGAAAAAAATTCAAAACGCCTGTTGGGCAGGAAATGCTCTCATACCCGCTTATTTTTACTGTTAAAATTTTTAATTCGACTTACTTTGCAAGAGTTGTCGATAACATCGACCGGCTTTCCAAGTCCGGGAGAGTCATCATGAACCGACTTGTCTGGCAGACAGTAGCAGCCGTAGAAGCAGAATCGATCAAAGTTGAAGTCCTTGGCCGCTTCAGTGCTCAGATCTAGAATCCCCATCACGACTATCTTCAGCTGCAATAGCTTTCTGATCGCCTAATAATCAGTGTTCACACAAAAAGTGTCAAATTTTCAGCAATTAGTGATTAGACGAACTTTGCTGACGCAATATTTGAGAACATGCAATTACAGCGGTCGCTTTCGAAAAATAACGAATCGACCCTAAAATCTTGAATTTTAAGAAAGAGTGAACACCTCCCAAAAGACTTGAATGATCTTGGGTCGTAAATGCGTTCCTGTTGGTTTTGTATTTTGTGTAAAGCGTGTTCATTTCGTAGAGTTTTTCTTGAATCCCGGGGCCAGTGTTATTCATTAGCTCCGCAGATGGTTGAAATCGTCGTCCGGCTAGTCCTGAATTGAGTTTTGAAGAAACCATAAAGTTGAATTCAAATTGTTATGAGTTATACTTTTAGATTTCGACCAAAGGCGAAAAAGACAAGGAAAATAAACATATTGATTTTGTTCAAAAACCAATAAATCATGATCGAACTAGAGTAGGCAAAGACAAAAGTAATGAATGTAATGAGTTTGAATGGGATCTGAAGACTTCATCCTTCTTTGACCTACCCAAGATCGAACTCTCATTATTGCCGAAAAATTTTACGGCTAGGGACTTACCATTTGTTGGAGGCAGCTGAATTCCAGCAATCGCAAATTCTTCTTCAATATCAAGCTCAGATCCTCGAGCCATTCTCAGGTTGAGCTGAAGTGCTGTGAGCGCCAACGCAAAAAACTTCACCATTTTATTTCCTGAAAATTTTTTTCTCTTCTTTTTTTAACACGATTTGGCTTACAGTGATGAAGATCCCAAATTTGATGGAAGCTGTGAATATTTCTCTTTTTTCAAAAAATAAAATTTGCTTTTGACGATTTTGACTCAAGAATCAGCGCTGAAATACGAAAAAGATCGAGAAGGTCTATTTTGCCTTATCACAAGAAAAGCTTATATAGTTTCCCCATGAAAACACATAGCGCCGTTGGTCGCGGAAAATTTGCGCGATGGCGCTACAGCGCGCGCCGCGCACAATCGGAGTACTCATGATTTTCCAGCGCGGAGAAGAAGGGGTGAGATAGGTATCTTACGAAATCGGCTGACTCATACAATTTGAAAAAGGATTGATTTTACATTTTTGAAAGGATTTATTTATAAAGGATTCTTATTGTGGTTTTTTTTTATAAAGAAGCCGCGCAGCGGCTTCCCAAGAATTAAGAAAATCTAGTTAAAAAAGGTACTTTCTTAGACAAGCTGCTACGAATTTATTGATAAGAGCTCTTTTAGAACCCTGACTCAGGTTTCTACACAGGTTTTCCACCAAGAGATCCGGCTATTTTGAAAAATGGCTTTGATATTGAACCCGAAAGATTATTTTTCTCAAAATTTTTTGGTTTGCCAACGTGTTGTTTTCTTGAAAAATATTTAACATTTTCCTTTGAAAGCCCTTCTTTGCGGGCGCGGCTAATTTATTAATCAATGCGCCAAGGTTCACGCGGATAAGAACGGATCGCGAGGTAGATTTCTATCGCGCGTTCCAAAAAACACCGAAGAAATTTACGGGTCATCAGATAGCTTTTGGACTGGCTCTTCGGGTGGGAAAAATTGACCATAAACGGATAGAAAAATGAATAGTTTTGCATTTTTTTTCTTGAAATACCAGTTGTTGAGTCAGGCTTCTTGAGTTTTGATAGGTTAGGGTTAGGGTTCGGGCCCCTTTTTTGCAGTCTTGCATAAGGTTGAGTTCTATCAAAAACTCCTCCTCTGCGAGAAAATTTTTTGATGAACGATAAGTGGAGCCTTCAGCTTGGAATTTTTCATTTTCAGTTCGATCATTTTCTTTTGGAACAGGTTCGTTCCGACTCGGAAGTGCTTCTAACGAAGAAACGAACTCTCCAAAAAAATGATGAAACGGGAAATTTTCAATTTTGTCTGTCTCGCTAGTTACTGCAGCCGTTTCTTTGTGAGTAATTATAAACAATTGTGAAATAAACTGTCCTCTTGCCTGTCGAACAGGAGAAACAAACAGAGTAATTATGCTTAGTGAGCAGTTTAAATGGACCCACGCTCAGAAGCTCGTTAGGCTCGAGCAAGTTGCATTAGAGTTCCACCAAAATGCAATTCCTGCTCGATTTTTCTCCCGCGATAATCATATGCTGGGATCCGACGAATTTCTCAGCTTCGTTTTCGCTCTAGAATTCTATTATGAGCTGTTATTTTCCTTCTCAATTATAAAGTCAGAGCTTTTTAGCTTCAAATAATTAAATCTTTCTGACTGTAAAAAGCTTAATAACAGTCAGAACGCATATCCTTGTTGAACATTTTCTCTTAGACGCACTTCGTCATTTTGATCCGCTCTTATCTGTTAATTGCTTTGCGATGCTTAGTACGATTTATAAAGCGGAAAATCTAAAGTTTATAATCGCTCTCTGTCTGTGACGCAAAACTTGCAGAAAAACATTCAAGTTCTAAAATTTTCAATATTGAAAGTTGCTAAAGTCGGTCAAAAAAGAACCCCCACGTAATACCTTCAATTGGTAGCAGCGCAACTTATCACTAAAACTAACATTTTCTTATCCGGTCGTCGATCCAATTTTTCACACTTGTTACTACTTACGTTTTTCTTTTCGAATTCTTGAGTCGACAAATGCTTATTTTTAGCATCTGCTCAATCATTTTTTCATTTTTAATAATCGAGAAGCCGCTTGCGGCTTCGAGTAATAAGGAACAAATAGCCGCGCAAAGCGCGGCTTAATTCATTTTTACTCGAAGCTGCAAGCGGCTTCTCGGTTCTCAAAATTTTGATGAACATTTTTTTGACTGGAATTGCAATTATGTTTTCAAAAGATAGTCTAGACTTGCCGATTGAAAGTGAAAACGCTCCACTGACTTGTCGTGATTCTAGGCCAGCTGTGCTTCTAAGTGGCTGGCGATATCGTCTCACGGGCGGAAGCAGAACTGGCTAACCACATCATCGCGATGAATATGAAATTTCAACGTTGAATATACAAAAGCGCCCAGATGGGGCTATTTTACGCGTTTCTCAACACCCGGGACTTGATTTGCTGTTTCTAAATAAATTTAGAACGCTACAAATAATATTTCAAGGGGTTATTCTGGGACAAATTTCCAATTTTTTTTTCAATTTTTGCAAAATTATAAAAATGAGCTCGTATATTATTACGGCAAAAATCACTTATAGTCATCTCTTTCTTAGAGAACCCCCTTCTTCCTGTCTAGTAGGGTCGAAATCGCTAAACATTTATGCATCGCAAAATTAAGGACCTCCCTCCGCCCCAGAAAGGATTTCAAGAGGCAGCCGTAAATATTCAATATTTTCGTCAAGTCCAGCACTTCCAGCTCGTCCAAAGCAGTGACGAATTTGAACAATCAAGCCTCACTCTCAAGTCACACAATTGAACGAAGTCAATAAGTACCGTGCATAACAATCACCTCTTTCCCGTAATTTTACGTGTTTGAAGCACTCGATTTCGAGTCCACGATCGTGTTGTTTCAATTTTTTTTTTTGCTTTTTCGAAGAACGTTTTTATTTTCCTCCGCGCATTTTTGAGAAAAACGATCAATTCAGGAATTCTAGAGCGGGATAAACAAGGGCGAAATATTCAGTGAAAAAGTACTCGAGCAATTATTAATTTTATGCGGAAAAAAAGCGAATCTCGCACACAAAGAACGCTGTTTTGGCGATTGAAGAGCCCAGCGAATAACCACACGATGAATAATGCGGCGAGTTTCCGCTCCAACGTTGCAGCAATTCGCGTTCTTCTCAACCCACCCAAAGAAAAGCACGAAATTCCCGAGCTCCCACAAGATTTCAACACTTTTTCATAAGGTCCGTCATTTCTCTCAGAATCTTTTTTTATTAGGGAAACAATGGATAAGTCGATTCGAAAGTCAGGAAATTAGGATAAAGCGTGGTTATCAGAAGAGTTTTCGAACATCGCTCATTTGGAACGGCTTTCTGCAACTTGGACAGTTCTTCGGATTGACAGAATTGAGGCATGAGTAGCAGAAGGTATGAAAGCATTTCGTGATGCAAGACTGGTGGTGGAGGTTTTTATCGAAAGACGAAAAGCAGACTTTGCAGGAGTTTTCATCAGCTTCTTCTTTAAATAAATTTATTTCGAAAACAAGTTTGAAGTTAACCTTGATTTGACGATCTTGATGTTATTTCCCGAATCATTTGTTTTCTCTCGGAAAAAGCTTCTAGCTCTTTTTCGATTTTCTTCTTTTCTTCTGTCAGTTTTTCGTTAGTTTGCAAAAGATTCTCTATTGATGCGCAATTACTGTCAATCGCTTTTTCTATCGATTCAAGTCGAGCTGTTTTTGCCTTTTCATCAGAAACTAGTTTTTCCCATTCAACTCTTACTGACTTAAGTTCGTTCTCCCGAAGGTTGAGGTCTTTTTCAATGTCATCAGGAAGTGTTCCAATTTGAGAACTCCTGATATTTTCTTGAACTTTTATCAATTCTTGTGATCTTTGCTTGTGTTGAGCAAAATGCTCGAAAAACCCATCGAATGTATGGGTCTCTCTACAAATGACAGAAAAGCATCGGAACCGAAGAGTTGATACATCGTTTGTCACGTATTTACATTCACAATTTCTTTTGTGCGTTAACGATAGTGAATTTGCACAATCTTTGCAATAAATCCTTTCTCTAAACGTACAGGGCCAAGAATTGACATAAAGTTCATTCGTGATTACGCTAAAATATCTTTTGATAATGAGAGAAACAAATAATGGAATAAACCAGCAATCAGCGCAAGCAAAACTAGAAGCTCGAAAGCAACCAACCAAAAAGCTCGATGGAATTTCTCGTTTTTCAAGACTTAAAACGCCTCTCTTTCGATCAGACATCCTCTGACAATTGTCAAATTTGAACGTAAAATTATACGCTCGTGTTCGAAAACATATAAATAAAAGAGATTTTACGACCATTATTGAACACTAAATTTTCAACTGACAAGTGTCTCGTTTAATGATCTGAGCTACTGTAAACTTGAACAAAAAATGCTTATGATTCAAAACTTGTGACGCTAAAAAGTATTCTAATTCAATAGTTTACACAGCTTGGCTATTCTCGGACGAAATGAGTGGAACCGGGCGTGCCCTTATTTGAATTGTCTTTATAAGTGGGATGATATCGCGCCCAGGTGCACGTTGAGAGGATGACGCGAAAATATTTCTCCAGCAAACACATAATCTAAGCTTGACTCTTTTTTTAATTGTGTTATCTTTTCAATCGCTGAATGCGGCCAGAATACGGCTTATTTCGCGGCTGCCAAAAGCATCAAATATTATCTCACCATTTTTGGGCAAATTTAAGGCGACTTTTAGAAATTTTTCTAACGAAACTTTCGTGGCTACAGTGATTTTTGGTCAGTAAGAAGGGGATAAGAAAACTTTCACCTTGACTGCTGTTCACATGGCAATTCGCGGTTTTTGGGAGGCACAATTTGGTCGATTATGCAATCGAAACTAGACATTTTGGAAATTCTCGCACAATGGCGAGTCTAAGAGACTGTATTTGCTCAACTTCTCAGTTTGTTCTTGCCCGGCGTTTTGAATTTCTGGGTCAGTTTCTGCTGCTCATTCGGATTCTGTTAATTCCGAAATGAAGTTGAGATAATTTTTTGACAAAAATGAGGAAAAAAATTCAAAAATAAAAACGAAAAATATGAAATCATTGAGAATCTTGACCACGAATTGGACAAAATGAAGCGAAAATACTCGAGATGAATGTTGATAGCGTGAAAATATTGAATAACTTTTGATTATTTTCGTAAAAATTATTTTACTGTTTACTATTATGAATAAAATGACCTACTACTAGTACGTTTTCCCTGCAATCAATATAGTCGACAATCTTTGAAATAAAATAAATTAAAAAAAAACCCCTTTTTTGTCGAAATGAATCTAAAAAAGAGACCTTCTATTCATCAATAGTGCTCATGTCTGAACTTTTCCGGTATGCCCAAAAAACGTGATCCGGGATTAGTAATCCCTCAAGTGCTGTGAATTTCCGTCTTGACAATTTTATAATATTTTATATAATAAGACGCGAAGACAAAAACGACAAGTGTCCTGAGACAGGTAGAAGGTGATGCTATGCGGGTTCTACTTCTACGGGCCCTCGAAGCGACAATTCCGGAAAAATGAATGGCCCACTAAAAGATCGTTGGAAATCGGCAACGTAACAGTCGAGGGCGAGGAGTTTGAGTGAACTGGGTAATAAGACGCATTCCAGGCGCGAAGGAGAGGACCTTTTTTCACAGGAAGTTGATCCTTCCAAAATCCAACATTTTGAATGTGACAAATCCGACTCTGGTCGTAATCCCGATAATGCTTCCGTCGGAAGCATTGTCGGAATGTTCTTTCTGCCAAAAAAAAACGCTGGTCAACACGTGACAAGAAAACAGACATATTCTTTAGGAAGATCTATTGCGTGTTACGTAAGCTATCACTTTTTGCTAGCGTCGTTCTAAAAAAGAGGAACTCAATACGTTCACAAAAACGGCGATAAACATGTGGTTTAGTAAATTGGTATGAAAAATGGGCTTGATTACGTCTATCTTATCAAAAAGAGGGGGTGAAAGGGCGGTACAATTTCAACTATAGGCTCTTGAAAATTGATCGAAGAGATTTTGAACTTTAATTTTTATGACCCTGACTCAGGATTTCACACAGGTTTCCGAAAAAGATTTTTCTTTTTTAAAGAAAATTGACTTTGAAATTGCAAAAGTGACGGTTACGAAAACGAGAATTCTTGTTTGACTTGAAAAATTGGATTTGAACTCAAATTGTGAATCATGAAAATTATATCAAGTGGCGGTTCTTATCAGCCTGGTAGACTAAAAACGCAAAATTAACCGTCTCAACACGGTTTTGATTTCGTTTTCACGTTTTGTCATAAAATTTGAACAGTTGCGAAAATGCCAGATGAAAATTTATTGTTCAGAGTTGTTCTTTTAAAAACCACGTGATAGGACCGCTGAGAGGGGCGAAACGTGTTTTCGAATTAATTTGCTAAATAGAGTAAATAAAAAAGGGTTTTGGTAATCACGTAAGATAAGTAAGACCGCTTTGATTTTGAGCCCTTTTCACACGATTTCAAGTGGCCAAGATTGACGTTATATTCTTCTTGTTTCATCCAAAACAATAACTCAAACAGCCGAAAACGCATTTGGCCTGAAAATCCCTGTTTTTTCTTTTGCGCAAAGATACTATTTTAACAGCCTCTTCCGGAATCCAGGGAACGACCGCAATCCAGGGGCTTGGCCTTGAAAATTTCATCAGACGGCACGAGGCCCGTTTTGTGAAAAAATAGAGTCGACGGATGAGTAGCTACATCTGGCGACATCGGATTGGTGGTCTTCGTAACGTGTAACTTTTTGAGTTTCGGAAGAAAGGAAGTTATTTATTTTTGAGGAAGACAGATACAGTTGACGATTAGTATTTACAATAAATTATTATTTCCGGGGCCCAAACGTTTAGTTAATTTCGTCAGGTGATGTGAATCTATGCTCAAATGTTGCACTTGTTCTGACTGAGTTCGCTGGACTTAGACCTCGACCAAACTGATAAGAAAATGGTGGAAATTGGGAAGGTTCTTGTTTTGGTGGAGATCCTGTATGGATATTTTGAATATGAGAATTCGAGATGCTGGATTCGATTCTTGGCGTTGAGACTGAAGCTCATGTTGAATGTTTTGCGCGTAGTAGTATAGTTTACCTGATATTGACTCATTCGAGTAAGTCGAGCAGTTTCCGATGTCAATGCTGCTATTTTGTGGTCTTTTGCTTCATTCTCTCTCTTCAAGTGGTCGATAACAAGATCTTTCTCTTGACATTGTCGACATGAAAGCTCTTCGGGCTGCTACAATCACAATGACAAACTCATAATTGGTTCTTTACCGGTCTCGTTTTTATCGGAGTAATATTTGCGATATTCCTGTGGACATTTGTAGTGCTGTCTTTTGCTGGCAAGGGCTTCGTTTCAAAATCAGAAGGCTTCAGTAAACCATGTATTGTTCTAAAAAAAATTTGAATAATTGTTCATCTTGGGAATCAACCTGTTTCTACGATTCATAAAAGACGTGTTCCAAGTATTTCGGGCAGTTTCAGTAGGGATTTCTTCGGTTTCTTTCCTACAAAATAATAAATGAGTTTTTTCTACTCAATAACAAAAGACAATTTCTTACTTGCTTATTGAAACAGCATCAAGACCAATCTGAGTTTCCTTTATACAATTATCTACGGTCTCAACTGGCATGAACTTTTCGATTTCGACATTTCTTTTCATCTTTTCAGGAGGATGACTTTTGATTTTTGAGTCTTTAACGTTTTCTTCTTTCTCTAAACCTGCTTCTGTCTCCATGCGTTTTGCCATAGAAAAATCTACTTGCTTGCTTTTCTGAAATATGCGAATGCTTGCATTCGACTTGACGATTTTCCTTTTCTCTATTTAAATAAAAATCTGTCTGCAAATACACTCAGCCGAGAAGGGAAACTTTGATTTACGAACAAAATTTATTTCATCTATTATCATGGTTGACTTGAAGGAGACGACCACTGTCTTTGAAAGTCATTGTTCGAAGAAAGAGAGCTCTTCCGCCTAGACCGTCTTTCTGGAGAAGGTGCACTGCCCGAGAAGAAATTATTGATACTGATAGTTGAACCAGATTGAGCTACAAATCCAGGTGTTCTTGATTCTTCCATCATTGAGTTTCGACTCTGCAAGAATGAAAATTTTCAGCAATATTTTTTTCGTACCTCCAAGCTCATTTGAGTCATTTTCAAAGTCGCCTCCAGCTGTTGAATGTGATTTTGAAGCTTTGAAATTGTCATATCTTTTTCAGAACACCCTTGGCAGTTATTTTTCAGGGACATCTTATTCTAAAAATTTATCTGAGAGGAGATTTTTTAAATAAATTTACCGTTTGTTGCGTAAGATTTTGCACCGTCTGCATTCTTGGCCTTGGCGCTTGAGTGACAGGAAGATTTCTTGGGTAAAAATCGGTAGCATTCGTTTGCCGTAGATTATTGCTGTCGTAGTCGATTTCCGTTTGGGCACTAAAATTTTTTTTCATCGAGTATTTTTTTCCTTTACGTTTGAAAGGCTTCGTCATCCCGAGGAATCTGATTATTTGAGGTGAAAACCCCACTGTCACCCATCGATGAAAAGCCTTTCTTCTCTGAAATCGGCCCTGCACTGGCCAGAGGGGCGTTACCAGTCTCAAATCTTGGATGGATATTTGAGGTGTTGCAGTTTTGTATGCATTGCAGCCTCCTCCTGAGATTTATTAAATAAGGCCATCAATACGTAAGAAGTAAACAGTCAAAGCCATGAAGTTTATTTTTGCTTATCAAAATTTCACACTGGAGATATTCTTCTGTTACGTTGTTATACTGAAAAGTAAAAAAATGACACCGGAAGTCATATTTTAATACTTCCTCATTTTCCATATCCTTTTCTTTCAAAAATGAATGACCGCCTCGCTTTTTTAGAGGAGCTCGAAGAGGAACTAAAAAAAGTTGAAGAGCTTGTGCATGAAATAGAAGCTCCTGTTATCAATCTCAAGAGCGCCAATGATGCAAACGAAACTGAGGAGGAGCTTTTTGTTCTGCCAGATCATGAAAAAGTCAATTCGACTTGGACTTGTGAAGCTAAGCATCACACTTGCGTGAGATTTTTTGAAGAGTACAAGCATTGGAAAGATGCGCAAAAACATTGTCATCTGCACAAATCCCATTTAGGAAGGTCTTGATTAGACAGAAAATTATCTTATCGGAAAATTTTATGAAGACCTTTTGAGCTCGAATTTATGATGAAAACTACCTTCATTTTCTCGATACTTTTCGCAATCGCCAACGAGATATCAACGGATTCAACGCATCTGCTTGGCCAGAAGGGACCCTCAGACCCGAAGGCATGGAGCCAGTATCGGCTTATTCAGAATTTTGGGTGTATTACAATGATATAAAAAAGGACTCCGAGGGAAATTATCGAATAGATCGATGGAATGTCAACGACGGAACGAACAAAACCCATGACTTCCGGTTCCTTGATTTTTAAAAACTTTAAAGAAAAATGAAATTAAGGAGGAGACGACAAGCGGATGATGAGGAAGAAGACGACCCCTACCCGGCTGATAATTTTCTTAACGATGGCTCGAAAGGAAACAATTTTGAGTAAGCATCCCTTTTTCTTCGCGAAATGACAAACTTTCCTGTTTAGTTGGGATGACATCGATGAGCAGGGAATGTGGGCAGATGACGATCCCAACTCCCTCGACCCCAACGACGACGACTGTGTCTATCTAAACAAGGATCTCAAGCTTGGCGACACCAGATGCGATGTCGACGAGAAATTCTTCATTTGCCAAACTCTTCCTCGGAACAGCGTCTTTCACGTCTATCATCAAGTTTTCAGCGAGGAATGCAACCCGAGCGATCCTGACTGCGACTTCTTCCGCATTGAAGACATAATTGCACTGAGAAACAATGAACGGTGTGAAAGTGTAGACTCTGATGACTGTTTTATCTTCAAAGGACCGTCGGGAAATCGAAATAATGCCACTTCCTGGCTCAATATGAAGCCTTTTCGATATCTGGAAAATCAAGGAGGACTGTATTTCAAAATGCAGTGGACTCCCGGATTCGATCTTTCCTGCAATCAAAGAAGCTACGAATGTGTTGAGAAAAAGCACGGACATTTCATCACGTGGTATCAGGAAGAAAATCCATTTACGAATACAACTTCTCCAGACACGGCAAGAAATGATGATGAGCGAGATGCAATCAACAACGAGCGCGCTAGAATATTTCCTCAGAATGTGACATTCTTTCCTGGCAAGAACTTCGAGGAGATTTTTGGAGGAGAATTCAAAGAATGCGATGGGCTGGCTTTTAATGGACTTGGATTTGGAATGGATCAGTCTAGCTTGTTCACTGGAATCTTGAATTACGAGCAGTTTTATCAAGTCGGAGCGACAACTGCTTTCAGAGCTCAAAGTGACTCAAGCTCGAGTGATACGGTGATGGGTTTCTTTCATATTGCCACGATCAACAATACCGACGTCCGAGATAATAAGTATTCTTCTCTTTGACTTCAGTTTTAAGGGTTGCCCCGAAGATCAAATCGGGTCAAAAGGAGGCAAGAAAGGAGCAAAGGGTCGTTTATTCGGCGAACAAGAATTCGACACGGACTATAACTGGGGAAAGCCGGTGCATGGAATTGACTTGTGGATCAGTAAAATGCCCTTCCCATCTCAAGGCACCTACAATTGCACCAGTGATTTATACGGAGATTACCAAGGCTTCATGAACGGGTTTTTCTAGCGAATTCATCATCTTATTATTTAAAGAAAAACATAAAAAAGGACTCAGCAAAATTCGAATGACACATCAGCTGCTGAAAATTTCTTGGCATTTACTTGTCGAATGCGTAAAAATTGAAGCTTATATTCCCCTTTGAAAACGAATTTAGCTCCGCCTCCGGAAGAAATCCCTCCACCAACTATTGTACCGGAAGTGCCATATGTTCCTGGAGCAGCTGAAACGCTTGGAGCTGCGGCTGGTGGAGCTCTTGGTGGATCCCTTGTTGGAACTCTTGCGATTAAGGCCGCTCCAAGTACATTTTTGGACGATTTTTAGTTTTCGAGCTTTATTCTAGAGACACAGGTGTTCTTCCAAGAGGCTGCAAAAGGCTTTGCTCTTTGGTTGAACAAAAAATTCTTCGCAATGCCTGAAATGAAGACGAAATCAACTGCTTATCATCCAGAGCCAAAGAAGCCAAAGTCTCATGCGAAGACTCAATATCTTGATCCTTCTCTTTTGATCGAGGAACATCTTCATCGGCAAGGATTCAAGAAATATCTGAACGAAAACGGCGAAGTTGAAAATCAAGTTAAAATTGACGATGAAAATATTCCCGAAGAAGTTGATATCTCAGACATTGATATAAACGAAGAAGATGTCGACTTTTCTGAAGATATTGCTGGCAACGAACATGATGATGAACAGGAGGAGCATGATGGTAAACCACTTCTCAAAGATTTCTCGACAAATATCGATCTTCTGGACTACGTCGACTTCCACGACTGGGAAGATGATACTGATGAGACGGGCAAGAGTCTTTCAAAGTGAAAAATATCCTTGAAAAATATGATTTTGAAAGATTGAAAAGAGCAAAAGGTGTATGTCGATGTGGAAGAAATCGAGAAAACTACGGAAATGGCGAAACGAATCGGAGAACTTGATCGGGCCTGCGAACCGAGATGCGATTTGTTACCGGGATCAACCTCTTTCTCTTCATTTTAGTAGGTCGAAAAGTTGTATCCCCTCGTAGATTCATGAATACGATGGAGAACTCATTGACGAAGCACATACTCTTCTTGCCTTTTTGACAGATAAATCGAAGACATTCAAAGAGATCTTAGCTGATGTCGAGGAGCAAAACTCGTCTGAAAGAGAAGAACCCGGATCCGAAAAGCTTGGAGAGCTCTTTGCCAAATATCCTGGTCTTTCGATCTCCAGGTGCTTTTTCCATTTCTTGAATGATTCTTAATTGCTTTAGGCTTCATGATAAATCAACATCAACACCGGTTGAGCTCAAAAAAGCGCTGAAGAAAACGGCGGGTGAGATCTCTGGACCTCTCGGATCGAATAAGATTGATCTGATGAAAAAAGCCGCATCTTTGGCCGGAATCAAGGGACTGGGCTCTTCTACCTGTAACTTAATGAGAAAAGTACGAGTTGAACAAGCCCGAAAAAGGTTCCGAAAAACATAGAAGGAACGATCAAGGCAAAGGCGAAGGACTTCCTGTTGAAGATAAGCGTCGATCTTGTTCAAAAAGTCAATACAAAACTTCTTCCAGTGTAAGAATGCCTAGACCAAATCAACGCTTTATTGATATTGATTATTATAGAGAAGAGTTAGAGCAAATCAACTTCGATAGAATTCTCTTCCCGCCTGAGAAATTCGATGCTCAATTACAGGTCATTTTTGTCAATAAATCAGAAAGACTAACTCATGTTTTCAGGCGTACATGTACCCAGATCAAGAAACACAACCGTTCGGAATGAGCCCAACACTACCTGGTTTCTGGGTGACGAAGAAACTCAACACTAAAGAAGACCTGAGGACTCACATGGTTAAAATCAACACGGAGAGTTCAGAAGAGGGATCAGAGAAAGATCAAGAATGAGGAGACTTATCATACATTTTGAACACTTACTGCTACAATAAATAAAAATGATAATAGTGTAATGTTAGTATTCCGTGGAGACGAAAAAGAATGACGAGAAAACTTTTCTAAGTAAAATTGATTTATTTATCGAGATAGGAAACTTACAATGAATATGATGACACAGATCTCAGTTCGGTAAAAAATGTGAAAGACCAAATTTTAACTTCATTTTATACAAATATTTTTTTCTCGATGATCGGATTACCTAGAATTAGATTAAAAATTTAGTGTTTCATTTTGCTGTTTTCTCCTTCAACAAGCACTTCTATCTTTTTCAATTTTTGAGGAAATTTTCTTCATTTTTTATTCCAGAAAAAGGCGCGATGAGTCATTTTGTTCGGCAAGTTGCCTCGACCAATGAGCGCACGTCTTTTTCTCGTTTCTGCGCGGAAAACTCGTTTCGCCAATTTTCGAGAATCCATCAAAGAAAAACTTTCAGAAGAAAATGGATGCGAATACAGTCGAAAAACTGCACGAATACGGCGCCTTTTTGATTCTCTTAGGAGTTCCAAGAGGAACTGAGTTTTCGATTGATTGGAATTCTTGGCAAAGGCTTAAACTTTTCATGAATTTTAAATGATATTTCTCGATAATATGATGATTAAAATCCTTGTTGAAAGACTACAGATACGAAGTTCAAAGGACTGAAGATGATACCGCCAGGAGTTCACTACATTTCGTACAGGTAAAATCAAATTCGTCTTTTTCTTTTTTATCCTACTCGAAAAAGCCGCGCGCGGCTTTCATTTAAGTTTTATAAATTCCTGAAGCAAACGAAGAATTCAAAATTAGAAGCCGCAGGCGACTTTCTCGCATATTTTACCTCATATTTCAGAATCAACAACTCGCCCACATCCGGCTTTTTCCACAATTTCTCCCAAAAGGAAGTCTTCTCCCGAAAATGGGAGCCTGCCTCCGCCGTGTTCAAAGAACTCGACCAACTGACAGCGTCTAATATCGCCCTCCCAGAAAATCTCAAAACGATGGACGGCGAGCTGGCACCGTATCCGATTGAAGAATACAAGAAATGGTGCGGCTTGTCGAACTTGATCTCGAAGAAGGCTTTGCTGCGGTTGGACCCGAAGTGTGGATTTGTTGATTCCGTTTGCGATTACACCCCTGCTGTGGATGAGAATAACAGATCGAAGTTGGATAAAGATGGGCTTCCTATTCTCAGCCAGGTAAAAGAAAAAGAATATTTTCCTTTGGATTTTCTCTGTGAAGGAAAAATGCCGCTCTTAGTTGATATGCCTGTTTTTCGGCTATTTTGTCTTTTTAAATTGTTTTTTTTTGGCTGGCCCTGATTCCTCGGTCGTTAGAAATTTCTAGAATTTCTCTATTTTGACCTTACAACTTTCAGACCGAAGAAAGTCGAATTCAATACACTGCCGTTAGTCGCCAATGGTGGCCGGAAAATTGCTCCCCTTCCGAGAGATCTCTTCATGCTCAAGACTCCAGTTGGTTTCTCGGAGAACTCGTGAAGAAAACCGGCTCTTCGGAAGATTTGCTGGCAGAGCTGCAGTACTCGTACATTGTTTTTGTTCTTGGCCAGCATATGGCGAGCTTTGATCATTGGAAACAGCTTCTCAGGTGAGATTTCTGATAGTTTTCGATTTCGACTGAACCGATGAATACAGGGTTTTTTCTTACTGCACCGACATCGTCACGCATTCCGCTCTATACCAGAAGTTCTTCACTGCCCTTTACTTTCAAATCCAAACGATGCCCGAAGATTTTATGGTTGACATCGTGTCCTCCAACAATGTCGTTCTTCAATGTCTCAACCAGGTAATTGGAGACAGCTTTTTTTGAAGCAACGCTGATCCACTCAAATTCTATCTCATGAAATTTTAGCTTTTCCGAAATGTCTTCGACGCAAAAGCAGAAATACCACCCGCTCTTTTCCTCCGAAGCTCGAAATTTCGAACCTACTGCGAGACAAAGTTCAACTGGAAGCTTTACGAAGATGGAGAGTCAGAAGATGACGACGAAGATGGTCCCACAATCGTCCAACTCTAGCTGTTTTCTGAACTGCCTTCGCTCAAGAACGGATAATCCACAACTTTTAATGACACCTCTCTTTTTAGAATGTTGAAGGTCGGAAGTCGTCGATTGCTCTCCGTCGGCCTTGCCCGTGCCCAGACCTCTGGTATCATCGCTCACGGCAACACCACTGGCGATGAAGTCTACATTGTCGGACAGAACGATCCCCGACGAAACCAGGTAGGGAGCCTTTGTTTCTTTCCTTTTTAACCCTCTTCAGGACAACCCCGAATTCAACCTTCACTTCTTCGAAACCCTCCACGTTCCCTTCCCCATTCGACCATTCCAGATCGGTCGACCCGGCTCCGAGCTCGCCGCCGTTCGAGCCAAGGAATCCGGCGATTGGAAGGATCTCTCCGCTGCTGAGAAGGTAAGCCAGGAAAAATTAAAAATAAAGCTGATAAAGCATGCTTCATTCAAGTCCGATTTCTTACCCGATCGTTTAGGAAGCCCTTTACCGAGGTGCCTTCATGCAGCCAATTGCCGAACAGCAGCAGGGAACCGACATGTGGAAGGGCATCCTCGGCGCTTTCATGCTCGTCATGGCCTCCACCACCTGCCTCGTCTACGAGCTCCACGTAAGAGCACCACCCTTTTCACCCTCTTATATTTTCGCTCTAGACCGATGTCTCTGGCTTCAAGCCCAACCAGGCCGGTTTCTGGTACTTCTGGCAGCCCGGATGGGCCCAGACCCGAATGAACATCGCTGCCGAGAACATCTTCCTCGAGGTAAGATTTTTCAGAGTCTACCGGACCCTTACTAACCTGAATTCAGTACACTGGTTCCTTCAACCAGCGAGACTACAAGCACTGGGACTACGTCAACCACTGCTGGAAGAACCCCAAGGAGACCCGAATCGACGGTGCCGATTAAGGACCCTCCCTTCAAGCCCCCAATTCAACAATAACAAGAGTAGGATCATCAATTCCACCTCAACATGCCGCTCGTCGAACTTATTTATTAAAAAATTTCCCTTCCATCGTCTTATTTTGTTAAAAAAGGCGATGGAAGAGTCATTTGTACCTTCTATTCCCTTGTTCAAAAAATGTTCAATTCTTGTTTGATCGACATGTTTGATAAACAAATAAATTATACGTCCGAAAATTAAAGAATATTCCTTATTTATGCCTCCTTAAAATAGCCTTATAAAAGAATTTACTTATGAAAGAGCCGCTTGCGGCTTTTAAGATTAATAAAAAAATTAGTTACAACTTCTTAGAGATACTGTCTAATTCCTAGGTCTAATAAGCCGCAACCGGCTTTTTTGCTTTTTGCAACTTTCAACTTTCGTATTTTTGATTTTTTTTTATATAATTGTAAGGTTGAATGGAGGCATAAATAATTGATGTAATCTCTTAATTGTACCCTCAGTCCCTTCCTTTGCGCTAGAATTCTTGCTATTTTCCGCTAGCTAGCTTTTTGTGAAAACAATGGATCCCTCGTGTCGCCGGGACCTGGTAGTAAATTCGAATTACAACTTCGATCAAAGCACCAAGCTCAAAGCAATTTTTACAACTTCAAAAACGGCCCAAGAGCAATCAGCGATTACGGCTGTGAAAAAAAATAAAAGATCATCGAGACTCTACTAGACAAATAATAGAGAAAAAAGAGAAGGCCTTTGGAAGAAAAAGGATGAACTGATATGAAGCTCTTTGGTGGTTTTGTTTTACCGCTGGCGTCAGGAAAAGGGCTGAAGTTAATTTTGAACTGGGGAAAATTCGCACGCAAATATTTGTCGAATAATGTTAAAACTTGGCTTTTTTCTAATTTTAGCTGAAAAGCCGATAGTCTTTCATCTAAAGCCGCAATCGGCTAACTCTCTTTTTAAATCATTAAGAAACCACCCTTTTTCAGCCGCCGCCACTTACCAACCGGAAGTATTCGCTCCGACTTCGCTTTTGGATGACTTCGCCCGTGCCATAAATGCCGATCTTGATTCTGATTTGAACCGAACAACACGCTATACTTCCCGAATCCCTCGATACTTAAATCCTCGATGCGACAATCAAGAATGCGCGGATAAATGTTCCCAACAATGTCCTCAGAAAACCGGCAAAAAAGGTCTCCAAGGAATCCGGGGTGAAATGGGTCCTCCCGGTCGTGACGGTCCGCCCGGACCACTTGGTCCTCCTGGGAACGCTGGACCGGAGGGGGAAGTTGGTCCTCCTGGATTCGAAGGCTGTGAAGGTGATCAAGGAGTAGATGCTCCAAATGGATTTCCTGGCGTTCCAGGAGAAAATGGCCGTCGCGGCCAACAAGGTCCAGATGGTTCACCGGGCACGTGCGGCGCTCCTGGCACTCATGGAGACCGAGGACGAGCCGGCAGAGCCGGAATTCCTGGGCCACCGGGTCGAAGTGGGATTGCTGGACCAAAGGGAGAGCGAGGCGAACCTTTTGATCTCGAAAGTTTCAAAGATATTCTCGCAGCTACTGCTCGTGGTCGTCGTGGAGAACGAGGAGAGCTAGGAGAAGAGGGACCTCGTGGACCTCCCGGGCCACAAGGTGGTCGGGGAATGAAAGGTTTTCAAGGACCTCAAGGAGATCCTGGCGCAGCTGGTCGACCTGGAAAAGATGGAGAGGATGGAATCATGATTCCCGGCGATCCTGGGGATCCAGATGAATGCTCTTTTTCAGAAGAAAGCATGAAGAAATGCATCACTGATAGAGCTGCTTTCAAAGGTTCTTTCGATGCTTATGCGCTTATGTCAAAAGGTGATCTTGGCGAAGCCGGTACTGATGGAGAACCCGGCGATGAAGGTATTTGCGGCTGTCGAGGAGAACCTGGAGCACAAGGTCAAGTCGGAATGTACGGACCAAGAGGTCCGACTGGCGTCCCTGGCGAAGACGGAAGAAGAGGATATTCAGGTCAAACTGGGCCGTCTGGAGAGCCTGGTCTTTCTGGCCAACCCGGTGCAAAAGGGGCACTTGGACCAAGTGGGGACATCGGCGAGCCAGGCGTTGATGGAACTACTGGCAATCCGGGACCTCCAGGTTTGTGTGGATATCCAGGCGAATCGGGCGAGCGTGGTGAAAATGGCGACTATGGAAAACCAGGCGTTCCAGGAATTCCCGGTGAATCTGGTCGATCTGGCGTTCCTGGTGTTCCTGGTGATCGTGGCCCTCCTGGAATATCTGTTTCTGGCGAAAAAGGAAAGCGAGGAACTGATGGAAAACCCGGTGAAGTGGGGCTACAAGGTCCTCCTGGCCACCCTGGTCTTTGTGGTGCGAATGGAGAGGCTGGAATGCCCGGAGAAAGCATTCGTGGACGGCGAGGTGATCATGGAGTTCCAGGAGAGGGTGGAATCCCTGGTCATCCCGGCGAACCTGGCAGTCCTGGCCAACCAGGTCGATTTTTATGCAATGGATCTCCTTGTCCCGAACATATAACCGGACCGAGAGGCCCAAAAGGCCATGTTGGCGAACAAGGTTGTGTTGGATATCCTGGTGAACCTGGCGATCAAGGTATTCCTGGCGAAAACGGGCGGCCTGCTGCGCCGTGTGATTGTTCAAAAGCATTTGGTGAGCCAGGAGATGATGGCGTCGACGGCCATAGTGGCGTGAAAGGAATGATTGGAATTCCTGGCCGTCCTGGAGCGCCTGGACAGCGGGGTCTGTGCGGTTTGGAAGGACCAGTTGGCGTACCTGGCGAAGCTGGTCGGCCTGGCCTTCCAGGGATGAAAGGACGTGCTGGTTCAGCGGGAGAACCTGCAAAAATGCCAGAAGTCGACGCTGAATGCGGAGAATTCGGCGAAAGAGGAGAAGCTGGTGAAAATGGATTAACTGGGCTTTCCGGTTTGCCTGGAAAAGATGGACTTTCCGGTGCTAAGGGACAAAAAGGAGAACCCGGATATGGTGGGGTTTGTGGCAGAGAAGGTGACGTCGGACCTGCTGGATTTCCTGGAGAAAGAGGCATTGCTGGCCCTCAAGGGGACGAAACAGAAGGTCCTGTTGGCTTGAAAGGTCAAAATGGAGATGCCGGTGAAAAAGGTACTCCTGGAGCTGATGGAATTCCCGGTGAACCAGGCGAGATCTTGAATTTTCCGTCGAAGCCAATTGATGGTCATCCTGGCTTGCGTGGTGAAGCTGGTCCACCTGGTCTTCCAGGGCAGAGCGGGCGACCTGGTTCTCCAGGCTTTCCTGGTAATCCTGGCCAGCCTGGGAAGCGAGGTATGACTGGCCCCGCTGGTGAAAAAGGAAAGCAAAGCCAGCCTGGTATCCGGGGTCATCCTGGTGAAAGAGGAGAGCGCGGTCCAGAAGGACCTCTTGGTCGATGGGGTCTTCCAGGTGAAACTGGACGACCAGGGCACGAAGGAGATGAAGGCCAAGTAGGTGAACCAGGTGATGATGCGCCCGATGCACCAAACGGCATTATTGGTATTCCTGGAATAGATGGCAAGCCAGGTAATCATGGTGCTCCTGGAAACGATGGCGAGCCAGGAGATCGTGGCAAACAAGGTTTCGTTGGCAAAGCTGGAACTCCTGGAGAAAAGGGTTATCCAGGCGAAACAGGTAGATTCATATATTTATGATGCAGCTGAAATGTTCTTTCAGGTGCACCTGGTGACGACGGTGAAGACTGTCGTCTTGGAATCGTCGGTCCAGTCGGCCAAAAAGGTGAGCCGGGCATTAATGGCATCCCAGGTCCTGCCGGTGGACGTGGTAAAGAAGGTGCTCAAGGCGAGCCTGGTGATTCTGTTCAAGGACCATCTGGTCCCGCTGGCGCTGATGGAGTTCCTGGCGAAGACGGAAGAATTGGTGAGAAAGGGCCTGAGGGCCCTGCTGGATTTGACGGCGAAGCTGGCGAAGACGGTATTCCGGGGAGGCCTGGTGGCCCTGGTGATATTGGTGAGCGTGGCCCATTTGGTCCTTCCGGCGACGATGGTTTTGACGGACCTGATGGTGAAAATGGTCGTCAAGGCAATCGCGGGAAACAAGGGCCCATCGGAGATCAAGGAACCAAAGGATTAAAAGGAGAGCTTGGTTGTGCTGGAGAACCAGGCGAAGGTCCAGCAGAATTGCGCCAAATCGACATAAATGAAATCCCATATCAAAAGGGCTCGATTGGTTTACCTGGCGATGTTGGTTACAATGGTGAGCCCGGAAACGATGGAAATCAGGGTTCCTCTGGTGCTCCTGGAAATGCTGGAGAACCTGGTTTATCCGGATCAGCAGGATCTCCTGGTGCTGACGGCGAAAGAGGCCAAAGAGGTGAAGTTGGCGAGCGTGGAAAATCTGGAGAAACAGGACAACGAGGACCTGGCGGTAAAAAGGGTCCGAAAGGTCCAACTGGAGTCGAAGGCGAAATCGGACCACAGGGACCTCAAGGACCAGAGGGACCCGCTGGACCGGATGGAGAGGCTGGTCCTGTTGGACCAGGAGGAAGTCCCGGTCAACCTGGAGCTCCGGGTGCCCCTGGTTTGCCCGGAAAACCCGGGCAGATTGGAGAAGATGGCCCGCAAGGTGAGCCTGGATATCCTGGAGTTTGTGGTATACCAGGAATAAATGGAATCCCCGGTGAACAAGGTCGTCGCGGCGATGTCGGTCCAACTGGAGCTCCTGGTAAACCTGGACCACAAGGTGTTCCTGGAACTCGTGGAAATGTCGGTCCAGCAGGGGAAAGCGGACCGATCGGACCTAAAGGAGATCAAGGACCTCCAGGACCGCCTGGTTTGTGTGGTGAAGATGGCTTGCCCGGGGAGGATGGCGAATCTATCGCTGGTCATCCTGGCTTTAGAGGAAGACAAGGTGATCGTGGTGAAAACGGCATTGATGGAAAAGACGGAACTAAACCCTCAGATGAAGAAGGTGATTGTGGAATCGAAGGCTTTCCCGGTGAAATGGGCATCAGAGGTCCGCCAGGCCCCCCTGGCGTCGCGGCAAAGAACAAGTGGAATGGCTGGCCTGGTGATGACGGTTACACGGGAATGGCTGGTATTCCAGGGCCTGTTGGTCCGAAAGGCGAGCCTGGATTCAACGGAGCAGATGGTTCTCCTGGTTATGATGGCATGCCTGGCGTCGATGGAGAGCCTGGCACTCCTGGAATCGATGGTTTTTGTGGCCATCAAGGTCCACCAGGCCCCGTAGGTCCCGATGGTTACGCTGGACAACCTGGTATCGACGGAGCTAATGGCTACCGTGGACAAGATGGCAGATCTGGCCACCGAGGAACGATTGGTGATCGCGGTCCAGACGGAAAGCCTGGTCGACCGGGTCTTCCTGGACCGCCAGGCCCAGACTATGTCCCTTGTGAAGGTGACTGTGAAGGCTCATTCTCTGGAGAGCGAGGAATCCGAGGCGACGTCGGTCCACGAGGTGAAGCTGGCGAAAAAGGAGCTCGCGGAAATGCGGGACAAGACAATTTCCACGCTGGTCAACCTGGACAGCCGGGAGAAGTCGGGGCGCCTGGAAAACGAGGGCCGAGAGGCGACAGCGAAGATTGCGGCTTTGTGCTCACTAAGCATTCTCAGGTTTGAAATGGTTGAAAGATTTTTACGTAACCAATTCAGAATACGACAATTCCAAGCTGTCCCGAGGACTCAACACTTCTTTGGGAAGGCTACAGCTACTTGGGCGCGGCAACAAGCTCCCATTTGAGCACTCAAGATTTGGGCCGCTCATCCTCCTGTCTTCAGCATTTCCAGCAAAGCCCGATTTACGTCTGCAGCGGCCAAAAAGTTTGCACTTATCTCAAATTTGCCTGTCAGTTTTACAATCCTTTATCTTAGTGTCAATATGCTGCAAAAGAACACAAGAGCTTTTGGCTGACTACGGAGAGCTTTGGAATCATCGATGGGGACCCGCTTTTGACGGGATATGATGTGAGTGCTTTTGTTGATCTTCTATAAATTAATGATGCTTGAAAAATTAAGATAAAGCAGCATGTCTCCAGATGCAGCGTTTGCGAGGTCAAGACGAAACCGCTCATTGTTCATTCAATGACACAGGAAGAGCCTGAATGCCCATCAGGTACACAGTTACTCATTCACCTCCTTCAGAACGCTAACTCAGGCTTCTGACTCAGAATCTGAGTTCAGTATAGAAATTATCAGTTACAGTACTCTAAAATACATTTTTAGGCTTTGGAAGGCTGTGGAAGGGACATTCATTCATTTCAAACTTGGAAAATCGCGGCAAAATGCGCTCCCAAGACTTGATGAGTTCTGGCTCTTGCTTGGGCGAAGTGATAGACGACCCATTTTTGGAGTGTGACAGAACTGGCTGTAGACAAAAACAAAATGCTGACGGTTCTTGGCTCTCAGCGGTATGTTAGACTTATGCGATTTATTATGAATGACGACTCTTTTTTTAAAGATTATTGACGATGAATCTGCATGTTCCAAAACGTCCGATTATGTCTCTAAATGCAGTGTTTGCATGCATTATTGACGGCTGCTGAAATGATCTCCTGAAGAAAACTCGCTGAATATCAAATCTGATCGTCAAGAAAACCGCAATTATTTGACCCTCTGATCGGGCTGTCTTTTAATATATGCATTTTTGTACAGTAGAAACTCTGTTTTGAACAATAAAGTATCAAAATAAATAAAGTAGGAAGGAAGTTTTGCTTGAAATTGAAGCAGGATTGACTCAAGAATCATCGCAGTGAAATCGCTGGCGACGCCTTGGGCTTTTGAACCGGGCAACTGCCATGATTGTCTTAAAGAAAGAAGTTGAGGAGTAGAATTAAACAATTTGATAAAAAACAACTACTCTTGAAAACTTCCAGGAAAATTTGTCAAGTTCGAAAATAATCCTTGTTCTCGTCGGGTAGCAATAAAAATAACGGAGTTTAGTCAATGATAAAGATTCATTTGATTAGTTTTTGCTTGGAAAAAACTGTGAAAAACGAGTCTACTTGCTGTGCATGATCATGAATGTTTTTTATATGATCTGTGTCTGGATTTGGGGGATCGAGAGCCTCGCCCAGAGAAACCCTTTTGCCGAGGACTCTTGGGCATTCGCGTCATCTGTACATGTATGTTAATGAAAAAGCACGCATTTTCGCGTAGATTTGTGGATTATCTGGTCTTACCTGCCACGATGCATCTGTTGTTCCATTCGAATCTGAAATAGTGGTCATGCCGAGTTCATTTTAGGGCGGCCATTAACTCACCTGCTTCTAGTAAACAGTGATAGCAATTTTGTTTCAACTGTCCATGTTCAGTAATAATTCAGTTTTCGATTAAAGTGTCGCGAAGGATATTTATCGTGGTAAATTTTTAACCTCTTTTGGCCATCAATTTTAATCATCGAAAACCTATCAAAGAAGCCGCTTTCTCTTCTCCTTCTCACGATCTATAAATAGGGGTCAGCGAGGGTAGAATTTTGATGGACTCAACTCATTCTATTAAGCGTTCTGATGGCCTTCATCGTTTGGACCAACGAGTCATTTTTCTGATTTGGATCGCGGAGCTTTTCTAGTGCTTTTTCATGCGCTATCTTTTGAGCCACTGCTTTAAAACTTGGGCGTTGTCGCTTTGGAGGATTCTCCCTGAAATTAGGGTTGCTGAGCAAAGGCTTCTTTTTTTATGAAAGATACCTAGGGGGTGAACAGTGAAAAATTGAGCAAAATTCAAAGTTTAAAAAACTAATTTGAATCGATGAATACGTATAAAACGCATCATAAAAAACATTTAATTCAATAATTGTAAATTAATACAACGTTGTTTTCCATCATAAATGCCAATTTTCTCATGAAGATAACAGTTTTTTCACGATAACTTTTGATCTCAACCTTCCTCAAGCCTAAATCAAAAATATTCTTAATCTACAGAAAAAATGCTTTCAGAAACTTATAAAATCACTTTGTGCACTTGTGTGCAAAAAATTCTAGAGCTAATTATTTGTCCAAACTCTGTGAGTTGGCCTTATAGGGGTGTTCGAATCCCGGCAATGACACTTTTTTTTCATTCCGATTATTGTCGAAAAATTGCGTAAACTTGATCACGTGACTGAGTTTGAGTCATAATTAGTCCTCCGGAGGACTTTTTTGCTTGAAATCAATTGCTGGACTACTGATAATTCAACTTCAGTCAGGCCGTCTCAGCCCCGTCCCTGGCTTTTTAATTGAAATGGGCTTGACGGCCCTTCGGGCCGTCTCAGCCCCGTCCCTGGCTTTTTAATTGAAATGGGCTTGACGGCCCTTCGGGCCGTCTCAGCCCCGTCCCTGGCTTTTTAATTGAAATGGGCTTGACGGCCCTTCGGGCCGTCTCAGCCCCGTCCCTGGCTTTTTAATTGAAATGGGCTTGACGGCCCTTCGGGCCGTCTCAGCCCCGTCCCTGGCTTTTAATTGAAATGGGCTTGACGGCCCTTCGGGCCGTCTCAGCCCCGTCCCTGGCTTTTAATTGAAATGGGCTTGACGGCCCTTCGGGCCGTCTCAGCCCCGTCCCTGGCTTTTAATTGAAATGGGCTTGACGGCCCTTCGGGCCGTCTCAGCCCCGTCCCTGGCTTTTAATTGAAATGGGCTTGACGGCCCTTCGGGCCGTCTCAGCCCCGTCCCTGGCTTTTTAATTGAAATGGGCTTGACGGCCCTTCGGGCCGTCTCAGCCCCGTCCCTGGCTTTTAATTGAAATGGGCTTGACGGCCCTTCGGGCCGTCTCAGCCCCGTCCCTGGCTTTTAATTGAAATGGGCTTGACGGCCCTTCGGGCCGTCTCAGCCCCGTCCCTGGCTTTTTAATTGAAATGGGCTTGACGGCCCTTCGGGCCGTCTCAGCCCCGTCCCTGGCTTTTTAATTGAAATGGGCTTGACGGCCCTTCGGGCCGTCTCAGCCCCGTCCCTGGCTTTTTAATTGAAATGGGCTTGACGGCCCTTCGGGCCGTCTCAGCCCCGTCCCTGGCTTTTAATTGAAATGGGCTTGACGGCCCTTCGGGCCGTCTCAGCCCCGTCCCTGGCTTTTAATTGAAATGGGCTTGACGGCTTCGGGCCGTCTCAGCCCCGTCCCTGGCTTTTAATTGAAATGGGCTTGACGGCCCTTCGGGCCGTCTCAGCCCCGTCCCTGGCTTTTAATTGAAATGGGCTTGACGGCCCTTCGGGCCGTCTCAGCCCCGTCCCTGGCTTTTTAATTGAAATGGGCTTGACGGCCCTTCGGGCCGTCTCAGCCCCGTCCCTGGCTTTTTAATTGAAATGGGCTTGACGGCCCTTCGGGCCGTCTCAGCCCCGTCCCTGGCTTTTTAATTGAAATGGGCTTGACGGCCCTTCGGGCCGTCTCAGCCCCGTCCCTGGCTTTTAATTGAAATGGGCTTGACGGCCCTTCGGGCCGTCTCAGCCCCGTCCCTGGCTTTTAATTGAAATGGGCTTGACGGCCCTTCGGGCCGTCTCAGCCCCGTCCCTGGCTTTTAATTGAAATGGGCTTGACGGCCCTTCGGGCCGTCTCAGCCCCGTCCCTGGCTTTTAATTGAAATGGGCTTGACGGCCCTTCGGGCCGTCTCAGCCCCGTCCCTGGCTTTTAATTGAAATGGGCTTGACGGCCCTTCGGGCCGTCTCAGCCCCGTCCCTGGCTTTTTAATTGAAATGGGCTTGACGGCCCTTCGGGCCGTCTCAGCCCCGTCCCTGGCTTTTTAATTGAAATGGGCTTGACGGCCCTTCGGGCCGTCTCAGCCCCGTCCCTGGCTTTTTAATTGAAATGGGCTTGACGGCCCTTCGGGCCGTCTCAGCCCCGTCCCTGGCTTTTTAATTGAAATGGGCTTGATTACGGCTGGGATTTGAAGAAAAGATAGAGATGATCAGTCTCATTTTTTCCCAAACCCCGCCCACACCCGTTTTTCAATTAACTTCAGTGTGTCCTTTCCGATTTTAAATTATGGTTTTTGAAATATCAATTATTTTATCTTTTTACATAGATTTCTCTTCTTTCTTAAATAAATTCTTCAATCAGGGGTCCTTCGAGGGTCCACGTGATCAAATTATCAGATTTTTCAATGTTCACGTTTCGGTTAATCACCATGCCGAAGAAGTCCCCGGAAGAGATTAATTTTCATTTAATTTGCTTAAATTCTTCCATCATCTAGGTCCTCCGGGGTCCTCCAATATGTCACGTGATAAAAATTTAGGAAAAATTAATATTATCAGTGATTATCAGCAATCAAAATCATCCATAGAAACCCTAGTTACGTCGACTTTAGGAAAAATCAGATTTTGACCTCAGCTGACCCCACGTGACCTTTGATGACCTCAAGTCATATGTCAAAATGATCAGTGGATGAAGGGCTTTCCATCGATATATTATTCATCTCTATTAGAGGACGATAAAAAAATCAATTTTTTCACCGTTCACCCCCTAAAGATACCGCTTACCCAGAATCTGGTGTTGGTTCTTGAACTTTCGGAATCGATGATTGATCAGTATTTGCTGTAATTATTGATGCAACTTGTGAACTTTTTGAAGTTGGATCACAGACTTCATTCGCTATTTTCACGGAGGTTTGAGGTTTGACTTCGTTAACTGCCGTTTCTGAATATTTTATCTCCTGGGATTTGTACTTTGAAGACACGGAACGCTAGGCAGAGGTATTAAATTTCTGTAGTTTTAACCCTGATTGAACTGTCCTCGCTGAACATTGATTGAGCCTATTTTTTACCTGTTTGAGGTAATGTAAAATTAGTTTTGTTCTTAATACTGTATGAAGGCTCCCTCGGACTTCGAACAATGGAGTTTAAATTGTTCGACGAGTTAGTTTTTCGGCGCGTCGCAGAGTCGGGAGTGGACACGATTGTTGATGAATATCGACGGGAAAAACGGGGCTTGTATAGTTCTTCATCTTAATTTGGGTAATTGAAGCGTTGATTATAAAAAATCATACCGTCTTCGTCTTCCCAACATCCGCAAAGATAAGCAAGAAAGGAAAGAAATGCGGCCGCTCCAAGAGCCGACCCTAGAGCCAACGTCAAGTACCAAGTATTCGCTTTCCAATAGTCCCCATTTGTAATCAACCCTATCTTTCCAACCACCCTTTCTATTCTCTATGAAGCAACAAAGAAAAAAACAATTTCCATGAAGACCGAAATAGCAGATTCTCTGTTCTAAATGGGCCGCAACGAGATCTATTCCGACTGGGTTAGTCGCATGTTATTAATAATAACTGTCGGGTTTTGTTGATTATTTTTTATTTATTAATATTGAATTGTTAAATTCACTGCTTGACCAAATATCTATTCATGAATATTTGATCAAAACTACTCTCAAAAGCAGACTTGATGGTGACCTCTTGAGGGAGAAATGGAAGAAATACAAATGTACATAATTGTCTTAATTCTTTATAATAATAAGGTCAATCCTTGAATATCTCAGGCGTTCTTTTTACAATCATATTTATATACCAGTATATAAGATATATATTTAGGAGGGGGTCGACGAGAATCGGGATTTCCGTGACCAAAAATGCGGGAAAACCTGATAAGATAGGCAAAATCTGATTTTACTGGTCGATAGAAAAGGGTTGTAAAAATCAGGCGGCGAAAACTAGAAAAAATTTTGGCCAGAAAAAGTCGGTTAAAAATCCCGTCAAAGTAGGGCCATTTTCGCGAAAATGCACCAAAAATGGCCAATTTTTTTACAATTTTGTTCATTTCGACCACTAAATCTAATTTTTATCATATGATTTTAGGCTCAACAGATTTAGAAGAATCTGTAAATTCCAAAAATATAAGATTCATATCCTGACTATGTGTATAAGCGAAATTACGATCATCCCTGAAAAAATTCTCGTCGACCCCCCCCCCCCTTAAAGTCAGTAATAATTCATTGTTAGACTATTTCCCATAGACTCATTTGAAGATCGATGCAGTTTTCCGTCGTCCTTCTCTCTCTGTTTTTCAGTTCGATTCTCCTTGATTCCCTGATCTTGTTTTATTCCTGATCGTTGTTTTTCTTATCCCTGGCTGAGAAAATAATTGCGACGAGCCTGGCGTTTGTTTTTTTCGGAGCTATTGGCGTTTTCTCTTCTGACAATTTAATTTTTGAATGGATACTCTTCAATGAATGCTGGTGAAAGGTCTACCTACAAGGATGAGTAAATGGAGCCAGGGTGTTTAGCGAGTATGGGACTCAAAAAGCGCCTGTCTACTTGCATTATAAATAGATAGCCACTCTTATTACCCTTTTTACTGTAATTGATAGTCCCATTTTGGCTCAAAGAAAGCTCGTTTTCATTTTGCTATGAGAAAAATGCAAAAAGATGGCTCTCTTTTTCAGTTGAAAATGATTTTACCTTTTTATCGGTGTTTTTTTATTGAAAAAAGTAAGTGGACTGAACAAAAAATGGATTTATATTGCTGTCGATAAATTGAAAATCTGACAAGCAGTGAACAAGACTGTATTTGACGTCTCTTAGCACTCTTTAGTACGTCTTCTGACTTTTTCCGAAGAAAATTGGAAGCCAAACAAGTTCCTTCTTACTACTGTATATCTGAACTGCAGTAAGTTCACGCTTTATAGTTGGCATTTTAAGGTGTCATTTTTGCCAAAAAATGATGACAGTTTTATTAACCCACTCTTCATACCTGATAAATTCGACTTAATTATCATAACATGACACTTATATTTACCATCGGACATTCAAATATAAATTAACCCGTCAAAAACAATAACGATCAAAAAGAACCCCGCTGAGAAAAAATAACTGGCGATGCACTCTTTTTTCTTCGGTTTTTACGAGAACGCCAGAGCATGATGCTAAATCACTATATTAATTTCCTGCTAGCTTTGGCAACTAGCGGCTCAATAAACGGGCGCTCATCAGACTTATTTTAACGGTTAGCTCGTTACCCGATTATCACAACAAAAAACGAAAAAATAGAAAAAAATAGAAAGAAGAGAAAATAGAACCGGAAGACAAAATTGGTTCCTTCAGTTATTCCTTGATGTTAAAAGACATGGTAAAATACTATTATATTAAGGCTCACCAAATGATTTCACCAAAGTTCTCACCAAAACGAAATGTGGTCTTTGTATCATAAGCTTACCTTTTTTTGAAGAAAAAGAAAGCTGTAAAAAATACTTTTTATCTTCAAAGAAACATTTAAGTCTCATTGTATTGATTTTCATTGCAAAATTTAGGGTCTCAGTTGATTAATTTATGTAAAAAGAGGTAACTTTTGTTCACGACATGAACCCTCTTTCATTAAATGAGACAACATCTTAGACGAAAGTTTAATTAATCACAAAGCAATGTCAAATTTAAAAGAAAAAGCAACAGCCTTATTTAAAATTTGTAATGCCTTATTTAGCGATGTCGAAACCCTCTCACAGTATGCGGAATACGACGAAAAAACATCACTTACTTCATTGCCATTTATGGATCGATCTACCTAACGTACATTTTCTTGATTGATTTTATTTCATCACCTGGTCAGAAAAGGTAAAATTTTACAACATTAATCTTTTCTTAGTCGAGGTCATAAATATTTACATCATATGTACTTTTTTCAGTGAGTTTGTAAGCAAAAGAGTCCACCGATCCCCTCCAGAAACGACCAAAAATAGCCTAGGCCAGGATCATCAAATTTGCTTATATGATTATCAGCGTGGGAGAAAATCATAACTCGACCGTATTAGAAGTTAAGCCTCCTAATTGAAGATGGTTCTCTTCCTCGAAATAGCATCATTCTTGATCCAACGAAAGCATTGCCAAATATAGATTACGTTGTATTCAACCGTGTTCCGAAATGCGGCTCAATGTCGATGACCCAACTAGCCTACGACTTGGGAGGAAAAAACGGATTCAAAGTCGAGTCTCCTTACGAACCGGGGGAGAAGCAAACGAAGAGTCAAGAAGAACAAGATGCCTTCAGAAAATATGTGTTTGAGCAAACCCCACCGTATATGTACATTCGACATCAGAATTATGTTGATTTCTGGTAAGAAAAATTTCATTTTTGAATCTTAGCTGTCTAATTGTTCTAACATTGAAGACGATTTACGCTAACGAGTCATTAATATTTTAATTGGATCGTTAAGGGACCCAACTCAAAAGAAAAAAGTCGCCTACATCAACATGATTCGTGATCCGATAGGTAAAATCTATAAATCCTTACTTCTAGCCATTAACTTTGACATTCAATTTGAAACGAATAATGCTTAATTCAGCCGGTAGAATCATCAAATTATTCTAGCTCGATTTGAAAGCTTTTACTACTTTTCTCGATTCGGCAATCATCTGGGCGGTGGCGGAAAAGCGAAATTGACCGAAGAACGGAAGAAGGAAACTGTCGACGAATGCGTGGCGAATAGACGGCAAGAATGTGTAAAACCTTGGTGGCAGATAGTCCCGTATTTGTGCGGCCAAGTAATGGGCTTTATATGGCTTGATTTTATATTTCTTGTCGTTTGATTTTACAAGATTCTTTATAAGGGATTAATGAGGGTCGTTTCCGGGTCGTCAGAGCCGGCTTGATCATTTTAGAATAACCAAAAAACGAGCCCAAACTCAGACCCACGATGTCAAGAACGAGGACAGTGGGCGGTCGACCGAGCAAAGGTTTGTCTTTCTTCCGCTCAATTAATTAACTGCCGGGATTTAGTACAACATCGATCATAACTACGCTTTTGTTGGGCTGCTTGATGAACTTGAGATGTCGCTCAAAGTCCTGGAAGCTCTTCTTCCTGCTTTTTATAAAAACGCCAGCACTGTCGTGAAAATGGAGTCGTTCGAAAAAATGCGGAATGGAACACTGACAACTTTCAAAAAACCAGGTATAATTTCGATGTCCTTGAGTTCGAGAGTGAGAATCGTCCATATTTTTGAACACCGAAAGAGACGTCAAAAAGATCTTGTCTATTCGACAGTTTTGAGAACATGGTTGTTTTTCTGGGAAAGTTCATGAACCACGATTTATGCTTAGTGACCGCAGGAAATAAATTAATCCGTCGAGAATCATCTCAATTATCGTTCTTTGTGTTGTAGCAAAAAGTAATCTGGTCATCTGATAAATTTTGGTTTACCGCAACTATCGTAAAAAGCACCCAGCAGCAATTCTTTTTACTAGGAAAGACATCAATTTATCTTCTTATCTTGTCTTTTAAGCGGGACAAAAATCAAGAGAGTTTCTGCGGACACAAACTTCCCTCAAGTACGAATACGAAGTGTACGATTATGTTCTGGCAAAATTAAAACGTACATATAGCCAACTCAACAATAATCGTCTTTGAAATCGAGCACTGTGCAATTCTTTTCAAATTTCTGTATCTATCCTGAAAAGCTTTCTTTATCTGTAAGCTGAAAAAAGCTCATTTTCGAGCGCCCATATTTAATCTTCAAATAAAAACAACCATGTACTCTCATAAAATAAAAAGTTTTCTTATTGTATTTACAATAATAATAATAATAGTCAAAGTGATAGATTCGATGTCAATATCCGTTTGATTTCATACAGATGAACATCATTTTTGTTATTTGTCTTGTCAATCCGTCGGTTCGAGCTTTCCAGGCGTACTTTTTTCGGCAACTGGTGATGTCAGTTTTTTGATAGAATCGGGCAAAACTTTCGATGCACTAAATTTGTATAACTAACTGGGAGGAAACCTGTGTAGAGGCTTGAATCAGGGTCCTCAGGTCCTGGTAGGTTTAATAGTCTGTTGACAAAAATCTTAAAGTTCTCTACCTGGGATCTTAGGTCATCATTTCTCACTCGCCCGAGGCCCATTTGCGATCTTGCTTCAAACTTTCTTATATCCCCATCACTTGCCACAACCGCATCGCCTTCATATTCGTACTCGTACTCATTACTTTTCTCGTCATATTCTCCTGAATACACGTCAATTGCCTCTCGCCTACCTCGATTGACCGAGCATTTGTACGTGGATTCAACATGCCAGAGAGCGTCGCCGATGACTTTTTGAAAGCGATGAATGTATTTCGAAGTTTTTCCTCGTGGGGGTTCGCAGCGAAGAGCATCGTAAATCCATCTTGAGCAGATGTCGAATGTTTCTTCGCCGACGTCTCTTGGACTTAGGTAAGAGCCGTAATTTCGGCTTTGATAGTCTTGACAAGACCCTAAATTTGACTTTTATTTAAATTTTTCAGGAAAATCAAGTACCTGAGAGAATCAAAAAGCCAAAAACACGCATCTTCTTCTTTTCTCAATTGAAAATTCGTCTATTCTTCTGTCGATGCAAATTTTCATAATTTCTTTTTATACCGCTCGCGTGACTTTAATGAGGCCACAATTTGCATGGATCTCAAAAGTGTGACTTGGAAGCCAAGGCCAAATCCGGAACCACGGCGCTTTTCGAGATACTGCCCAAAGAGTCCTTTCTGATGAGCCAAAAAGGTTTACCAGTGACGTGGAGTTGGTTTCTGGACTTCTTGAAGTTGCCCTTTTTGGACTTTCAAAGTAAGTTTTGTTGTTTGGCAAAACTTGTTATTTATAATTTCGTAATGAATCATAATGCAGAATTTGCGAGTACGGGAAGACCACCGTATCTGCTGCGGTACTCCTTGATTTATTTTTGGCGCAATTAAAGTTGCGGCTATTTAGCGGATCTATAAAGCTTTATTAAGGACCCCCGTCAGCTCTTTTCTTCGAAAATGGAAATTTTTAAAAACACCATATTTTTGGTTCTTAATCCGTCCTCTGGTTAAGCTTGCGTCAAAAACTTGATAAGAGGAATTTTTGACCAATAAAAATCAATATTTTAGCCAAAATTAGGGCAAATTCGTCAATTTTTGGCGAAAAGTCCAATTTTCAAAGGCGATTTTGAGGGTGTTAGAGTCGAGATAGACCCCCAAAAAATGAAGCCTCAAAATCGTTTTTTCACCCGTAGAATCCATTTCAGTGGTCAAAATTTTAAAATTCCGAAATTTGATTTTTCGAAAAAAGCTGACGGGGGGGTCCTTAAGCGGAAATTGTTGTCGAGAGGTGTGATATAACGATGATTGACTGACAAATTTATTGCCAAAATCTGCCAGACAATCTGATCGTTATTCACCTTCGAATAAAGATTTTTTCATTTTTATTACAAGCAGAGAAAAAAAGCAAAAAAGACAGCTTTTTACCGCCATAAAAAGGCAGCACTGGCCTTGAAACTACGGTAAGAAAGGGCTGCTTTTGCTTCATGATGCTTGCGTTTCTTGGCAGCGGGTTTATTGAGGCGCCTGTTGGATGAGAGTGATGTTGTCGCCCTTGAGAAGGATTCGTCCGATGTTTCGTTTGAAGTGAGTTTTGACGTGCATTTCTTCAACGTCGTCCAGAACCAGGTTCATGTATTCGTCGAAGCCGACGATGACACCTGAACGAATCTTTGTCTGTTTCTTTTCTCGGCCCTACCTTCGAGTCGAAGGTTGACAACGTCGTAGATCCAGATTTGAACCCGGATCTTTTTCTGGAAAAATCGAAAGACCAAGTTAATGGGCTGAACCATCACTTTCTGGACTTTGTGACCGTAGCTCATTTTCACTGAGCTTATCAAAATTCTTAAAGAAATGATTGAAGTAGATCTTAAAATAATATGAATTGTAATTGTCGGTTGGTAATACTACTATTGCACAGAAGACAGAAAATGTAGAAAAATGGGATAGTGAAATAGTCATTGCAATTGAACTAAAGTTTTAGTCGGCGAATGTCTTCAGATCTGAAGTCAATTCGTCGGGTAAGAACATCTCGCACTTCCGATGGGCTTAATCGCCACGTGACACCGCTTGAAGATGATCCGTAGTATTCTAGAACTTCTTGTGGCTAGGAAGAAGGGTTCATTATTCGCTGTAGAACTTTTCTCTTTTACCTGTTCTAAATTTAGCACAGTATTAATCTGATGCAGCTTTGCGAAACGATCTCTGACCGTCGAGCTCGTCACAGAAGTCAAAAAATTGACGAGCGCTCGGAGTTCTCTATCAAATTGTAATCCGCCAAGGCGAGTGAAACGCGACTTCAACACGGCGCGTTCTAGAGTGTTTGCAACAGTATTCGTAAGATAGGAGACTAGCTGGTCGAAGGAATCGGGCGACATGCGCGGCTTGAAGCTTTCTAGAACTGTGTGTAGGTGAATGAGGACGTTTTGAACCCAGGGCTCGTTTGCTTCTGCTTCTGCGAACTCGTCGTCGTCGATGTCGTGTGGGACATCTAGCAGATACGGTCAGTAAACTGTCGTAACCAGCATAATTTTACCTCTGAAATCTTCAATCAGCGGTTTGACTTCATGTTTCAACGCTGAATTGTTCAATTCCTTGATTCCATTCTCGACCAGCTGCTCGAACTTCTTCGCCAGATCCTTCAAATCTTCGACGCAGCTGTTCATATTCTCCGTTTCTCCAGCCGAGAGCTTTCTTCCCAATCGCCTTACAATTTCCACCGAGGCTAGTTCTCCAATGTAGCCTACTGCGATTTCCGCGTTGCTCAGAGACGTCAAAAACACTAAAAAAGAGCCATCTTCATCCGATTATCATTAAACAAGAACTCACATTGTCGCTGTTCTTCAGCAGCGTCTCCAGCAGAAACGACCTTTCCAGAGCCTCCCATTGCGCCGGTTAGAGTACCAGAAAACGCAGTGATTCCCATGCTAAGGTTGTCCATCAGGCCGCCGCTCGGGAACGATCGGAGATTTGAAGAAAGTGTATCGAAGAAATCGCTTTCCAGCAACGATGCTAAATGAAAATTAAGAAGAATGGCCGTAATTTTGTTAAAGGTATCTCGAAACTTACAGATATGATTAATAACAGCGCACACGCAGTTGAAATTCCCACTCATGACCGCTCGATCCCTCGATTTCTTCAAAATGTAGAACGTATCGTCGATCATGGAGCTTGTGAGCGAACCCTCGGCGAATTGATCCATCTGAATCGCTTTCTGCAGCGATTCTTTCATGTAATATTTCTCCATCGAAACGTATTTTCCCATGATACTTTGTAAGTGATGCGCAAGCGATGTGTTGCCGATCCAGTTTTCTAGCTTTCGGACTTCTTCGTCTAGCTTTTCTCCCTAAAATCACTCGTTTTCGAGGTTTTTTGTAAAAGATATCTACCTTGGAGACGCTTTCCAGATCAGTAGCAAGCCGTCTTCGCAAGAAACGGAAGTACATTTCTCCTCGCTCGGACAGTCGAGCAGTTTCTGTCAGGACAGCATCGAGTGATAAGGAGTCAACATCGCCTCTTTTACTCTTCATGACCTTCTGGCTCAGCGCGCTGAATCCTCTGTCCATGTCAAAAGCTTGAAGAACATTTATCGCTTGTTTGTCACATTCTTTTTGAAGCTGGAAAACCATCGATTTTAGCTGGCCGGGACCGTAGTAAGTCTCGACGAAAGGTTGAGATTTATCGACAAGACCAGCGATGGATTCAAAAACGACAGTAGCCGCATCCGCGAAGGAAATTTCCTTGTTTCTAGCGCGCTCGATCGCCTAAAAAGCAAAATTCAGGCTAATTAAAATCGTTTTAGAATAACCTCTTTCGACTTTTTCGTGATTTTGATCTGCAGAAACTTCCCAAACTTGTCCAGCCCCTTCTCAGGCTCCTTTAGCAGCGGGAAAAGACGGAGGTACTTTTCGACTTTGTTTTCGTCGCCATCTTTGGCGGCTTCGGCAAATTCTTTGTCGACGAGTTCCGAGAGTTTCTTCCGCGCTGCTTCAAGGACTTCGATAGATGTTTGAATTGATTCGCGTTCGTCTTTATAGAGCTATTTAGATGAAAATGAAGGGATTTCTTTAGCATTTTTAAAGCAATTTGCTTTTTATCGATTTGCGTTTTACCCATCGAAAGATGAATCTAAAAGCTCTTTCCTGAGACAGATTCCTTCAATAAATTCTCGTCCAAGCAGAGGTACCGATGAATGTGTCCAGCAGCACTTTCAAGGTCATGAATCGCCATTGCCTTTTCCACCCCGTCGGAGCAAAACTTCAAGTCAAGAATATCATCAACCCTTTGAATCGCCTCAAACACGCGGGTCTTCGCCAAATCGAGTTGTCGGACCTTTTTGGAGATTTGATCGGCCAAGGAAGAAGTGTGGTCGATCATTTTCGTCAGGTGTGTTGCATCTTCTTCGAGGGAATCAAGATCGAGTCGCTGGAGTTGAACGGCTTTCACCTCTAGATCCGGCTTGGTACTGTGCACTTCCTGTAACAACGCGTCGATCTCGTTCTCTTCATTTTCTAGCGCTTCGAACTCGGCTTTTAATTCGTCGATGCTTTTCAATCCTTCGATCATTTTCTCACTTTATTACTTTGAATTTCTTCTATTTGATTTTCTTCTCAGTTCATTATCTCTCTAGAAAAAAAAAACTTTTTTTAGAAAACGGAAAATAATTCAGCGCTCGCGGCGGAGACCGCGATTTAGCGCAAAATGCGCCCACGCGCGACAGTCACGCTTTTTCTGAAAAAGGCCCATTTTTTGGGGTTTTTTTGTCACCATTTTGTCAAGGTTGTCAACTGTTAGATTTTTATTCAGAGTAAATTTCAGACAAGAATAGAAGGTGATTTCTCAGAGTCTTCTTTTTCTTCTCGTATTTCTTTTGATTTCTTCAATAAACTCAGATAAATTACTCCAATGGATAAAAGCACAATCATCACAATGATCAAATATCCATCGAAGCTTGATTTTGACATCTCCGATATCGCTATCGTTGTTGATAGCGATCCTTTTGTGACACCTAGAGTCGGATTGACAAGTTCGGATCCATCGGATTCTGCGTAAATGTGTTTCATGCCGATTATATTGTCTAAAAGAGTCCTAGAATCTTTTAAAATATTCCATCCTCAACTTGTGTAGCTTCCATCCATGCGAAGAGCAGAGTAAACATTGATTCGGTTTCCATAATCGTCGTAGTCTTTTGAATTCTTGCACAAAGCGAACAAGTCAACGCACTAAAATGAAGCAAAGAAAAGTGGGTTGAAAGCCAAGTGTACCTCACTTCGAATAGTTTCATGAGTAGGAGACCAACCAAACGGTCCCTCTGTCATTTCTCCGCCATAAGGAGGGCAGAGAAGAAACTGTATCAGCGACCGGCATGCTCGGCCAACAGATAATTCAGACTCCGTGGGGCTGAAGCTGGAATCTGAGTCTGAAGAGTCCCATCTTTGAAACATGAGGGTTTCTTTTCAACTGTCAGTTGAATCTGATTCTCTTCTGAGTGAACCGCTGAGGCTACTTTTGCGATGATGTTTGATTTTGTATCAATAATGATCCTCATATTTGTTTCTCGTATTTATGAGGAATTCTGACTTTGTTGATCTTTTCGGTCATTTTCAACGTTTCGCCCGTTTTCGACTTCATCATTTTCACAATCCTTGGAACAGGAATTTGTGATTCATAAATCTTACTATATTTACACAGTGTCTCTTACCAATTCTATATTTGCAATTCGATGGCAAGCACTCTCGCAGGAACGCAACTGAGTTTTTATTGATGACGAGAAAAAATGAGAAACGAAACAGTGCTTTGGTTTGAAGAGAATGGCTTGAAACTACCAGTTGGTATTCTCGGAATTGGGTCGATTCTTCTTTTCGTTTGTTTTAATCCGAAGAACTTGAGATCGAGAGGCGTAGAACTGGCGAAAGAAGATACAAGTCGAGTTTGTGTAAGCGCGTTTTTCTATCTTTTCGATATTATGTAAGTAAAAAGAGAAGAACTTTTAATTCATTTGAATTGAAGATCCGATATTGCTCTTGGCATTTCGTTCATAATCAGAGGCGAAATTTACTGGGGTGTCGCAACGTTTCTTCTCGTCCTGATTTCCGGCTGGCTTGTAGCCGGCTATTCATACTTTCATAGTTCCAAGAAGATTTATGGAGAGAATGAAAACGAAGATAACGGATCGGGAGATAACGGATCGCTGGCCATTGGTCACGTGTTCCTCGTCGGTCCGTTCATGCATTATCTGCACTATTATAAACGAATGAAAGCGTGGACAACTGTAAACAGTGGGGAAAACAGGAATCTGCGAGCACCAAAATTGGAAGAAGAAAAAGACCTGAATGATATGAGAGACGAACTATTGAAAATTCGAGCCCTAGAAGCAGCAACGGAAGCTGCGCCACAGGTAAGAGGAATGATAACTGCTCTTTAGTCATATTTTCTAGCTTTTGATTCAAATTTTCTTCATCCAAAAATGCCTTCATTCCGATTCCGATGAGAGTTGTGTCAGCGTTCTCCAGATCTTGTCTCTTATCAGTTCCCTCCTCACTTTCACCTACATGACAACAAGGAGGAAGAATTTGCAGTACAAGTCCATTCTCGATACACAACGATTGTTCTATGTCAACTTTCAACTTCCTTCTGATCGGTTTCGAGAACTGGGTGATTTATATGGCGACGAGAAAGAACATGCAGATCTCGGAAGAAATCCAGCTCAGTGTTTATATTATTGTGCCACTATCGATCATCTTCAATTTCTTTTGGACGATCATGATTGCGCCGAAAGAAAGAGCAGAAGAGAATCGCAAAAATTTCAAGAAACTCCTCATGTGCAAAGGATTTTCGCAGGAGCATTCGGGATAGATTGAAAACTTCCTTCTTTTATCGCTTAAAAATGTCTTTGAAATAAGTTTTACTGTGAATCCTGACATAATTAATCTGAACCTGACAATAAATTTGACTTATAATCATTGTCAATGATTCATTGATTACTGATTGTGTTTTTGTTAATTATAAAAGAGAAAACTGTCAATCATTGAAGTCACAAATTTTACGATGCAAACATAGCCAGAATTATCAATCATCCAAATACGATGTTATTATCGTAATTTTGCCTAACGCGTCAACAAAGATTCCGGAACAGCCTCATAATGAGCCAATTTGGCATAAAGCCTTTATGATAAAGGTAAAAAAGCGCTTTCACTAAATCTTTCCAGAGGTCAGAAGATATTTATTTACCATCAGAAGATACGCAAGATTGTATTTTGCGATAAACAGAGCTACAAAGGCGTATTCAGAGAGTGGATTATATAAAAGCATAAAAAACGCCGAGAGTAACATTTTGGGAGAACTTTTTTACGATCCAGGTACTCCTCTTTTTGAGATTCAAAAAACCTTGAAATTCAAAGTCATCGGAAACACGACTAATTGAGCTTCTTGAGTCAGAGAATTTAAGGTCACTGAATTCGCGTCAAACTGTCTAAATATTTCTAATTATCAAACAGAACGTTTTTTTCAGATAATGAAAAAAATTCGGACATGTTTGGCACTTATTCTTTCATTTTTAACTACAGAGAGTTTTGCAGAAGAAAGTCAGGATGAAAGACCAAATATAGGACTGTTTTCTATCAAATTAAAAAAAATCTTCCTTTATTTCCCAAATTTTCATATCTAGAGATAGAGTATTGAAAACAGAGAAGTGTATATTTTGGTCGATGATTTGGGCTGGGCAGATGTTGGTTGGAACAATGTTGGGCTAGAATCAACTCCGTTTATGGATAAACTCGTTAAAAATGGAACCCAAGTAAGTCAGGTCGAACAACCTCTTTCTCACTCCCTCAGTTTACGCAAATGTACTCCTCCCATCGGTGTTCCCCCTCCCGTGCTATGGCTCTCACTGGCCGCTATGCTTTCCGAAGCGGCATGGGATCCTTTCCGATCGCCCGAGAAGTCCCCTTCGGAATGAATACGAATGACAAAACCCTTCCTGAGTATTTGAAAGAAGTCGGCTACGACACGCACGCCGTTGGAAAATGGCATTTAGGAGTTTGCAACAGCTCGTATCTCCCAACAAACCGAGGTTTCGACACTTTTTATGGCCACTACTCCGGCGCTGTGGATTACAGAGGACATTACATAAAACGATCAAAGACATTTTTCCATGATTTCTACGACAATACAGAGGAACGGCACAAACTTGACTTACAATCTGATGGAGAATGGACTACAGATCTGTTTCGCGATCGAACAGTTGAAATTCTCAAGCAATCAAAGAAGACCAACACGCCTGCTTACGTCTATCTCGCTTTCAACGCGCCTCACGAGCCAACCCGAGCGCCGGAAGAGCTCATCGCTAGAATCCAAGAAAAGCACCCTGAAATCGCTTACACTCGGGCTGAACACCTCGCAGCTGTCAACCAAATCGATACGGCTGTCAGAGAGATTTACCAACAAGCAAAGAAGGACAAACATAGAGAGACGCTGATTGTTTTTCAGTCGGATAACGGAGGCGCTGTGAAGAAATTTGGCGGCGGAAGAAGTCCCGACTCGAGCGCAGTTGATTATGATGAGCTTGACTACACCCCACGAGCATGCAACTACCCGTACAAGGGATTTAAAAACTCTCTTTTTGAGGGCGGTGTTCTTAGCCCCTCTTTCCTCATATCCACCACTAGAAAATTCGCACGATCAAGGTTGAACTATCCCTTCCACATCGTCGACTGGGTCCCCACCTTTCTTGATTTCGCGGGAATCGAGCCAGACTCAAGCATGGACGGAATTTCGAGAAAAATAGAACTTGAAAATCGATGGGTGAAGAATAAGAGGGAGAGTTTTGTCTACGGCGTTTTGGATTTTTACAATGAGAAGAAGCAAAGGTGGGAGGATCAGATTGCTGTTAGATATGGAAGGTATAAATTTATGAACTTCAATATGAAGGTAAATACTTTTAAATGCGATGAAAATGCAGACAAACCAGGAACGGATGCAATAATTTTGATCGGACAAGAAATCTTTAAGTGCAATTTTTTGTAAAAATCTTTTCTAAAAAAGACAAATGCATCCAAGAAAGTAACAGTAAACAGCGAGCTACGAAGATTTTTCGATCGCCCGAGCAGCTACTGGGAAAGAGTATTCTCGGAGTCGATTACTGTTGCTGACGATTATGAGAAAAAAGTCCTGCTGGACGGATACAGCTTGTACAATCTCGAGGAGGACCCATTTGAAATTGAGAATCTCGTCGGTCCTGATTCAGAAAATCCAGAAGCCTACTCTGAAATCATAGAGGAGATTCTTAATTACATTGAGGAGCAAAAGAGCAAAGGACATGTTCTACCGCCGATTCCAGGGGATGAAAATGGGAAGCTTTACACGAGGATTTTTCAGCGAATGGGGCCTGTTTATGGGTTTTGGTTTTTGAAAAAGGGTTCTCTCAATTTAGGAGTTTCTCAAAAACCAATTTAAAGTGGATCAGCGAAAGCCTACTATGAAACAAAAAGAATAATTCCCATTGATATCGGAGGCTATTACGAAAAACAAGGCTACCTCGGAACTGACTGGTGCACCGGAAATTTCTATGACAACGAAAGAGATAAATTCTTAGAGGTAATCATTTATTTGAAAAAGTCTGCTCACGACTTTTAGCTACTTGACCTTTACCGAGGAGACCCAACAAAAAATGATCTTGTTAAAGACACAAATCTGCTGCTATCAAAAAGTATTTTCTTTCAATAAACATAATTATACGATTTTAAAAACATTTTATACTTATTATTATTCATTGAATAAATGGCAGGATATAATTTTCGACGGGAAATAATTAGCTTGTATCATTTCCGTCGACGACAAGAGTGGAAAAGATTCGCATGATTTCAGCTCTTTCTTGAAGATTCTCTTGAAGCTTTTCCATCAATTCAAGGTAGACAAAGAGCGAGTCTTGTGGCCAGAGCGTATCTCGTGGTGTTCCGCTTTTTCGGGTTTCAAATTTTCAAGTTCAACAGTGAAAATGGCAAAAACTAGTCAAAATTTGAGCCCTTTCCTGATCCTGTCTTCGTGAATCTGAATCAAAATCTCCCAGTTGGCGTGTTCGACTTCATCTGGATTATCTCCCTGGCCAGTAGTATGACTTTTTTGAGTAGATCGACTCGTTTCGGTAAGGAATGACTCGTTATTGCTGAGGTTTTTCTCAGGATTGAGTAGATCGCTTGGAAATATTTTTGCATGCGAGTCGCCACTTCTTTTGCCGGAAATTTTGCCACCCGATCCTTTCGAGAACAGAGAATGTTTCGAATAAGGATCGAGAGAGGAAGAAGATTCGTAACTTTGTTTTGATGCGTGGCTCATCAGACTTTTTCGGCGCTAGAAATTTATAGAAAAGGTATTTAAAAATGTTAAAACCTGGATCATTTGGGCAAGATGGCTGTTTGTAATCGCTGGGTGCTTCATCATGTGAGACGATGCAATGGCGGATCTGTTGCCTTGCCCGTCTTCGCGACTCTTTCGGAGCGAGAGGAAATTTTCATCATCAGAATCGTCCGGCTCGTGAGAGTCGAAAGTGTATTGCGTGTGGCTTGGCATATCCGCATCACTTCTCAAAAGCGTCGACTCCGAAGCTGCTTCAATATCTAGCGTCATTCCTCCAAACGATCGAATATGATGTCCAAAAGCATCAGGAATCCTGTCTTCGACCTTTTCTTTCTTTTTGCAGCAATTGATCAGCGCGTTCCAGATCTTCTTGAACCCAATTTTGATGAGTCCGAAAATGCCTTTGATGGAGCAGTTCTGCCACAAGTTCTCGCTCATTTCACTAAGAGATGGAAAATGTTTCTTGAATAGTGGCCATCGATGTGGTTTCCAATAGTTTTCTCGCATAAAAAGGGCTCTTTCTTCAAGTGTTTTGATCGTATTATTAACACTCTGCAATAAGGGTAAAAAAGTCCGCCTTCTTTTGCTTCAAGCTTAGTCGAATTCTGACCCCATTCCTGTAGCTCAATGTCAGTTTTGCCAGATTGACTTGTTTTCATAGATTCAGCGGAGCCTATTGGTTCCATCATACTTATCGGAACTCGATCATACTGCGACTCGCCGGCCAGTTCTTTTTCCAGCTCTTTGACTTCGTTTTCAATAATTTCTTCCGTCTGATCGTATCGCTTTTCATTCGAGTCTTCAAGGAACGAGTTGACAATAATGCCAGTGATCAAGTTCTTGAAAGTAACATTTGCAAGCCAAAGCCACATCAGAGGAAGAGCGATGGCAAAAATGTAGCTCGTGATTTCGCTCATTCCCCAATCGTACTGCTCACTTGCGTATCGTTCTTTGTAGCCAGTCAGGGATCGGAAGGAATGAAGGTCGCAGAAAGAGGTTTGGTTGTCGTAAATGTGCTCGAGCTGGCCGCGCTGGATCTTGTCGAAGGTTTCTGACCATTGATCGAGAGTGAGGATTTGAAAAAGCGTCGCGAAAGTCCAGTAGATATCAATAAAACCGCTGAAGACGACAAAACCATCATCCTCACCCGGTTTTAGCTGCTGATATCGAATAGCGTCAGCGGAGAAATCTTCATATGTCCATTTGTTCTCTAAAAATTTATTGTGAAAAAATGAAAGTAGCATGATAAAGAACTAAAATTTTTACTTACGAAGCTTGTTGTTGCGGACTTCAAAAAAGCTGGTGAACAAGAAGATAAAGAAGACCAAAAGAAGACCCATTAGGAGGATGATAATCTTCATCTGTTTGAAGGCTTTTCGGAGACCCATGAGAATCTGTCTAACTTGAGTGTCCAAGAAAACGATTTTGATGAAACGGAAGCTCTTGATAATCGAAGTCAAGCCGTAGTAGCCGATGAATCCCATGAAATTATTTTCATAGGGGTCAGAGTGCTCGCAAAGGTACGTATAGAACCAGCCGTTTTCCGATTCCAAGCCCCATTTCTTCATTCCATCGCAATATCGTCCATTTGCAGACCCTGTGAATCGCTCTTGAATCTTTTTATGCTCCTCTTGTCGGTTGAAAATCGTGTAGAGGATCGTTGAGAATGGATTTGTGGCGGAGTAGACGGGCGTGTCTCGCTCTTCGCGGGCTTTGCGGCAGAGTTCTGAGAGATCGTAAGTGAACGAGCCAGATCCTTCAGAAAATGTAGCTTGAAAGTCGTTGTTCTCGCCGCATATGTTTTCGAAGGTTCCAATATGGCTAGAAAATTGTAAAGATTATTTGCTGATTATAAAAGGGACTCTATTTTGGGAGTCTCTAGTTGGCTTTTATAGTTAAAAAAATACCTTTGATGGAAGAAAGATTGAAAGAAATACGAAGTTGCAAAGTAATCCATCGCATAAGAGACCCAGCAAGTGACGACAATGGCGAATTCCATCTGATTGAAAGCATTTCCCCAGTAGCGCGACGGGTTCCAGTCGAGAATGACGTCGGCTTGGTAGAGAAAGAATTCGATGGTAAAGATCAAGTTGACGATCAATTCGACCACTTTGATGAAATCGCTGTAGTACAGCGCCCAGATCTCCCTGAATTATTCAAGTGATGTTCCACGGAGTACATAATTCGAAATACCTTTGAATATTACCAATAATCGGTGCGCATGCAGATCGAGGATAGGCGGAACCATTGCTATTGCCCCAAGCTGACAGACTTTTAGAGAATGTTGTAAAGATTGAAGCCCATAATGGCCAGCCATCATCCGGTCCGAAATCGCAGGAATGAACCGTATTGCCGTTTGAATCCGTGTCATTCGAATACGGATATTCCTCGCTTTGTTGTTCGCCCGTTAGTCTGATCGTCGAAAGCATTTCGGAAGGAAATCTATCATAGATGGTGGTTGATGGAAAGTCTGGATGCACGATCGTGTTGAAGAACCAGAAGTTGATGTCCATCGGAACACTCTTTGGCTTTGCCACCTCGAATGATCTTTCCGCTAGAATTGTCGAATGAACAGGTTCAAAAATGAAGGAGAATACCTTCAACAATGAGGGATGTCCTCAAAATCAGAGTCAATGTACTCAGATAAACGATGATCTTCATGAACTTCTTGAAAAACCTCGAATCCGCAATGTCGTTCGCGATGTAAGAGACAGGCGGAAATGCTGAGAGACTGAAGAAAGGAATTACTAACGGACTTATTTGATCGATTTTACTTGAATCGAACACGATGAAGTCGACTTTTTTGAACTTGATTTAGGTCCGCGTTCTCTTGTTTGTCTAGAAAAGCGGTTGAGCAGGCTGACATCAAGGAAGAGAACTTACCCTTGCGCCTATTGAAGGTGTTGAATTTGACGAGCGCTGTCGGGTTGTCTTGCAGCAATTTCAAGCGTTTTGCCTGCACGGATTTACACTTCGCCCAGATGGAACAGAAAAGGGTTCATTTGGGGAGTGGAAATCCTGCCTGGTCGGTTATGTCTGATGCGTGGTACTTTGGCGTTTCTACGTCTGCTTCCATTTCTGTTAAGTTTTCTAGCAATCTTTTTGAGCCTCAAAAATGGTGCAAAATTCTAGATCGAAATTATCTTTTATGCTGAAAATCAGGTTTCCTTGCATTTTTTGGTAAATTGAGACTCTTCCTGAAGTCCCTAATAAGTTTCATCCTAAACAGCTCCGCATGAGGGTGTAAAACTTCTTTGTCTTTATTATCTTCTCAAGAAATATAATTTTAGACATATTTCGTCCGCGAAATCGTCCTACCGTTCGCCCATATTCCGACTGTGAATCTTTTTGAAGTTTTGCTGAAGCGCGAAAACGAGTCTCTGCCCATTTTGGCAGCGTTTTCGGCAAAATCCTGCGTCTGCTGCGCCGCGTTTTCTGGTCTCTAGTAATCTGAGCATTTATGGCAACAACAAGCTCAGATCGACCCGAGCTCTAGAAACTCGAAAATATACCTTTCGTCCTAAAACAACTCTCATCTTTCTAAATTTTTCAACAATAAAGATTAGTTTTTATATCTAGTTTTATAAGAAAATGGCTTGTTTTCTTTCAAAAATAACCGTCATTTTATCCAACAAGCTATCAAAATCATCAGGTAAATTAACCTAAAAATTACAATTTAAATGATTTTAAGGACGGCAAAGCTCGTGTGTAAATGTCGAAACTTGGTTATTGTAAATTTAACGAACGCTCTATTCCCTCATATTTATGCTATTAAGTTTTGACTCAAAACTTTTTGCAAATTGTTTCAGCAAAAGTTGCCTCTGAACTGGATTTGGCTGGATTTCAGGAGAACTTTTGTCCCTTAGGATTCAATTCGGCCAACATAAAACCGCCGGGAAAGGAATTTTTCTACCATATTCAAAAATGACAATGCTCAATATTTTCAAGAGACAATGTTTTCAACGATTTTTCAGAGTCAATCAATTTTCAGCTGATCACGCGAATCTGGCTCTTCGAACAAATGGAAATGTTTCTGGGTATAGTTTTTCGACAATTTGGCTATGGTACCTTGAATTTAAATAAGGCAAAAAGAGAGATGAAAATTTCAAGATTCAATTGCCACTGCGGCGATTGCCGACAAAAAGGCTCGGGTCAAAAAACCATTTCTCCGCTTTCCTGGCCTAGCGATCTTGAATTGGAAGCGGCTTTTTTCGTTGACGACGTCCTGAAATTCCGCATCAAAGGAGAGGACCATGAGGGCATGATTCCGGGAGAAGTTCTCAGAAAATTTGTCAGAGACGAAGTCGCTCGAACAAAAGCAGCGACGAAAATGATATACGAGCGAATCACGAATCCCGAAGTTGATTTCTTGGAGCTTGAAAACGAAGCAGGAAAACACGCGCTTACCAAAAATGTGATGGAGGACGGCTACTGCGTGATCAAAGGCTGCGAGAGTAAGATTGCACCACCTGTCACGACTCTTTACGGAGTGACGCAGGAAATCAAGAATGGGCCGAATCCGATAAATATTGCGCTTTCGGGCATCTATCTCGGCCCGCACATGGACTATCCTTACATGGAATCGCCACCAGGAGTTTCTTTCATGCTTTGTAGAAGAAACGACGAATGCGTCGAAGGTAGGGAAAAATTTAGTTGAAAAAGACGAAAGTTTTGTCGAAACTAATTAATTGACTTATCTGAGTGAGCTTATTGATAAAATTTGCCCTCTTTATTGAAGCGTTATTCGTTCATGTTTTTGCTCAAAACTCTGTCTGAATTGTTTCAACAAATATTTCCTATGAGCTAGTCTATTTCTGGAGAACTAATGTGCAGAATGAAAAAATCGAAAAAGTCTAATTTCTCTTTTTCAGGTGGCGAATCAATCATGATCGACGCATTCGAAGTTGCGGAAGAGGTTCGAAAATGCTCGCCAGATCACTTCAAAGTTCTGTGCGAGACTCCAGTCCGATATCAAAATCCACTGGGATCGAGACGATCCTGTCTACATCGAATGGGAACAGCCGCATATCGTCGTTGACGGCGAAGGAGTCATCACGAGGATCAACTGGGGACCAGCATTTGAAGGAAAAAGCAAAAATGTTTCGATGACGAGCGAGTACTTGAAGGCGTACAGATTTTTCATGGAGAAAGTAAACGAGTCTCCGACAAAAACAATCAGAAAACTTGACGCTGGTGAATGTCTTGGTGAGTTTCTGTTTTGAAAGATCGTTATTGGAATTTTTTTTCAAGTTTTCAACAATCGAAGAATGCTGCATGGAAGAAATTCTTTCGAACTAAATGGTGGTCAACGTCTTCTTGAATGTAGTATCTTTTGGTTAATAAATTTTAAACTAAACTTTAGTGGCTTATTTGAATATCTGCGAGTTCCGTTCGAAAGCGCAAATTCATGAGATAACCCAAGGCGATGGTCAGCTCGTCAAGATGATTTGAAATCAAAATGCAATTTGAAAAATAATATTGAAGAAATATTTACTGAACTTTCGACTGCGCGGGTCTCTCAAAAATTAATTCAAAAATTTATTTTGTGAATTTCCCAAAATATTTACCCCCAGGGTGAAAACTGTCTCACAGAATTCATAAATAAATTTATTCAGTCATTCGTAGTAACCATCAAGCCCTCCAAAATCGCGTTAAAACACCAGTGTAAATATTTTGCCGATGTTTAGTCTGAAAAGTCCCGAGTCTGTATTTTAGCTCTCCAACTTCCGCCTTCTCCAAATACTTGTTACTCGCTCAGTTTCCGGTTTTCCATGATACACAAAAAGGAAACGAAAATCGATCCAAGTTGTAAAACGAGTTCGGAAGTGGAGTAACTGTAATCGATGTTCGAGAACCTGAAAATTTCTGGGAATCAAAGAAGATCGCAATCGACTTTGGAAATCATGATATCCGATCGGAAATTTGATTGATGTGGCCTTGAAGATGCGGATTTTATTTGACAAAGTGCATATTTACTCATCGGTGGGCTGCCAATTTATCGCCCAAGTGTGATTTTATCAGTTGCCTGTGGGAGACCTTGTCCAAATTGTCAAAGCCCCTGACGACTCTGATATGCCGATCGGGAAATTAAACAAAGGGGGGTACTTGGATTTGGAGAATATACCGTGGTTTTCCATCTTAAGAGCGCCCAACTTAAGAGCGTTTTTGCCAATATTTTCCATATTTTGTCATCTGAAAAAATCCCAACTTTAGAGCGTTTTTAGGAATTATTAATTAATAATTAGAATATCGTTGATTTCAACCTGAAAAATCATTGAAAAAAATTGTTTTCAACGCTTTTTTTCAGGTGAAATCATAGCCTCTGATTCAAAGATCGTAATTTTTTTATCATAAATAGATGGAAAAAATTCATTTTATGCATTTTCATTCATCATTTTTTTACCACTGTCATCCTAGTTTGATCGTAAATTTTCCAACTTAAGAGCGTTTTGGTCTACCCTTGTCATCTGAAAAACGCTCTAAAGATGGAAAACGACGGTACAGATTTTTATTGACGGATTAATTCTGGGTTCAAAATTTTTTCTGACAAATAAAATCGGGAAAAACAAAGGCTAACAAACAGCCTGTTGTTTAATACAGGGCCTGACTCAGGTTTCTACTCAGGTTGCTCAGAGCAGAAGAAAGTGTTCTCTCCCTTTTCTCATATTTCACTGCTGGAAGTCATTTCGCCCGTACAAGTCGTAATTACGTCTCGCTGATAAGATATGCGCTCACACTCGAGTCATCCCACTTTCCCCATTCATCCGAATAGTAGTTCCAAATTCTTTTCAGGCTTGGAAAGTTTTTTTATCGCAGTTTTTTTTCATTCCAGATAAATTCCATTTCCTTTTTTTGAGTGACAGTAAGAAGGCTTGAGAAACAATCGGTGCGTAAATTCGGAAACGGGATACCACGTGATCAGGCGACGATAAAAATTAACCTGTCATCGTGGGTTGATCCGTTCAAAGACCGTCAGAAGCGACAAAAAAGAAAGAGGATACTCTTTTTTCTGAGCTCAGAATCACAAAAACGGCTTCTTTTTTCAAAACAAAAACAGCTGATGGAGAGAATGGGAGGGAGGTGGCTGTAACAGGTGCATGAAAACGTAAAATCAGATCAGTGGAGATGTCACTCGAAATCTGAATGCGTGAATTATGCAAAAATGACTGTTTTCATTTCAGACTATAGCCACTTGTTCTCGAGGAGGCTTAGCAAGATCTTCCTAGAATAGAATCTACTTTTACTGAAAGTTCCCAAAGAAAGAAGCAATCTGATGATATGATCCTTTTCTTAGCTGAAAACCGTCAATGCAGAAATCATAATTCCTTGATAAAATGAGTCAATAAGAATTTAAGTTTTTCATTTAATCTGAACTTTTTTTAAGAATCAGACTAAGTTTTCGAAGCATTTTTGAGATTCATGATGAACATGCTTTCAACTTTATGTTAAGAAAAGGCCTTTAAAATGCTTAATTAAATTCATAAAGTATTTTTCATCAACCCGCTCCGATGGCGCGCACGGGCGCGCTGCGCATTTCGCCAGGTGGCGCTGGTATACCGCGGCGGTGGTAGCGAAGGTAGCGCGCGGAGCCGAGCCATGCGCTAATCTAATACAAACAACACCCATAAACTGCCACTTTTCTGCAAAAAAGGCAAAACTTTTCAACAAGAGAAACAATCGAAGCTAGAGATTTAACGAAGCTCTTCAGAAGCCAAGAACGAGAATTTCTATTTTTGTAAGTTTTTTTCACATTTTTGATTCAACCCTTTTTTCTGCATTTTTGACTCGAAATTCTAAAAAGATTTTTCTTCCAAGAGACGCGGCAAACCCTTATCTATCCTTCCCACATGGGCATCATCTCGAAAAAGGTCTAAATTTCCCGGACATCCGGCAGTAATTAAAAGCCATTTAGAACGGTTTTCTCCCAGCTCAAAAATTTAAAAATTGAAAAGAAAAAGTTCCACCGGAAATGCCCTCGGTAATCCATTTTCATTCTTTTCCGTCTAATTATCGGCTCCGGGCCGCTTTTTTCCGCCTAATCCGGCCCCAAAAAGGAAGATCCTGACAAAAAACAGCCCACTTGATAAAAAAGCGGCCCGTGTTTAATTGAACTAAGTTGATTTAGTTTAACGACTACTCGACTACTTGACTACTTAAGGGAGGCCCTTAAGTAGTCCCTTGGCGGTGTATTGGCCTTACATCTCTTCTTCACTCGCCTCAGGGCAGGGCGGAAGTTGAGGCAAGTTTCGTTAGCTACGTCAATGTTTAAACAGAAACTCCCCAATAAAACTTTTATTGTGTTTGGTTTTCGAGTTGTCTTTTCTCAAAATCAGAGTTATTTCTATCGAATTTTCCGGTATATTTTCAAATTGCCGAAATCCCCCCTTAACTCCTTGGCACCTGAGACCTGCTGCGCTCAACTCGGAGGTGACCTACTACAGGTGTCGATCGGAATTATCTCAGAGGGGCGCTGAGAAGATTATACTTTCCCTGTGGCCGACTTTTGGGGTTTTCTTATTCCTTCGGTGGGTTGAATTTTACGCTTGGATTTTCATGAGCCCCAGTTTGGTTTCTCAGTAATGGAATTATCTTTTTAATTGCCTTCAAATTTGATAAATTTAAACCTGTTTTTTTGACTGATAATTTTAACAGATTCACACCTTTATTTTTTGACGCAAAAGAATCATTTTTAAAATCTGCTGCGAAAAAATTGACAACCTTCTATTTCCATTTTAGCAGTTGATTTATTGCAATTTGCTGTTCGAAAAAACGAGGTCCGGGGTAAACTCATTCATCATCCTAATTGGCCCCATTTTACATGAATAATGATCAAGCCAGCCTTTTTTCAGAATAAAATTCTCCTCCTCAATTTTCAAATTCGAATACTATTTTCTAGTCTTGGCAACTTGCTGTTTCAATTTGCCCACATCTAAGCCCCCTAGCCTGTCTGTTTCCGTTCCTGCGGTACCGCAACGGGTTGAAACCGCAACTCCCCATCGGTATTTTTATCTGAACTTTTCCTCCCTTGCCAAAAAATGCCCACTAAATCTCAACACAAAAAATGTCCGGCTCGAAATTCTTTGAAAATTACCCTTTTCTCAGGCGCCATTTTCAAAGGCTAAAATTTCGCGGTTGCACGTGACTCCCGAGGATTAAGGGGGCGGCCCGAAGATGTACCTTTTTATGATAAGTGACAGTTCTGTCGATCTCGCTTTTTTATATTTCAAATTGATTTTTTAAACATTTTCATTTCTTAGCTTTTATTATTGGCTTTCGTGAAAATCCGACAAGAAAAGGCGCCTCGCCTTTCGATTTTTTGCTCATTCGATTCGAAATTCGAACATATGGCGCTGGACGATCCTTAGTGATAATGACCACCCGCTGGGCTTTGATATGACGGAGGGAATCCGACTTATGTTCATACTTATAAATATGCATGTAGGAATTAATGATTGTATAATCAGCCTTGATGCTCCAATATCCATCTTTTGGAGGGAAAATTTAAGGTTATCCTCCTTACTTTTCTTTTTTTTTATCGTGGGGTATCCCCTTATTCTTTCGATAAAGAAATCAGATCGTCCTAAATGATGATTAACCCCTTTAAAAATCACGATTCCGGAGAAAAATCGGAAGACTTATTTTATCCTCCACTAATTCCAGCTCAAAGGAAAAAGGAAAGACTCTTTTTGACGCAATAAACTGTGAAAATTGGGCCCTTGAACGGCCCATCAACGTCGTCTTCAAAGCCGTGACACACTTCATGGGCCGCCAAAATAGGAGACTCGCCACTGTTTCGGAAAATGACTGGGACAATAACGTTGGTTTTAAGTTGCCTAGCTTATACAATGGAGTTTTTTGACGACTTATTGGCTTGTCAATGCTAGATTCTCTTTTACTGAGGAAAAAATTAAGGGTGTAGCACTCAATTGACTGAAATTTTGAAAATTGAAGTAGAGCCTTAATAATGTTATTCATCAAGTATGCTAATCCGAGCCCAGCTTCCAGAAAATCTGCACTCGCCCGGGGCCATGTCGCCCTAAGCCGCTAGGCAATCAACTTTCCGATAATTTGGGTAATAAACGAGCCGTTGTCCAGACACGCTCCTGGCGATTTGGGCACACAACGAGCAAAGTAGAGATCGATTGAGTTAATTTACTCGAACGAAATAATCCCCTCTGACTTTACATAACACCCTCGAAATCTCCAAGAAAAAGAAGGACTAAAGAACTGATCCTTAATTTGCCGCTAAATGCGCCCAAGCGTGCCCAAAACACGCGTCCAAAAAGTGAAAAAACGCGGCGGTGGCAGCTGACAACCTCGAACGTCGAGGAGAAACTAAATGGATTACAGAGCAAATGTATTTCCAGGGAAAATATTTGCCCCGTTTGATTTTCGGGGAGCGAAATTTTTACCACAAACTTTGCGACCTCATTTATCCGGCTCAAATTTACACGTAGCCAGTTTCTTATCCAATTTTGGGAATGAATATTCCGTCTCCGAATTTTTATTCCACTAATTCCAAATTTAAGGGTATCAACTCATTAATCGCAAATCTCAAAAGGGTCATTACTCGCTTTACTTCCTATTTTTAACCCTTTTCGGGTCAATCGATCTTTCGCCCCAGAAAAGCGGAGATAAATTACTGTCCGATCAAAGAGCCCCAAGCTCGTTTTCTTTCTTTTTTCAAAGTATCGACTTTTTTCTATTTTCAAAAATACACTATTATCATGATGAGCTTCTCATAAGCTTGGCAAGGCGAGAATTAAGGGTATTACCTGAGTATTACCATTTGGAAATTGATGAATTATTAATAATCTAAGCAGGTGGGCATTGTTGAGAATTTTTAAGCCGCCAAAATAGTACGCTCATTTTTTATTCTGATCGCATTTTCCAGGCGAACTTGCATAAGCGATTTCTTGGCAGCTGATTCCTTCGGTTCATCCTCGCTTCTAATACCAATTCATACATTCATGAGCATGGAAATAAGGAGACAAAAGGGATGAATAGAAAAGAGGCTAGGATAATAACAATATTGAATTTGGGAAAATGTTATTTTTATCAAAGAATGGGGGACCAACTTTTTTTTGACCGAAAAAAGGTGTTTTTATTTCGAATCAAAGCAGACCAGAAATTTGGTATTTTTAACCCACTAGCAACAAATGTTTCTTCATGGGTTAAAAACGTCAAATTTTTGGTTAAATGAGATCTTCTTCAAAAATTTTTTTGTATGAAAAGTCAGCTGATAGATATTTGAAAGAAGTCTCCCGGAAAACTCAAGAATTCTGTCTGAAGTGAGCCCCATTTCGAATGAGCTCCTTGACGCGCCAAGAATCGATCAGACAAAGTTTGACAGGTCTCTGATCGTGTCGCCTGCTCGAGTTTTGTGTATTATCCCGGTTCATCCCTTTTTGATCTTGCCCGTTTAGGGTTGACAGTTCGGACAAAGGGGCTCAAGAAAGAGGAGCGTCTTCAAATTAGCTTGAAAGCAGAAAAAATGAAGAGGGTGTAATGCTATTTAGCAGGAGATGCATTTAGACAAGTTTTGAGTCGTCTTTAATATTAATTGATGATAATGAGATTTAGACTAATTGAGCCGCCTTTTGATGAGCTAGATAATGAGCTCATCATTTTTCGGTCTAACAAGGAAAAAAAAGAAGAAAAAAAAAGACCATAAATATCTTTTCGAAAATTTCATTTTATAGTTTTGAGTGGGGTCGGAATCCGAAGACTTAAAATAAAAATGACTTCCTTTTTTATTGATCTTATGAGCAAGTAGATAAATTTTGATTTTCCTTTGCTAAAGCAGGATATTTTCTTTGATCAATATTTCTTTCCAAGCATGCAATATTCTGAAATGAACATGAATCCGGCTTATTGGGACAGAAGGCAAGATAATTGACCGCTCATCTGGTTTCAGTCATCTCCTACCAGCGGCACATCTTCTGTATCTTTTGACTAATTTTGTTCTTCAACCAGGGAATGTTCAATTTGATGAATAGACCGCATTCCAAGTACTTAACCTATGGCAAAGTTTTCATTATCCTCGCGGGCACCGTCCGTAAGGATGATTCGTCACATGTCATTACACCGCAGAAATGTGCAGCAATTTTTTCTATGCAACATACCAAAAGGTGAAATCACCGGAAATGCGAGTTTTGAGGTGTCGAAGTTTCGAAACCGATACTTTTGAAAACCGATAATTTCAAGGTTCTCGGGAGATAGCTTACCGTTCGGGCTCACCAACGATGAACAATGTTTCTGGCTCAGTTATCGCTCAGTTCGCTTTTGAGAGTACTCAACCATTTACTTCTACACTAGATAGAGAGAAAATCACGGGCTGATACGCCCAAACAAAGAAAAAAAGAAATAAAAAACTTGAGAAACGAAGGGCTAAGTAATAGAGCTGAAGAGATCAAGAGCTTCAGAAAACTTAATCAGAAGGTATTTACAAGGTCCAAAAAGGAAGAAATAAATAAAAAAAGGATCAAATGATCGAAAAAACTAGAATATTTTTACCCCAAATAACCCTGACTCTAAGCTTAATCCTAACCCTAACCCAATAAAAGAAAGTGATGCCCTTAAATTTGGTGATAGAAAAATAATGGATTGTTGACTCACCGCAAGTTGGTGTTGAATCACACAAGTGTGAAATTTATGCATTCGACGACCGGAGGCATTTCGTAGTCAAAATGCGCGCAAGAAATTTCACGCGAGGTTTTTTTTTGCTTTTGCTTTGACCGCCCGGCCAGTTTTCGCCACGGCGGTGACGTTTTGTTGCATTTTCGAAACAAATAACCAGCCCCGCGTGGTGAATACATTACCAAGCTAAACGGGTAAACAAGCCACTTGGTTCACTGAAGATGGAAATTTATGGAACAGGTCGATTTTGGGAACAAGAAGTCGAATTCCAAAGTCAAAATAGAAAAAAACGCATTGTCTAAAAAGATTTTTTCAAAGAACTTGCTCATTTTCCCTTTGGCTCGAAAACCTGTGTAGAAACCTGAGTCAGGGTTTCAACAATAAGCCGCGTTTGAGCCTGAGTCAGGTTTCTATTCATATTTCCGAGCCAAATTTTACATTTTTAGGCGAAAAGATTAAAGAAAAATGTATAAAAAAACCTTATCTTTCTGACACTTGACCCTTGACCTGCGGTGAAGGGTTCGATAGAAAAGCAAGAAAAACGCAGTTGATGATGGATAAGGGAAAAAAACTGTCAGCGCTCGACAGTAGTTTGTAAATGACGTGTTCGATAAGCGAAGGGGGCTCCGTAAGTGTCTGTCCGATGACATTTCGTGATAAAAAAAGAAGGTTTTGGAAAAAAAAATAAAATTGAATCAAAAATGCGAAGAATTAACGGAATCATCGAATCAATAAAGACCACAAATATATTATGCTCGGATTAAAGATTCATGAATTTTGATATCGTCTGTTCAGATATTCACGATTTCCGGATGAATGGACCACTCGCTTCCAGCAAATAAATAAACACATCCGATAGGATGAAGAAGATTCTCCTCTCGTTACTGGCACAGTCACAAGGTACAGTACTCATTTGAAATAGCCTCTCTGTGGATTTCTGTGTAGTCATGTTAAATTTAAGCCTCAAATTTTGTGTAAATAGATCATAAATGTCGGAAAATCGCACGTTGCGCGGGCTGAAAATCATCCCCTGTCATTCCAAATGTAAACCTCCGCTTTGTGGTGGTGTAATAGCCACCTCGTTTAACGCAACGCGGCCCACTCTATCCATCAGCCAGTCTGTTTATCTGATCCTTATCGTCGAGCCTGTGCGACCTTAAGGAGCGCGAAAAATCGATCATAAGGACCCCTACAGGGACATATGCCCCAGACCTTTTGAAGCCGAGCGAGTGATGGTTTTCCGGTCGCAGGGGGGACCCTTGGCACAAAATCAGCCCAATATCATTTTCACAAAAAGGTTAACAAAAAGTTAAATGTAAAGATTTGAACAAATCGCAAACCCGCGAGCCGGACATATTTAAGTTTGGCTGGGGCTCTCTCTTTGTGGAGCCAGAAATTATTTGAGGAAATATGCACGGAGCCGGAAGAAGCGCCCGCTTCAAAAACCGTTGTTTTTCAAAATCATACACAAATGCCGGCGTTTTTTTCTTTCGTTATTTCTCGGCAACTTTTGTGAAAGCCTGAGTCAGGTCTTAACACAGCTAGAACCCTGACTCAGGTTTTCTACACAGTTTGCCGAGCTCAGTCTTTATTCTGTCTTTGCCCTTATATCTAATTAAGGTCATTAGAAAATAGAACCCTTTTGTTCCATTTGAGGCTATTTTCGAAAGAGGGTCCTTCAATTGACTTCGAAAAAATAGGAAATGCAAATTTAATGAGCCGCGCCATCTGATTTTTCTTAATTCAGTAATGAGATTCAATGCAATAATACCCTTTCTTCGCCGCCTTGGCTCATGGGATCAATGCCAAAAATTAGTAAATTTACTAAGTCAAAAGTCGAGGTCAAATAGTAAAAAATTAGCCGCGGAAAGACATAGGCTGTCTCCGGCTGTCGAGGAAGAGAAAAAGCGGACTTCCGGGAGAGCTAAAAAATTGGAAAAAAGAGTGGTTGATAGTTTCCAAACAATTACTGTCTCATTTTTGAGAATGACGACCAAAGCTCTTCAAAAATACCGGTCAGGGTCCAGTTGACTTTTTTCTTTCAAAGTTACTGTAAAGAAGCATTCTTATTACAGTGAAAGTGACAGAATTAGCAGAGGTTTTTGAGTCCGTCAGTTTTCTCTGAGGCAGAATTGCGCAGGTTCACTGAATCATTAATGCTCGCTTACAGACTTAAAATTCTGTTGTCATAGAACGTTGTTGCTTCAATAATTTGCAGCACGGGGCCTCGCTCTTTTGGCCACTCGCCCGAGGCAAGACTCACAAGAAAGCACCTTGTCATAAGTTTAATTAACCTAGCTTTTGGGGGAGAGCATCATTTCTAGTCAGATTTAATTGAGCTAACTGAATGCTCAACTAAACGAAAAAAAGCGAATATAATTTTCGAGTAATTTCGCTGCTGACAGCGCAAGTCAACGGGAGAAAGGCACCTGGTAGAATTTGCATTTTGAGGGAAAAAGGGTTGAACGAAAATCGTTGACCTACGGGGCGCTGGGGATGGAATAAGGGATGATTCAGCTGACAGGAGACCGCATTTATCAGGATTTGTCAAATTGATATTATAGCAAGTTGGTTATTTTTACGACGACCTAAAGACTATGCTTAAATGTTAGGAGTAATGAGTTGTTCATTGGATAGAAGAGTGAAAAAGCTTAGTATAAAAAGTATTTTATTAGTTATCATTTTTGCAAAAAAAAAATCTAGAAATGTCTATTCAAGCACTCTTTGTTCTCCGCCGGTAAAATTGCCATTTTCCGCCTTCTTTCATTTCCACTTTGAACGAAGAAATAATTCAATTGCCCAATTTACTCTTCCGGATCCTCAAACAACAACTTCTTGGCGCCAGGAAAACGCCAGAATAAAGTCTATCATAAATAACGCATTCAATAAAAGTTTTTCATTTGCTCAGAATCGGGAGCAGCAAGACTTTGACATTATCATAAGCAGTCATAAGAATCTCGGCCACTTTTTTGGCGCTTTTGCAGCGTTGGGTTAAGTTGAAACTGCAGTACTTTCCCGAAGCGATTTCTATTTGAAATTAACTCTAATTCGTTCAGGCTGGAACTGGATCTTCGAAGAGCCGCCTTCAAGTCGCCAGGTTAAAGGATGCCAAGACAACGAAGTCCTGATCGCCTGTCCCACGTGAGTATCGTTTTCACATTTTTAAGACTATTATACGCGCCATTCTCTTTTCCTTTTCTGGAAAGATTGGGTTTCAAACCGGTAAATATTCTATTTAGGGGAGATGTAGTCAGCGTGAAAAAAACGTTTTATGGAAGAAAGGACCTTAATATTTGTGCTGCGCATCCGTCAGAAATTAAGAATAAGAACTGTGAAAGCAATCCGCTGGAAGAGGTTCAAAAAAGGTAAGAAAAAATGCTTGAAAATAAGGAGAAAATCATGTTTTTTGAATCAGGGACACCCTTAATTGGCAACCTGCAAAGTTATAAGTTTAAAACTTAACCTCTTTACGCAGCTTTTCCGACCACGTGTTCGTTAGTTTATGCAATTTCTAGCCGTTGCCCTCAACCCCGATTATAGCATCTCCATTCTAGCGCCAAGAAAAATATCGAACACAAAAGCATAAGCCCATAATTATTATATCCCGCGAGGTGTACAGATCCGGCAACAAGCTGGTATTTTGCACCGCGGCGCGGATCAACGCGATTTGCGAAAGGGTGAGCCAAATTGGGTTCAGGTTCAAACGGGGGGCAGGAAATTGGGTTAAGGGGATAGGGAGGGGTGATTTGGGGTAAATATCAACTTCAAGAACGATTTTCGGGAATCGGGAGATTGGATTCAAGCTTTGATATGGAGATATTCTTGTCGGAATTTTCGACTCGAAAATCTTGGAAACAGGCGTATTTTATTTTCATTGACTTTGACACCCTTAATGATGAAAAAGCTCTAGCTCACGTTTTAGACAGTATTCCTTTTGCAAGAAACCCGCAATTTTTGCCCTGCTAGCAGCTGAGAGTTGAGGATTGATTTCTGCACATGCAGCAATGGCGGTGGTGCTCAACTCACCGCGGTCACTTTTCAAATTTTAAGAACGATTCATTCCAGTCCATATGGTCGAGTTAAAGCAAAAATGATGCTTGAAAAATTTTCAAAGCCGTGAAATTACTTTGAGATTTTTTTCTCATGTTAGCGAAAATTGAAATTGATGAAAGTACAGATTAAGGAGCGGGCATGTGAAAACGCGTGCTTGACCTTATGGCAGCTTTGATAAGATGAACCACTTGGAGCTGTATTTAATCATTATGCATATTGGAGGGTGTTATTACACGAACACTTGGCAGGGCACTTCGCCAGGCGAGTTTGTTCAATAACTCGAGTCAAGTGAAAATCAGATCACCTTGCTCTAAGGAAGAAGTTTTCTACAGTAATTTTCGTAAATATCAAAGCCAGTAAGGCAATTCGAAAACTATCATTTTCGTCAAAAAACGATCTGGCTCTAGAATTTTGACGCGCAATGCACGGAGTATGCTGATCTCTTTTGCGGTGATTAACGCGGTCGGGTCCCTTTGAAAAGTTTTCAACCCTTGAGCACCTCTCTTTCCTTTTCTTCTTTTTATGCAATTAGCGCTAGAACAAAAAGAAAAACGCTCTCTACCGGTTTTGAATTCATGCAACACAATTTGAAAGAAGCAATCGAAAACAAAACGCTCTTTCGAGTGCTCTTTGTGTGTTACATTTTCGGACTCTTGATTTTGCATTTTTCGCGGAATAAAGAAAAAGGGAGGAAGCGGCGAGAGGGATTCTTGAGTGTGGGGCTTCTTGACTTGCAATTCATTATAACGGGGAAACACGTCTTTTTCATGTGGTTCCCGCCTCATTGTTGAAATTAGAGGGGATAATGGAAAACCATAATACTATGATAAAATTTGATAACACAGATTTTCTTTCATTGGATCAAATGATCAAATTTGAAAATATAGATTATGACCTTGAGACATCCGACGGTCGTTTAGCCAGTAAATTTCGCTTTCTGAAACACTAGAATCCCGGATTACAACAAAACTTCCAAATATCTGCAAGTGGGTTTATCTGCACTTATTTTATCACCATAAGGCGGCTTCATCCCTTTTCACGAGTTCATATCTTATTTTGGCCTCTTGTTCATTTTCCCCTATCACCAGAACATTTGGAAATCAGACTTCTCCAAAATTTTAGTTCATTTTTCTCGGAAATCATAATTTTTAATTTCAGATGCAACAATCGCGAAACCTGCCGATTACCAGTCGACATGTCCGTTTTCGAAGACCCTTGTCCAGAGACTTCAAAATATCTTCAAGTCGATTTCGAATGCGTCAAACACTGTAAGTACCGAAAGAAAAAGAGCTTGCAATTAGCGTTCCTTATCAAATTCACAGCAGGTGCTCTTTGCTTTATCACTTTTTGCTCGGCGCCAGGATGTAATTTCATGCAGCTACGCTGATGTTTTTTGAAGAAAAAAATGTTGTGATAAGAAAATATTCTGGCGGGAAAATTGTAGGGCGCGAGGATTCCGACCGGAATTCGAGTGATAAGAAGCTACAACCGCAGAATTTTCACATTTTTCTCCCTTCAGTTTTTACAGAAAACCTGTGAAGAAACCTGAGTCAGGGTCTAAGAGGGGTTTCTTAGGACCCTGACTCAGGTTTCTGCACAGGTCTTTTTTCGCTCAGATAAAAGTTGTTTTATACAGTAAATTATCAAAAAACCGCAGCGTGAGGTGCGGCATCCACAGCTTCGAAATTCGATTTTCGAAAAGATTCTAGGATTCGAAAAAGATAAATTCATTTGGAACAGTTCCTCCTGAATCCCAAGCCGGTCTCATCCGACCCGAACACTTTTTTTCAAAACTTCTCTGGGAACGCTTTTTTGCTTCTTCATTGCTGACCACAAACATTGAGTGTTTTGGTTTGCTCCAGAAAACTTTGAAAACCCCTTGCTTCACAAGATTTTTTCGAGTTTTTTGAAAGCAGCTTTAATTGAATCCCAAATTGTATCGAAGCACGTGGTGTTGGAGGATAAATAGCCGGGCGCAATAAATTAATTTCCGCCTGAAAATACTAATCTTATAACAATTTGCGCCACATGACCTTTTGGACTGCGGCCCAGAAAAACCCGCTTTTTCCGGCTTCTTTTCTACCTTCCGTATTTTATATTGTGATAAAAAATAACACCTTTTTCGCAAGATACAAAATAAGATACATGTAATGTGCAAAAACAAAATGGAGAATGTGGATTATTCCGAATAACAAAATTGATAATAACAAATTTGAGCAATTGGATTAAATGGAGTATTTCTTGAAAAATGATGGAAATAACAAATTGACCAATTGAGTTAAGTCGGTCTTAGAGTAATTTCTAAATGATTTTAGGTCAGAGCTGACTGTCTATATTTTTCTTGAAAAATGAAATCAAAAGTTTATCTGACCTTTTTTGAAAATTATATACTAAGAAAAGTCACGAAATTTAAGTAAATCTCGGGTTTCACCAATAAAATCGCCTAAAATTTTATTTGCGCCAATCAAAAGCCGTTTTCTTTTAATTTTGAACACCCTTGTTTTTTTATTTTTTCTGTAAAATACTCGATTTTCCAAGCAAAATAATCTATTTTTGACGAACACAAACCTCCGTTCTTTAACTCTATTGTTCAATTTTAATTTCATCCCAAACATCCTTCTCCACGATATGAGCTCACTAGAGTATCTCCGGTAGCATACTCGGAATACACCTTAATCCGGATGCGTTTCTCCCCGCGCTGAAAATTTATCCCTCCGTTGGCCCTTCTCCAAATAAGTGTTTTTTCTTTGCTTCTTGAATACGGAATAAACGACTCGGTTGTATACAGAAGAGTTTTCTTCTGATAAGGAACGATGATAAGAAGCAGCCACCTCTCGCGGATTTTCTTTCTTTCTCGGCGGGGGACCGCGCCTTGTGTGATGCGCCCCTTATCAGTGCTTATTTTGAAATCACGGAGATATCCGAAGATACTCTTATGTTAAGCTTGTGTAGCAATAATATTGCTCGAGATAGGGAGCAGATACCCTTATTGCTTGGAAATTGTAAGCTAAGCAATTTTTATTTCGCCGAAAATGATCCCTTTTAGCACTAGAATTTGCAATTTTACCCAAGAAAAAGACATTTTTCCTTCTTTTCAATCATCAACTTAAGGGGGTGGTGGTCGAGAATCGGATTTTTTTTCAACAAAATTAGCTCAAAATTTTTCAAAAAAATTTTTTCTTTTCTCATCGAAAATGGGTTTAAAAGGGTTCAAATTATGTGGGCGACATAGTTTAAAAAAATTTTTTTTTCGAAAAAAGGTCAAAATATGCATCTAAAGTGGACCTATCTCTTGACAAAATTGTGAGGAAACCCTTAAATTTTTTTCGAAATTGACTTTATTGTGAAGATAGTTCAGACCCTTAGGCGTGTGGCGAAAATAGTTTTAGAAAGATTCTGTTTCATTTTGAGGTCGCAGAAGCTGATTTAAAAAGTCTAGTTTTCTTAAAAATCATCATTTTTCACCCAATTTGAACTTTAATCTTCGAAAAAATCACAACTTTTCTCAATTATTGCCTTTTTTATTTGTAAAATCTTTTATTTTAACAATATCACGCAGTAAAAATCATGTTAGTATCGGTTTTAGTACAGAAAATCAAATTTCAAAGTTACGAAAAATCGTAAATTCCCGACTTAAAATCGATATTTTCTTAATTAAAGTTTATCTAATCAAAAAATGGTAGGGACCAAAAATGTTCCTTTTTATCGAGGAATTCAAAAATAAAATCAAAATTTCAAAAAGTCGAGAAAAATATTCTCGACCACCACCCCCTTAAGGGTTTCACGGCCTTAATCTTCAAGAAATTGCAGATCGAGTTTTTGCATACTCACTCCCTTAATTTCTTCCAAGGTCACTTTGTGATTCATGCCAAGAAAAATCACCCTCCTTCCCTTCTTTCCTCTTGACTAAGATAAGTTGTAGCTGACAATCTGTAAATATTTACAAGTACCAGTGTACCCTGACGTCGGTTTTGGCGATCTAAGGGCGTCGCCTGACACTCGCAAACTTCTTTCCAAATTTACTCACTTCTCAATTGATATCCTCAAGGCGCTTCCGCCCTGGCGCATTTTTTTGATCTTAGATGTTTACAAATGTCAGATGAAAGGAAAAGACCTGTCAGATTCGGCCGGTGGAAAGATTCTCATTTTCAAGGAAAAAAGAGGAACCATAATGATCTCCTTTATAAAAAGTTTTTAGAAAAAAAAATTGAGTTGTTTCAGGGACTTAATAAAAATCTCCAGAATACCCATCCTATTTTAGGATACGGTATCCTGGATACCCAGTTACAACTATTTTTTGAACGAACGATTATGACAAAAAATCACTGAACAAATTCTTCTAACGAACAAAAAAAAAGAATGTTTGTAAATATTTGTCAGTCCTCTTTGACACATTTTTTGGTTGCATTTCTGCCGCCCATAATCTTTTTTCTTGGCGCATTTTCAACCCTTTTTTTCTTCATTGTAGTTTCAGAATTCACTCTCTTTGAGCTCAGAAGGGTTCCGAGAGATTCCTGTGGTAAGCTAACCGCAGCGGAGAAAAAAAAGGGAGGTTCTTTTCGGGCCGAACCAAAATAAGGAAGTAATAAGCTAGGAAGTGACAAAAAAGGAAGTGATTTTTTTGAAATGGGTTTTCATTGGCCGGTAGGCCAAATGCAGAGATCTTATTGGTCTTCAGAAAATGCACTTCCTTTTTTGTCACTTCCTAGCTTATTACTTCCCTATTTTAGTTCGTGCCTTCTTTTCTCATGGGGATGAAATTCATCTACGACCGCAAGCAAAATTACAAAAAATTTTAAGCTGTTTGATGCTAATTGGGATAAAAAATCATCTTGAAAATCGTGAAAAATGAAAAACCGAAATTTTTCTTTAAAAAAACTTTTTCAGTATTCGATGAGCCGAAAAAGTACTTCCTCCCATCCCGCTCCGTCGAATTCTCCGTCCCAGCTCCAGGAACATGGTCAGAAGACCCAATTTCCAGCTCTATTTATTTCCTCAAATTCGACACAAGTCGCACCACCGAGCTTTACGAATTCGCCTCCTTCAACGAATTTCGTGAAGCAAATTTCAAATCCCTACGTCCTTCGTTTTCGCTAACAGGTGAGAAAGGAGATTTATTTATGACTAGAAGAGTGTTGCATCAGACAGCTAGAATAAACTTATTTTTAAGTGCCGGCCCTTGATGCTAAGTTCGCGACGTGGGACAGGAATATTTATTATCTTACCAGTTCGAAGATGATCAAATACTCGACCAGTCAGCTTTCTCAGGTAAAGACCGTAATCATTTTCTCCAAAGAAGAGAAAGCATACGATACCGATTAAATAAAGATGATTTCAAAAATGAAGCATCAGGATCTGTGTCAATTGTAGTCAAACTTCACTCATTACCTTATCATTATTACTTATCAATTATCTCTTTAGATTACTTAGAATTTATCATTCAGGTTGACACCATCGATCTCTCCGAAGAAATCTCCTCCTCCTCAGACCTCTTCAATCCATCCCTGGACCTGATGACATCCGAAACAGGCCTCTTCGGGGTCATCCGGCTTGGGCGTTCTGAGAGTCGCTTCCGCATTCTCCAATTCTCCACTGAAGGAAAGCTGCGCATTTCCGATCGCTGGGAGGTCAATTTGAATTCTTCCCGAAAGCGCAAAACAGAGGATCAGCCTACTACGCTGATCATTGGAGATGTCCTCTATGTTCTCAAAAATGGCAAATTGACCGGAGCAGTAAATTTCAAAACGACAGAACTTTTGGATTTCGATGAGTCAGCGGTTTTTGACATCAGTGGATTAGTTTCTTACAATCCAAGCGGGAGCCTATCAATGTCCGATGGCCAGATGATCCGCAAAATCGAGCTTGAATTCTCCGATTCTATTACCACTACAACCACGACTACAACCACAACAACGACCACAACGAAATCGACGAAGTCGACAACAGAAAAAATGACTACTGAAGAACTCATCACTTTAGGTAAAAATTCGAAAAAAAACTTTCGAAGATCGTAACATGCTAAAAATGAGTGCGGCACTAAGCCAAACAAATCTCATGTGGTCTAAGAACTCACATGTCAATCTACTCAAAATTTGAGCCTTAAATGTAGAAATGATACATTCTAGAGCTGCGATTTGTTGATACTAATCTCGGGACAGTTTAACGTTTCTTCACAATTTCTCGAGAAAATTGACGAAATAAGAACCAGAACTACCAGAAGTATTACTCCAACTATGATTTTTTATTTGATATACACCTGAATCGCGTTCATAAAAACTAACAGCAGCCTCCTCTAAAATTTCAGTCTAGACACATAAATAACATCAATTACTCTTACAATAAACCTAAATTTAGATGACCCCAAATCTTCATACAGCAGCACAAGCAAGTTCTGCCCCGATACCGTCATCTCATCCTACTCCTTCCCTGAAACCGAACAGCTTACTCTCGCCTCCGTCCCCTGTCCTAATGGATCAGGCTCGGCTACGTACTGGTGTGATCGTGGAACTTGGTCATTAGATGGCCCTGATTTCTCCGAATGTCGCGAGATTCAAAAAGAAATCCAAAAAACTTACCCTTGGTCCGACGAGATCGAATCGCTCTGGCGAGGAAATAACCATTCCTTGGTTCTCCAACGCGTCCAAGCTGAAATCCCGTCTCTTCAAAAAGCCGCTGCCACAAAACTGGTCAAAGAAGTCGCTCAAGTGATGACTTCAAGCAAACAGGACATCTCCGACTCCGCCTTGAATCTCTTCGAAGAGCTCCACTGCCGCTCACTCCTCAATTCCGAACAATTTCTGTACCTTGCCTTTTCATCATCTTCTCTCCTCGAAATCAGTCCTCAGCGCTGCGGAGAGCAGATTTACCGGCAATTCGATTCCACCGACCGCGGCAACTTATCAGCAGGCGCCAAATGCGAAGTCCTCATTCAGGAAGAGTGGACTGCTTGTGTCTTCTGCGACTTGTGCCCACAAGCGATGTTCATCAGAATCGAGGAGCAAAGCCAGAGCCCGCTTTTTAGTGCCTTTTACATCGCGACACTGTTCTCGACGATTATTGTCAGTGTTTTGCTCTTTATCATCGCTATTTCAAGGTAAAAATCAATATTATCAAGCCTTTTTCATGAAATTTCTAGAGTCGAGAATCTCCTTTACCCCGGGATTCTCAGATTGCTTACAGTTCTATCGGTACTGTTCTGCGATTTGAGCTTGATTCTCACGCCCGACTACGGCATGGTTTCAATCAACACCACAATTTTCCGTGATACAGCTTTCTCCTTCTTCGTCATTCTCGAGTTTATGTTCCTGCTTGGCATTTCTCACTCTCTTCGTCAGCGAACCAAGGTAACCAGATCCTTTCTCTACCTCTTTAACCCAAGATTTTAGCCCGTTTCATCGCCAAATTTTCACGTTGAACGATATCTTTGCCTAGCCGCTGTGACCTCCTTAATTCTCGTCGTTGGAACCTATGCTGCCTTCATAATCTTCGGCCCTCAAAATACCTCTGGCTGGCTTCATCTCGGTTGGACTTGGACAATCTCACTCATTTTGCCCGTCCTGGTCTCTTCGTTGATTTCAATGTCTTGGTTTTTGCAATCACTTTGTGTTGACTCACCAGTTCGGGTCGTTGCGGCGAAGATGCTGCCTTTTCTTGTTATGACTTTGATGTCAACAGGTAAAAAGCAAATCGAGAAAGCAAAAGTCTTATTTTTTTCTAGTTGTCGTTGTTGTCTCCTTCGGCCAGCCTTCCTCAAAAACCGTCGAATGGACCGCCTGCTTCATCTTCATGACGAAAACTGTCATGCTGGTCATTGCCTTCATACCTTCCGCAGAAGATGTCAGCAATCCCTTCCTCTGGTGGTCCCGCCGATTCGGCCCAAGAAACCGTAAAGAGGGCGGAACAATGGAAAGCTGTAAAACTGGACACATGGGAGCTACTCCAGAGCAAAGCTGGTTAATCGCCGATAATCGGGCCTCATTGGCTGAATTTCGCTATATTCCAGTTGTCCACAACTTGACCAATCCAAACTATGCCAAACCACGGGCTTATCTCTCCTCGGAACGAATCTACTCCGAAATTGGACCGCCAGAAAACCACCCAATTGATCAATACCGACCGGCTACGATTCAGCATTTCCGCCAAGACTCTTGCCAAACCTGGAGCGAGGAACTTTCGAATAATTCAAACAACTCGCAGCGCGAACGAGAAAGAAAACGAGAAGACTCGGGAGTCCATACCGCGCAGAATAGCTCGGATTCTGAGCGAAATTCGCCTGTGAGAAATTTGGAGAAAATTCATCATCACAAGAGTGAAAGCATTTTGCATCCGTCGGAACCTGTAAATATTTAATTTGAACATACTGTATTTTGAGAAAGAAAAGATATAATATTGAACCTGTACAATTCTTCAAATGAAAATAAACAAAAGACGTACTTTGAAAAATTATGAATTACAAAAAGTATTCGAGATTTATTCTTATACCGTATATACGTCTACGTATACTTCAAGTTGACATCTATAAAATTGTTCAGAACAATTTGTTCTCCATAGCAATGAGCGTAAGATTTGCTATTTTTCTGATACGTCTTCGCAATTTTAACAAAATATTAGAGAAATGGGAAAGTCCCTACATTATTTAGGTATTTTATTAGGATTTCTGAATCTTCCTTGGACTTTCATCTGCGAGAGTTCAAAAATTGAAAATGATAATTATGAAAATGAATGTATTTTTTTCAATAAAATTGATCTCAATCAAGGTTTATACTTGCAAGAACTGATTGGTGGTACGAAAAAAGAAGTGATGATTCTTTCTTTAATGAGACGAAATGGTCTCTTTTCTCCATCGCGTTATTTGTTTGTTCAATTCATGCTCTTATGGAAGTTTTCGTTATAAGTTATAAAAATCTTGATTCAAGAGAGTAATGAGACATATCAGAGAGATTACGAAAAACCTAAAAGACTTATAATTGTATGCGCAGCAGTTAATACATTCAATTCTATGACCGCCTTCTGGGGATTGTTTGGCTACCTTATTCTCTAAGTATTTGTGTCCCTTATGTTTATGATTGTTTTGAAGACGATGGATGATGAAAAAGTATCAAGCTTCTGAATTTCTAATGCATTGATATTTTGCTTCAGAAAATTGACGAAAAAATAGCTAACTTCTGGAAAGACAAGGGAATTACTCCAATCGATGCCCCTATTCGCCAGCAAAGAGGGAACTCAATAACTTCTTTATACGGGCTTGTATGCCGAATTTGTTCTGATCCTTTTGATTTTCAACAACGAAGAGATCCAACGCAAGATCGTTATCGAGCAATGGCAAATTGTGGTCATGTTTTTTTGCTACAAATGTCTTAGGAAAGTTATTCCTATTTTTCTTAGTAATCTTTATATTGCAAAGATTATCAATAACTGAAAGAAACACTCTTAATCGCAATCCAGTCTGTCCAGAGCAATCTTGTCGGGTTTCTGCGCGAATGACGGACATAAAAGAAGTTTATTTTTAGTGAATCCTCATTCCTGATATTTTTTTATAAATAAACCTTTTTATTTTTAGCAAACAAAAAAACCATGTTTTAATTATTTATTTCTCCATCCTTCCTTGTCTTCCTTCTTTTGTGCGTAAATGTCGAGCCTAAGACACAGAAGATTAGCACGTCTCCTAACAAAAAACTCAACCACGAACGAAGAAAAAACATTCATTCCCGAGAGAAACGATGGAGACGGACTTTGTAAATATGACGTACAAAAGCAAGATGAGCAATTTTGACTGGTACATGGAAGTTTCAGTGATTGCCCTGTTGATGAGCATGATTTTGGTTCATTTTGCCTGGTGGCACATGAAAAATGTGATGAGGAAGAGTCATGAAGAGGAGGAGATCTCACTGTATCAGGTTCACACTTTCGTATTTAATTTCGGCTTTATCGGTTATTAACTTTCAATTTGGGAGTGGTGACAACCATACATTTTTAACTTTTAAAATTCCATCAATAATTTTTTTTTAATAAAAATTATGATCTTTGAGAAAATAGTGTTGTTACGGTTTTCAATTTTTATGAAAAATTAGTTTTCTAGAAATATCAACATGCTAAAGATAGCCTTAGAGACGGGGTCGTCAATATGGAAAATTTTCGAATTTGATAACTTTGACCACATTTTTGAAAACATTAGATTAGTTTTTTCTGCCAAATGCAACCATATTATGGTGTTTATCATAGTGAGTTTTCAGGATGAAGTTTATACAAAAGACCGAAAAGAATCCTTCCCATTTCTTCAACACATGGCCAAACAATCAATGTACTACGTTTTTCCTGTAAGTACTCGTTTCTCGAACAAAAAAGAAATCGTGTTTTGAAGATGCTTGGCGATGCAGGAGAGAGTCCACAATTATCATCAGACGACGAGACAAAACCAATGATTGGAAAATCGCCCTCGGTCGACGGTTTCTTCATCGGTGATCATCCAAATGACAGTAACTCGGATGCCCCGTCGATTTCAGACGATTATTTGAATGTTCAAGATCTCAAGAAGCAGTTTCACGATCCGTTGACTAGAGTTAGGAATGTTTTCCGGAATATTAATACCGTCAAAATGACTGTTTACCCAATACCGTATTGGTTAAGGGAGACCTTTCATTCATGAAAGAAAAATTGAAAAACATCAAAAGTTCTGCCCCGCCAAACAATCTTCTTTACTGATGAAATTTTAAGACTAAACTGAGCATTGAAAATAAACTTTTAAAATCAAAAATACTCGTGTCTATCAATATTTTTATTTGACTTTCTTTAGACAATTTTCTCTGCCGGGTCTAAGCCAAAAAACAACCATAACTCCTGTGCTCTTACATAATATTTTCCTTCTTTGCGTTTATTAAATTTCTCATTGTATCACATGCGAATAACCGAAATGCTTTTAAGCTTCTTAATTTTCTCCGATAGTAATTCTCGTCGAAACTCATTCAAGGAAATGTCCTGCTTGATCAGAGAACAAAGTCCTTTGTAAGCAAAGACTGGATAGTCACTTCTTCAGGGTTAATAGGTTCTCGGGTGAAAGCTTGGAGTCCAAGCCTTGGACTCAAAACCTGTGAAGAAACCAGAGTCAGGGTCTTGAAAGATCGTCGCTGCCATATCTCAAAGCTTATCCAAGACCCTGACTCAGGTTTCTACACAGGTTTTCGAGCCTGAATTTATGGCTAAAGATCAAGTTTCAACCCTTTTTCAGTCGGTAGGCATGGCAAATGAGCCCAAAAGGTAAAAGAAAAAGCCAAAAATCGCATTTCTTTCCTCTAGTTTCCTCAAATTTGAGACCGAACTAGTCTCATAATTAATTTGAAAGAGGCTCAATTCGAATTTGTTTTATTATTTACGCGTTTAATCATTAAAACTTCCTCGTGTAATGAACCCGATTCCGTACATATCTTCAATCAATTTTCATTTTCGTCAACACAATTTCTCAATTTCAAATTGCGCCACTAAAATAATATTTTCAACTTCTAGAGCGGTAGAGGGGGTCGCCGGGGAACAGTGATTGAGTGCGATGGTGCTAAGTCCACGTTTCAGACTTTGCGAGTCTACGAATCTACTCGTTTTTAATTCTGAAAAGCTTCGCGGGAGATCACTTTCAGAAAGAAAGAGAGAGTCTTGTTTTGTTTTTCAGGCGCAAGGATAAGCCTTTTACAACGGCAATATGACACTTTCTTGGATGGAGGAGCTTTTAATCCTGTCAAGTAAGTTTTCCATAAAATCGGTCGATGGTCAATTTTTGGATCGATCGGTGGATTACTGGACCCGAACCGACTCATAACGGACCACCGACCAGATCGAGAAACAAAAATCCAAGGCCAGATTCTCGGTCAGATTTCAAGGGGGCAGACACTATCTTACCAATAAACCAACAATAACTCACCATCCGACCCTGTCGACCCTTGTAGATCTCAAATTTCAGAGAAGTTTGTCTTCCGATAAAAATTTCATCGCTAATTATGTAAAAAAATTGCGATGAAATTTGCCCCGCATAAAATCTACCCGTTCTCCTTGTTGATTTCCCCAACAGAGTTCGAAATTCCCGCGAACTTTTGCGGGTGCGGGGGGGAGCGGGAACTATGACTGAAATTTTTCGCGGGGGCGGGGGAGCGGGAGCAAGGTCGAAAATTTTTGCGGGAGCGGGGGAGCGGGAGCAAGTCCAAAAATTTTGCGCGGGAGCGGGGGCGGGGAGGAGGTCTAAAAATTTTGCGCGGGAGAGGGCGGCGCGGGAAAAAGGCCTGAAAATTTGCGCGGGAGCGGGGGCGCGGGAAAGATTCCCCCTCTCTTTTGCTCCCGCGGGAGCCCGCGGGAAAGAAAAATCAACGTGAGGGCTGGTTTAAAAAGGTCTTCACTAAGGAAGAAGCCTGAGTCAGGCCCCTAAGATAATTCGACGATTGAGAAATAAAATTGAAAAAAATTAATAAAAACCATAACAAAGCTAAGAACATGAACAATATTACTTTGACGTCTTTCACATTGAATGGTGGTGGGTGGGGTTGGGGACGAAACTAAGATTGATCAACTAAGACTTCCCCGGCCTTTGTCAAGCCCCTTAAATTTGAAAACCAAGGAACGGGGCTGAAACGGCCCGAAGGGCCGTCAAGCCCCTTAAATTTAAAAACCTATTTCCCCGCTGCTCCCGCAGCCCCGCGGGAGCATTTTTGAGTTTTCGCGGCGCGGGAAGGGGCGGGAAGAAGGCGGGAAAGAACAATTTACGGCGGGAGCGGGGGGGAGGGGGAAAGATCACGAGAAAATCTCGAGGGAGCGGGGGGGAGGGGGAAAGAATATCCAAATATCTTGGGGGAGCGGGGGGCGCGGGAGAAATTTTGCTCCCCCCGCTCCCGCGGGGGCTCGCGGGAGCATGCGGCGCGGGAAATTTCGAACTCTGTTCCCCAAGAAGAATATTTTCTCCTACCGGAATGAATATTATACTCTCCCGCCTGTTCAAATAGCAACTCGAACTCCAGTTCACAAATTGACGTCTTTTCGCTATTCGATAAAGACGGAGAATAAATATTGAAAACGAAAGTAACACACATCGCTCAAAATTGTGGCTTGAACACAATACTCACGCCATTCAAGTGTGTTGATAGTGGGAAAACTCAGTAAAATACTGTAGAAAAGCGTAGATCAAGAACTTCGACAATTTTGAATAACAAGAATTATGAATAAGATATTCGGAAGGAATAATCCGGTGCCCTACTTTTTGTCAGCGAGTTAACATTGTTGACTCAAAACAACGTTTTTTCTGTTTTTAAAAACAACAATTCCGACTCCACAACATTGACTTCTCAATTTAGGGCACCGGGAATGCAGTATTCCAGATGATAACCCATCCTGTACTTACATTAAAGAAAAGACACTGGCTCCTATGCATTCTTTTGGACCATTCGGAATGACGGACCGTCGCCTCGCCAAAACGCTTATATCAGCATTTTGCCCTCGGTTGGTCCAACCCTCGGGCCAGGGATTTTTCTCATCAGTAAATATCCTGTTTTGGCTGAAAATGGCTTACAAACTAAAGGTGCGGTCATAGTCGGCAAATATCGGGCCATTGTTTTGGGCAATCTATTTGCTCGCGTTCGCGCGAGGGTTAAGGGTCACGGACTCTGAAAAAGACCAGATCATCCGGGGCGGACTGGCTTCACCAAGCCAAACCAAAACGCTAGCGCTCATTGGCCGAGACGGGTTAAATCAGCCAATGAACGCTGTTTCTTGAGGCTTGTCCGCCAGATCTTGAAGTCAGGGGGCGCTTCTTTGCTTCCAACTTGGCGAGAAGAGCTCAGCTCGCCACCCTTAGATTGTCTCGAGCTTTGAGATTAAGAGAAACGTCGAGAATTCCGGTACGAAGATAATTCTTTATTTATTCATTCATTAAATCATACGGTACTTTTTAAAGAAGCAAATAGGGAAATGTCGGCTCGAAAACCTGTGAAAAAAATCTGAGTCAGGTTCTGAAAGAAGCTGTTTTGATAGAGACGAACGCAGGTTTTTCTCTAACTCAGGTTTTCTACACATGTTACCAAGCCCAGTTTTTCATTGAAAAAAAGGAAAACATAATTTTTGGGGAAATTTTTTAATTGATAAAAGCAAATAGGTGATTTCCGGTTTATCTCCTTGTTAGAGGCTCTAACTTAGAGCGGAAATGTAATATGTATTTTAGTTTCCAAAAAGAAGCTCAGAAAGAAACTTTCAAAATGGAAGCACCCAACTCGAGCTACCAGAGATTCAACAACAAAGATTCCAACAGTCAATTTTTCAACGAATCGAGCTCAATCAACTTGACCAGCCTGCCTCGCCAACAGACGCACGTCCCTTCAAATCTAGGTACAGTGCCGATCTCCGTTCATGACCCTGGCGGCGGAATTCGATTTCGCGGAGCTCGAATTTCGGGCTAAAATAGAACATGCCGGGAAGATTATTTTCTTCCAGGAAATCCTTCTTTTCAATCATCTTCTTTTTTTAGATTTATGCAACGATGAATTGTTCGATGAACTCTTCCCCAACAACGAAAAGCTTCCGCCCAGCACGCTATCTAGCAATAACCCCTCCCCAAGTGCTCCCCAATCTGTCCTCTACGGCCACATAGCAAACGAGCTGCGCAAAAACAGCATGCCAGAAGCACCAAGACCACAAAGCACAAGTACTCTTCTCCAGACGCTCTTTCCTCACTCTCTTCCACAGGTAAATTTTATTTGCTCTTCATTTGTTTGTATCTAACTTTGATTTTCAGCAACTGAGTAACCTTCGAATGAGTTCTGGAGAAATGCCAGCACAATCGTCCCATCACCGGAATCGAAACCAGCTCAGCGAATCAAGTGCCATCGAGCAGCACATGGTGCGTTCAGCAAATATTTTGATTGACTTATTTCCGTTTCAGATGTACTTGATGGATCAAACTCCCAATCCAGTTCCTCTGCAAATCTCAGAAGTTCCCGAGCACGAAGAACGGCAAATAAAAGCCGAGCCACCAGCCAGTCCGGATTCAAATGGGCACGGTCAAGATTTGTGGATGCCTCCTAATTCGTCTCATCATTCCAGTTATGCGAAGAGTAGGAATTCCAGCGTCGATTCAGATGAAGATTATGTTCCATCGCTCTCCAATACTACCAAAGAGGTGAGTTAAAAAGAGGCTGCCGACCTGTAACTGAGTATTTAGCTGGTTTCGAACATGATAAAATCTGAGCCGGTGGACATTGAGGAGCTGACGAAGGTAAGAGTCCTTTTTTATAAACAATAATTAACCCTTATTCAATAGAAGCGCTCAAAACGTGGCCGGAAACGAAAATCAACAGAATCAGAAAACGAGCTCACCCGTGCCTACGACCGGGAAAGCAACGAATACAAGAAGAAGCGCCTAAGAAACAACATCGCCGTTCGAAAATCGCGAGATAAAGGTCCGGGTCGTATAAATTGACACTTGTCACTTGCTGACTTTTAATTATATCGTTGTTTGACGGAAAAGTCAGGCTGGGATTATTTCTGCGGTCGCAAAAATCGTAAAAAAGAGCCGTTATCGGAGTCAAAAATCGATAAAAATTATGAATAGAACAACTAAAGTTGTAAAATTACAATTTCTTTTACGCATTTTTACATAAGAATTATTTCTTTTCTGACCCCAATAAAAAGCGAAACAGCGACAAATGGAGATCCAGCATAAACTGATGGAACTAGCCGAAGAAAACAAGAGCCAAAAGCAAGTCATCGCCAAGCTCAAGGAAGACTTCGATAAGCTGGAAAGCTGCTTCAAAGATCGAAACTCACGGCTTGAGGAATCGATAAAACTCAACGTCCGTATGCGTCAATTCATCAATGACCTTCCCCGAGTTCCAGCCCAAGTTCAGTATTTAACACCCCCTTCCCTTTTCGAGCCCATCTGATTTCGTACAGAAATTGATGGGATAAGAACCAATCTCTTTTGTTATCAAGGTTAAATCCACCAATAATCGTGGCCTCCCCAGATTTAATAGATTAAGACCAATTGCTATTTTTTTCGTGTAAATATGTTCTTGAATTTAAAACTTTGCTAAGAAAACTCACCATTTTTTCTGCTTTCTAAACTTGCTATTACTGATACTCATTTTTATCTTATCTTGTATTATGTTATATTTTCGTTAAACCCTGCTTTTGAACATCTATTTTTGCTCTTTTCTTAAACTGGCAAACACAAAGTGATGCCAACAGTGAAACCCTAGCTCTTTTCTTCCAACAAGGTGACTGAATTTTGAAAAAGTTCTATTCTAAAAATATTATTATTTAATAACTATTTATCAATTTTTATTTATTACCAAGTTCAATATTGAAAAACAAGCAATACTTTGTTCAATTCATATTTTTATTGAAATTAAACTGTACTGTGCCTATTTAAAAACTCTGATCCAAAAACTACTCATTGTGAATACAAATTTTTTGGCCATTTATTTGATTGGAAAATAAACAAAAAGATAGATTGAAAAATTTTCTTTTTTTCTTTTTGAAGTTGAAGCGCGGTCAAATCGGGATAAAATGAAGGCAAGGGGTTACTTTTCTTTCCAAATGAGCTTTTCCTTCATCCTGGTCAAAGTTCAGCAGGAAAGAATCGTCTTCAGAGTTCGCAAAAATCATGATATTTCCGTAATGTTCTTTTTCAAGTTCCAAAAAAGAGATTTTAGCCTGATTTTAAGCCTTTTTTGGTACCCTTTCGAATGAATTGATATCCTTATAGAAGGGAAATCGAGCATCTCCGCTTCTGAAATTCGTGTCCATTCTGCCGATTCGAATGAATCGTCCAGCAACAAGTCTGTAAAGAATTATAAAGTAATCTGCCTTTCTGTAAGAACGATTCCTCGAGCCAGCGGGTCAAAAAAGAAACAATAATTTCGATGCTTCACGCTCGAGCAGAAAAAGAACAGACCATCATACACAGCAGCAATGCTTCGTCCGTAAAAGATCCCTTCTTTGAATATAAAAATATTTGTCGGGCCGTATCGCGATAAAAACAGGCTCGAGTCAACACCGATGTCAGTAATGTCACCCTCTTTTAGTTGATAAGTTTTCAATGCTTCGTCGACTAAATAATGATTTCCTTGAAAATAAAGCGTTGTTTTCGGGTTGTAATCGACGCTCTCGATAAAGTCAGGTCGAAAGCTTTCGAGTACTTTTTGTGGATCAACTGCTGCGAAGGCAATAGCTGTTTTGCTGGGCTTGGCAACCTGTGAAGAAAACCAGAGTCATGGTTCAAAGAACGCCGGGGCATCTCTCGCAGCCCTGACTCCGGTTTTCGGCACAGGTTCCCGAGACCACCTTTTTGAAAGATGATTCGCTCATAGAGGATTTTCAATTCGAGTGTCCTAGAATCGACAGACGCCATCGTCGAAAAAAGCTCTCTCATATCAGGAGACGGTAAATAATCATCAATAGCTTTGCCGTGCTCTTCATGCACTTCTTCTGTTATTTTAAAAAGCGGATCATCCTCTTTATAGTACCAGGCGAGGGGGATCTTTTCGACATCCACATGCTCGCATTCATAGAACGCGCAAGGGCATCCCTTTGCACATAGTCTCTCAAACGGGCAAATTTCGTTCATTTTTCCAGTATCGCTCAAGTGGGACTGGCAAATATGCTGACAGACAGCCACATCTTCCTCGTTGATTTTCGAACATAGATCTTCACAAATTTTGAAGTCTTAAAAAGATAATAAAAATAGGGCAAAAAGATCTTACCATAGTAATTGAATCTTTTGCATCTCTTAACATTCACTTCTTGCTCATCATTTGTATAAAAATCCTCATCAAAATTAACTGCTTTCTCATGAATTTTCGGCTGAGATGGAAAGATGAATTCCCCAGTCTCTCGCATACAAATTGAGAAACTCACGTAGCAACTGCTGTAAGGAAATTCGCCAAGACATATTTTAAGATTTCTCGAACAAGTGGTAGTTTTGAAGGTTTCCAAAGGCACAAGATTTTTGACGCCTTCGAAATTTGCGATCAGAACTATGCTCTGCCAGAATAGAGAGCCAATGACACCGTAGGTTATTTTTTGCTTTAGAGTTCCGAAACCGCTGATTAGATTGGTTTGCCTTGATTTTTTGAGGAAAAATTGACTTACTGCTTTTTTAACGCAAATCGCTTATGATCAACGTACTCGGTTTTGAAAGTCTGGGAGCTCGTGGGAACCAAAACAACAAGTTCGTTGATTTTTCTCACAACTCCAGAACAGTTGCAATCCAAACACTTTATTTTTTAATTTATCTTATCTTTTTCCTAAAAAATGAAACTTTTTTTTCTAATTCTGTTTGCGGCATAATTTTAATTTGTCCTCTATTTTGAATGAAATGATTCTCTGTGTATTCTAACTCCCAGAAAAAGTAGAGTTTTTGTGCGTAAAAATGTCAATTTTGAAGCATGATATTTCCCTAACCCAAGTTTCGAATATTTGCAGTCTAAAAAATGAGGTCGTTCGTCTTTTACCTAACAAAATTTTACTTGAAAACAGATAAACTTGATTTATTTTGTTTAAAAAAATGATATTTTGAACAATTAAACGCCCATAAAATGAAGTCCAGGAGTTTTTATTCTTTCAAGATGCGTCTTCTGGTCGCCAGACTCGAAATTCAACTGAAAAATATCTTCCTCTGAATTCGCATAAATCATTATTGCGCCTAAGTGATCTGTGTTGAGTTAAATCAAGAGAATCTATTAGGACTCTTCAGCATTTTTTAACTCGTGCCGAATACATTTATATCTTTATAAAAGGGATTGAGGACATTTGAATAAGCAAAATTCGTCTCCATTCGGTCAATTCGCACGAATCTTCCAGCGACGAGTCGGTACAAAATGATAAAATATTTTGCTTTCGTAAAATTATGATTCGAAAAAGTCGCCAAGTAGGGCTGGCTCATGTCGACAAAAGTTGATTTGCCAAAATCGAACTCACGCCATCGAAAAGTTGCAATAAAAAGGACTCCTTTCCTGTCTTTTTTAAGATACTCAAACTATGATATCAAAAGTTTACTTGACTTTGAAAGAGCTTTCCAGTCCTGGAATCGGATAGAAGTCGTTAATAACTGTGTCAAATGGCAGTTGAGTAATCTGCGATCCAACTATTTCACCATGCGAGTCATTCCTAAATTCCTTCTCCCAAAGTGGGTCTTCGTAATAGCTAACGGTCCAATCGCGATATCTTCTTTCCATTCTTTGAAGCTGTATATTATGGCTAGCTATAGAATCGACAGATAGAATATTCAGTTTTTCGTTGAAGACAAAAGCGTGTTTTCGAGTGTCGTGTTCACGTGATTTGATTCTTCCTCTTGCTTCGAGGATTCTTTTTCGTCCGCGAGTCAGCGGGTCGAAATAGAAGCAGTAGTTTCTGTATTTGATCGTCGAGCAAAAATAAAAGTGATCATCGAACACTGCAGCGACGGAGCTTCCCTTTCCATTAAACATCAGACGATTCGTCACTCCATATCTTGAAAGCATCGCTTCAGACTCAACTCCCAAATCGATCAAGAGCGCCTCCTTTTCATCATTAATCATATTAGTATTGAATTCAGGGTCGACGAGATAGTTTCTTCCTTTGAGGTAGAGCGCAATAATCGGGTTGTAATCAAGGCTGAGAATAAAGTCTGGTCGATAACTTTTCAGGCATTCTGGCGTTATTTTGTAAAAGTGGTTGTACCAAAATTTGTAGAAGAGAACTCGCTCGTAGATCTGTTTTAATTTCAGCGTTTTTGGATCGACAGAGGCTAGCCTTGAAAAGACCTGTCTCAATCTAGGTGCAGGCTCACTCGGATCAAACATAACTTGATCCATGGTTGTTGAAGCGGTCTCGTCATTTGTCGTCTTTATCGCGTCGAAAAGAGGGTCATTCCCTTGGTAGTACCAAGCGAGAGGAACTTGATTTGTATCCACGTGCTCGCACTGATAGTAAATACAAGGGCAACCAGCAGGACAGAGTTTCTCAAAAGGGCAGATTTCATTTATTTCTCCTTTTTCGCTCAAATGCGATCGGCAGATTTGGCGACAAAGAGCAACATCTTCTTTGTGGATTTTCGAACAGAGTTGCTCGCAAATTTTTAAATCTACGAATCAAATTTTAATTATTTCAGAAGAAAAATTGGTCTTACCGTAGAAGTTATATCTTTTGCACTTTTTTAAATTGACGTCCTGCTCATCTTTCGTATAAAAATCATCATCAATATTTTCTCTCGTCTTGTAAGAGACTATTTGAGCCGGAAAACGAAATTGACCAGTTTCGCGCATACAAGTAGAGAAGCTTTTGTAACAATCACCATACGGAAAGTTGAGTAGACATTTCTTAAAATTGCGCGCGCAGGTTTTGGTTTTGAAAGTTTCCAAAGGAGCAAGATTTTTAACGCTTTCGAAGTTGGCTATCAAAACAATGCTCTGCCAGAAAAGCGTGCCAAAAAGCAGGTAGCTTAATTTTTGGCGAAGGGTTCCGAAGCCACTAGATTTTGTAAAAGAAAAAAGTTCATCAAGGATTTTTCTACGTACTGTTTCTTGAGAGCAAATTTTTTAGGCTGACGGTAATGAAATAAAGCTTTTTCCTTTGCTGGGACCAAAACGCCTTCGTTGTTAACGATTCTTACAAATCCAACGCAATCGCAATCCAAGCACTTTGATAGAGGATATTTGACTGCAAATATATTTTTTTACCTTTATCTCTAACTCGTCAGTTTTCATTTTTAAGGACTTTGACGAACTTCTTTCGAAATGAGGTACCCTCGAGGAAAATTCTGACAGTTCTGAAGCTTGCCATTTCTCTCGACCTTTTTCAGAAACCACAAAGACAGATCTCCCCCAAGAGGTTGATTCTTTAGGTGTAATATTCGAGAAAGCTCTACCCTAGAGCCTCTAGAAAATGCAGAAGTTGCGAAAATTTCACACGTTGCGTGAAAACCGCGCCGATTTTATGCATGTCTGATTTGCTCCGCCAATATTTCAAAGTCTATTTTTTATTAAGTTTTTTGGAAAGAAATAGATTTGAGGTAAGAATTTATTCATCGATGCAGGCTCTTTTGTTGAAAGGCTTCGTCTTCGAAAAGTCCATTCCTCTTTGATCCAGCTTCGCGGTAACGCTAGAAATCGATAAAACTCTCGACTATGAATTTCTCAACTCACCGAACTTCGCCACTATCGTTGCATTTATTTCTGCAGAAGACGGTCCCTCCTTCCTTTGCCAAGCAGCTCCAAGTTCCTCTTCTCACTTTGTGATTTTCCTCAAGAAAGGCGGGAGTCATGAAGGTTTCCACTTCATCCCAGCAAGACAGCTGACCCCTGATAGTTTCCGATAGGATTTCAGCTTCTCCATTCCGGGCGACGATTTTCGCGGAAGCGCGTTTGAACATCGCTGAATTGAAAATATTGATGAAAGAAAAAGATGCTCTCTAGAGGAAAATTTGTTATCATAATCGTCTTAATTGTCTATGTACCAAAGTCTATTATAATCACGTTATCGAAAATGGAACCTGACTCTTGTGAGACTCTTATCTTTATATATAAACCCCTTATCTATGTCATAGAAAACGTTTTGCATTGAAAGATAGGTACAAATAATCCCGCATAATCCGAAAGATAACAATTGCACTTGGCCTTCTTTCCGCTACTCACGCAAATAATTGAAAGTCCCGTCGAAATCCGGGCAAACAGCTTGGCACTTTGCGAGCATTCGTTTCTCCGTCTTTTCTATTTTCTCGCATTTCCACTCTCCAGCGATTTCGATCGCACTCAATTCAGCAACTTTAGCATCAATTGCTGCACTATTCGCGGCTTGATCGGCCAAGACGGAATTGACGAGAATGGCGGAAGTAAAAAAATTTCATATTTTTGATGTCCAAAAAATATCAATCTGGTGAATGAGACCGTTTTTCCGGAAAAGAGAAAGCTGTGAGTCTGGAAAGGGCGCCCGCGAGTGGAGAATTTGGAATTTGACGGTGGAGTGGGTTGAAATTTGAATTTGAAATCTTTGTTCAAAGTTCATAATGATTTTCTTATGTTCCCAAAAGAAAATCCGTTTCCTGAATAAAAAATTGCGAAAAAGCAATTTTGCAACGAAAGGTAAATCCAGAAGGGTAAATTGTATAAAGAAATTCGTTGTATTGTTTTCCGCGAACATAAAAACTATTTGTCGTGCAATTGTTCCACCAAAATTAAGCAAGATGCGTTATCTATACTCACCACTTCACGTTTGTTTTTGGTGGCGCGCGAGGAATTGGTGCTATAAAATTCTTGAGATCGGTCTTTTTGAGTGCAATTCAAGTGAAACCAGCACTTCAAATTCTCATTACTTTTTTGAAAAAAATAGAAAGAGAAAAAAAACAATATGGCAAAATTCTTCAAAATTTTAGCTTTGGTGAGTCACCCCAAAAAAGATATAAATTTCAAGTTTTATTTTAGAGTGGAATCTACGCTCAAGGAAACGGTAAGAACAGCGGTAACGGCAACAACGGAAAACCCGAAACTCCTCCTGGCCTTGACGGCAAAGAACTCCCGTCGAACAACCCTTTTTCAGGCTCTGGAGACGGCTCTGGCGAAGAACCGTGTGAGTACACCTTCGAAACGATGACTGAAATCATCTGCAACCCTCAAAGCCGTGGATTGAGAATTTCCAAGTGCGGACTGGAAACGACTCCATTTTCGATCGATGACTTGTACATGGGTTCCGAGTCGTGCACCGCTACCGACGCCGTCGATGGCGACGATGGCTGGTGGAACTTTCTCGCTGACACCGACAACTGCCCGGCGAATCGGCAAGTCAACGCGACTCACGTGGCCTACGAAGACCACATCCTCGGCTCCATCGGAAGGGCTCATTCTGGCATCACTCGCGTTAGAAACTTCGACGTCGAGTTCAACTGCGACCTCCTAGTAGACTACATCGTCTCTTCCCAGAAAACAGAAACAATTCTTCACTACATCGAAATGAGCATGGGCACAGAGCTTGGAGTCTTTCCTGTGACCATGGCAATCTATGAGGATAATTCATTTAGCTCAGAACTCCCAGGTTGATCAACGCTTTCTTCATGGATCTTAAACATTCACCTTTAGCGGATTCCATCATTACAGTTCCAGACCCAGTACACATTGCTGTCCACGTGAATAATGAAGGAAAATGTTAAAAATCATCAATATTTCCAAATATTTCTAGTTTTTGAATCGTTTTATAACATTGAACAGGAAGTCTTAACATCGTCACTAAAATTGAAGAATGTTGGGCAACTCCAAGGTAATTATTTTTAATTTGTTAAAAAACACAACTTCTTGTAAATTTATCCGAATGTTTAAGTTCAAACCTAAGTGATTCTTCTTTTTATTTAATTTAATTCTGATGTATTTTGACCACGCTTTTTGTGCTTATTGATAACAATCCCCCATTATCAAAACTTGATTTCTCAATAATTTCTAGCGCGGACCCAAATGACTCAATCTTCTTCAAATTTATCGAGGACGGGTGCGGTCTTGATTCCGAGCTCTACGAATACGAAACTCTCGAGGTCTTCTCAAATGGCGAGGAGACATCGGCGCGATTCAAGATGGACTCTTTCTTGTTCATGGCACAAGAAGACGATGGCGGAGAGCAGATCTTTTTCCACAGCAGCGTCAGATTATGCGATACAGACATTGAAAATTGCGCTCCAACTTGCGAAGAACCAGCTTCATTAGAAGAATCCTCTGAAGAATCTGCTGACGAAAGTGCGCAGAGAAGAAGAAGAAGAGATGCGGATGAAGATAGTTTCCATGATACTCACGTGATCAGCACTAAACCAATTTCTGTTAACCGAGGATAATTAAAAGCTCCTTTCTGTTAAAAAATATCCTTTGCTTCAAAATTTCAAATAAACAAAAATCTCTTCACAAGACTGTTTATTCCTTTATTCTCTTCAAATTGATAAGAGCATCTTTTGCAGCTCGTGATAAGCCGCACAGCTGTTTTCTTTCTTTTTGTTTTCCTTTTTGCTAAAAAATTTCTCAGAGATGATTTTTCAATTTCTTTTTCTTTTAGCAATCGCAAAGGGAAAGTCGTATGCAACGAAAGAAAATGAGCCAGAGGAGTTTTTGTCGACAGAAGCGCTGGTTTACAAGAAAATAATGGCAGATTATGATAGCGATGTTCGCCCGGGAAAGACCGAGTACGATGGTGGGCCGATAAAGATGACGCTCGATTTGTACTTGATGAGTTTGCTGGGCATTTCCGAAAAACAGGAGCAGATGATTACTTCTGGCTATACCACACAGGTTTTACCAAATAAATGGTCGCAAATTTATTTTCTAGAGCTGGTACGATTTTCGTCTCTCTTGGAACTCTACAGAATTCAACGGACTAGGCATAACAAATACAAAAGCATCAGACCTCTGGAAACCGAATTTGATTCTGTACAATTCTGATGACGGCGCTTTCAAAGCTTACATTCAAGAAACTAGGGCGCTTATCAATTCCAATGCTTACATTCAGTGGCTACCTCCAGCGCTGTTCAAATCTTCCTGTTCAATGGATGTGAGGCTTTTTCCTTTCGACAGACAAATTTGCAATATTACTTTTAGTTCGTCAACTTATGATAAGAGGCAGGGCTTTTTGCTTTTTTACCTTTTCAACTTTTCGAAAATTTTTAGAGATTTGGAATTCAGCTACAGTGAATCGCCCTATGTCGTTGTCGACCCCGGCTTCATGGAAAGCGAGTGGCATCTCAAGTACTGCCCAGCATCAATTTCCGTCCGAACATCCGAATCTGGGGAGGAGTTTTCACAGTATACATTCTCCCTCTTTTTGGAAAGAAAACCGCTCTTCTGGATCTTGAATATTATCATTCCGATTATGCTTATGTTCTTCCTATCTGCCGGCGTTTTCTATGTAAGTCAAACGCAATTTATCTGTTTTTTTTTGTTCTATAGCTTCCGGTGGATTCTGGAGAAAAAATGACCCTGTCGATTTCAATTCTCCTTGGTCAAACTGTCTTCCTCTTTCTCCTGGCTCAAAGGTATGATATCGCATAAGAGCCCTACAGAATGCTTCAGAATGCCCGAAACATCACTGACACTTCCGTTGATCGCGTTGTACCTTCTGTTTACCATGTGCATGGTCACGGTTTCCGTCATTTTGTCCGTCGTCGTTTCAAATATACATTACAGATCTACGTCAACTCATATGAAAGTGTTCAAAATCTCAAAAAAATCGTCAATTTGCTCGATAGAAAGCTTTATTTTGAACACTAGAAAGCCTTCCAGGCTGGATGAAACGGTTGTTCATTCTGAAGATCGCACCAAAAGTCGGGCTCTACCGACCTAATATCGAAGGAATAATCCTGCCGACTGACAACAAGCGACGAAAAGCTCATTCTGCGGCGAATTTCGTCGACGACAGCTGTTTCACCGCCGATCAAGACGAAGGAGCGTATCCCGCGCCTCGATCCAGTCGGGCAAAACCACTGGCGAAAGAGCTAAAGCCGGCGATAGAGGCGATTCATTTTATTACCGAAAAACTTCGGCTAGAGGATGAGCAAGAAATGGTGGAGGAAGATTGGAAGTACATTGCGTTGATTATTGATAGATGCTTGTTGTATGTTTATACATTTATCTGCGTCGTTGGGACTATTATAATTTTCGCACAGGTAAGGACTTCAATTATTTAGTAGCAATCTGATTTTTATTTAAGAAAAACTTGAAAACGGAAGATCCGGCTTGGGTCCAAGATGAGCTCTGCAAGACTTGCTACAATTTTCCCGAAACGAACTGTTGAATGAACAATAAATCCCCAGTGAAACATCTTGCCGAACTGTTTCTCTGAGAAAAATACCGGACTATGATTTTTACACTTGTCAAGTGAAAACCGCATCTAGACAGAAACGAATTCATAATTTAAGCGATGACGCTAATTTAATTTCCAGATCGATCCCTATGCAAATCCCTTTCGATTGGAAGGAGAGAGTTTTAAAAATTTCTATGTCTAAAACAAACACTAGAACATCCGGATCGAGAATCTTAAAAGAACGTTGTTCATTTTGAATGAACAACATTTCGACTCAAATAAGAAAATATTATTTTATTAGAATAATAAAAATAGAATAGGGAGAAATGAAAGAGTTAAGTCTGAGCAAGTTTGACGCCAGTCATATTTTCAATAACAGTAGGAAGTTTGGCGACAACATCGAGAATTTCGCCAGTGAGCTTTCCAGCGCCAATATCGCCGTTTCCAGTGGCGACCATGGTGATTTTTCGCGCATTGGCGATTGGAGAAGCGATTTCCAAAGCAACCTGAGAAATGATAAATTTTTAGCTTTTTCATCAGTTGACTTACCTTTGGAAGAGTTTCCAAAACCATGTCAACAATAGCAGCATCTTTATAATGCTTCCATGCTTCAGCCTTCTTTCGCATCTGTTCAGCCTCTGCCTTGGCTTTCTCGTTGATTGCATAAGCCTGGGCTTCTCCTCGAAGTTTGATGAGTTCAGCTTCGGCCTCGGCTTCAAGGACGAGTCGTTGTCGAGCGGCTTCGGCGGCGACTTCCATTCGGTACTTTTCTGCCTCGGCTGGTTTCTTGACGTTGGCTTCAAGTTCTTTCGCTCGTCGGAGGATTTCCTGCTCTAAAAAAGGGATTCGGAAATAAGCAAGAGAGAGAGAAAATACCTTGAATTTCAATCTGTCGCTTTCGCTCAGCAACTTTCACCGCCATTTCAGCGTTTTTGACCTCTTGTTTTGTCTTGGCTTCCTGCAGTTTTTGCGCCAACTCGGCAATGGCTTTTTCGGTATGGATTTTTTGATAGTTATTCGCCACGACCAGATCCATGTTTCGTTTAGATTCAGCGACAATCAAGTCATTTGCGAACTGAAAATGAAATTCTATAGGCTGTTTTCTTGGGTTGTTTTTATACCTTTTTCTGCATTCGTTCCTTATGCGCCTTAGATTGTTCGATTTCCGATCGCATTTTCGCCTGAGCTTGTCCAATTCTAGCTCTGGATTTGACCTCCGAGGTTTTCCCTATTCCAATTGATCTGAGGTAGTCGTTGTTGTCGCTAATGTCCTTGAGCGTGTACGAAACAAGCACCAACCCGAGGGCTTTGAAGTCTTCAAGAGCAACTTGCATGACTTTTGAAGCAAATTTTTTGCGGTCTCGTAAGATTTGGATGACCTCCATTTCGCCGATGATCGCTCGCTGGTGGCCCTCCATTGTTTCGCGGGCGAGAAATTGAATCTGGTCAGGTCTCTTGCCGAGAAAATTCTGCGCTGCTTTTTGGAGAAGATCCATGCTGTCTTGACCGGCAATCTTGAACTGCGCGACGCCGATGCAGGAAATTGGGACGCCCTTCAATGTGTTCACATTGCTAAAAAATAAATTACAGTAAGACTATACAGAAAGCGAACAGTACTTACATGGATTGGATTTCAAGAGACATTGTGTTCAGGCAAAGCTTGCTGTACTTTTGGATTATCGGCCAAACCCATTTTTTACCGCCGACGATGATGTTTTTGTTCTTTTTTGCTCTAAAAATAGCTTGACACAAATTCTGAAATTGGAACTTACGAGATACAGGCACCGGAAACGACAAGGGCTTGGTTAGGAGTACAAGTCTTGAATCCCATCTTTTCTCAAGAGGTGCTGATTGTAAACTGACTGCTTTTTCGCTAAACAGCCTTGATATCAACACTTGTTCTAGAGACAAAGTGAAAATTCGTTCAATACTTTTTTACAGTTATATCTACGAAAAACACGATTGCGGGTACGAGAATAAAAATAAGGGAACTTTGAGATTCTAGAATGATTTTCCAAAGAAGAAAAAAGCTAAATTTTTGTTCTAGGTTCAGCAACAAAGCTTCGAGTTCATTCCGTGAGAAGGTGAAAGAGGAAAACAATCAATAACGCGGAAAACAAACGGAAACAAACTGGGGATGTTGTCAATCAAGATATCTTCATGGAAGACATTTTGCTTTTTTTTTCTTCAGAATATTTTTACACCTTCAAGAGATAACTCGTCTGATTTATCAAAGAAGAACCCTTTTAAAATGATTGACAAGACGCTTTTTCGAACAAGAGTTAGGGTAAGAAATTAATTGATCAATAATAATCCTAAAAAATCTTTGAATAAAGTGTCTTGATTGCGATTGCTTTGGCGTCTTGAAAAGAAAAGGGAAGAAGGTTTACCTTTTTCCGGAAGAAATTTTGACCATTCGAAGCATTCATACTCAAGAACATGATTTGAAAAAGAAGAAAACATGGAAAAGGAAGGACACCGGAACACTGAGGTTTGCGAAGCACGGGTTTTCAACGGATCCTCAGCAGCACACTTATCTTGTTCTCGGTTCCATTTTCTGGATCACGGTTATGCTAATAGCGAACTTCGAGCGTGTTAAAAATCTTGGCCCTGTAAAAACATTTAAAACGAACACTTGCGCGCGAAATTTTAAAAAGTGTCTTCTTGATTTTCCATATGGTGATTGTTACAAAAGCTTTTCTACGTGTATGCGAGACACTGGAGAGTTTGTTTATCCGAAGAAAATAGTAATTTACAAGAAAAATGAAAAGATTGATGAGGATTTTTATACGGAAGATGAACAAGAAGTGAATCTTAAAAGATGCAAAAGATATAATTACTACGGTAAGACCCGCTTTTTGAAATCTTTTCCGAAATTTCAAGACTTCAAAATTTGCGAACAACTCTGTTCAAAAATCAACGAGGAAGATGTCGGTGTCTGTCGGCAAATTTGCCGAACGCATTTGAGCGACTCTGGTGAGATGAATGAAATCTGCCCTTTCGAGAGACTTTGTCCTTCTGGTTGTCCCTGCTTTTATTATCAATGCGAACATGTTGATACCAATCAGGTGCCCTTGGCTTGGTACTACAACGAAGACGATCCTCTTTTTGAAACAACAAGGGAATTAACAGAGGAGCAGGTTTCATCGACCAAGAGTGTAGTCCTTGATTCAAGTGAACCTGCACCCAGATTCAGACAATTGTTTTCAAGGCTAGCTACCGTCGACCCGCGAACTCTCGAATTAAAGCAAATCTTTGATCGAGTTCTATTCTTCAAATATCTTTACAAGCACATGATCGGAATAACTCCAGAATGGCTGAAAAATTATCGACCAGACTTTCTTCTAAGCGTTGACTTCAGCCCGAGTATTGCGCTGTATCTCCAAGGAAGAAATTATCTTATTGATACTGAGTTCAACACCTATCTGCTCAGCGATCAAAACGGCGAATTAACTAATATTGGAGTTGAATCTGGATCGATGCTTTCAAGATACGGCATGACAAATCGTCTAAGTTTCACTGGAAGGGGCAGCTCAGTCGCCGCAGTTTACGATGATCATTTCTATTTTTGCTCGACGATCAAATACAGAAATTACTGCTTCTATTTCAGCCCACTGGCACGCGGACGAAAACCGATTCTCGAAGCCCGGGGAAGAATAAAGCCTCGTGATTTTGACTCCCGTCGTCACTCATTTATCTTCGATAGAAAATTGAACATTGTATCTGTGGACTCATCAATGAGCCATAATATACAGTTTCAAAGAATGGAAAGCAGGGATGAAGATTGGACTGAGAGCTTTTATGAGGATCCGCTCTGGCAGAAAGAGTTTAGGAATGATTCGCATGGTGTCAAAGTTGGATCGCAGATTACGCGGTTACCATATGATACAATAATAAATGATTTCTATCCGATTTCAGGAATTGGTATCGATTTTTATGGGATGGTGGCGCGAGTCGATTATTTACCTCCGACAATTTTTCATTAAGGACCCCCGTCAGCTTTTTTCGAAAAATCAAATTTCGGAATTTTAAAATTTTGACCCCGGAAATGGATTCTAAATGGTCTTCTCGACTCCTTCACCTCCAAAATCGCATTTGAAAATCGGACTTATTGATGAAAACTGACGAATTTGCCCTAATTTAGGCGAAAATATTGATTTTTCTTGGTCAAATATTCCTCTTTTCTAGTTTTTGAAGCAAGTTTAACCTGCGGACGGATTAAGAACCGAAAATATGGTGTTTTTTTAAATTTCCATTTTTCGAAGGAAAACGCTGACGGGGGAGGGTGGTCCTTAACTCGCAAAGTCTAATATTATTATCAAATAAAACAGATCGAAATGGAGTTCTGTTTGTTGCAGTTTTCCGTTGGCGTGAATTTAGCTTAAATGGAAACCATGCTTTCAACAACCAGAATAATCCCTATTTATGGAGTTATTCGAATAATTATAGATTCGAGAGAGCAAGATACTTTATCATTTTGTACCGACTTGTTTCCGGAAGATTCCTTCGAATCGACCGAATTGAGACAAATTTTGTCTATTCAGATGTTACGTTTCCTTTTTACAAAGATATTAATGCATTTGTCATGAGTTTGAACAAGCAAAAATCTCTTCGATTATTTTCTGCAAACTCGAAAAAGAAAACTTTGGTGAAATCATGATTTATGCTAATTCTGAAAATGATACATTTCAGTTGAATTTCGGCTCTGGCGACGAAAAGACGCATCTTGAAGCAATCAAAACTCCTGGACTACATTTTATGGGAGTTTGATCATTGAATGTGAACTTTTGAGAATGAAATAATCACAAGTGTATTTTAAATTTATTATTGAATGTCCAAAAACAGCAGAATTTCAGTAAATTTCAACAGTTTGCTGGTACTTCTTATCCTTTTTCAATTCTTCAGTCAGTGATTCAGCCGAAATCTCATCTTTGTCGGAGCATTGGAACTCCCAGGGGAATCGCGTTCGGAAAAAATCCTGATTGAGCGGCTTCGAGGCCATCGAAAACATCATTTTTCGCTTGACTGGGACTCCAGAAGGAAGCCATTTCAGAAACGCCCATTTTTCGTGGGTAATGCAGTCGTTGTCGACTTTGTACTCGATCGATCGCTTGTAGGTGAAGTTGTACAGAATGTATCGAACATCCGACTTAATGAAATGCGTGAAATTTTAGAGGCAAAAATTCTCTTACCTCAGGCAGCGAGTCGGTCAGTTCTCTCCAGCTGTTGTCCTCAAATCCGACGGTTCGATCAACCTCGATGCTCTTCAAGTCTTCCGACAATTTCATCGAGAAGCCTTTAATCTTCTTCGCCTTGATATCTTTCCAGGCTTGCTCAAGCACGGGAGAGAAAATCATTCCTTGGATTTTTGTCATTTTTTGTACTTTTTCAACTTTCAAATGTGATTTTTGCAGGAGAGAACCGCTCGTTTTAAAGCATTTGAGGGATTCTTGAGAGTTTCCTTATTAGGAAAGCTCGCCAAATAAGGGCAGCGCCCGAAGGTAAATAGAATTTTTTGTGAATAAGTGGCGATAAGTTGTCTTTTTCCTTTTATGGCTATTGTTACGCGGTGACGAATTTTATGACAGAAGGATTTTTTTAATTAAAAGATGTCATTTATTTACTGAGTTTAAGGTTTCGACAAATTTGATATTATTTGCATCAGTTGCTCCAATTTCAGCCATTTTCGTGATCGCCAATATCTGTCTTTTTCTGATGGCTCCGAAGATCTCCTTTGTTTTGAGGAATTTCTTCGTGTCAAAGAAGAGGTAAAGGACAGCAAGAATGCAGATTCCCGAGGCGCCCGCCATCCCATACGAAACTAGAAAATCAAGAAGATGAAGGGTTATTATTTTTAACCTGTTTTAAAGTCGAAGTTTTCAGCATCAGATTGACCACTGAGGATGATTTTGTAAAGCGGGTCATTGACCAGGCTGACGAATATCATCGGGACCGTCATAACAGCGTAAAGAAATTGAACCATCGGAGGCGGAAAGTACGAGAAAAGCAGCTATAAAAACGTCTGCTTTTTCTCGTAAAGAATGAACTTACGAGCCAAGGAGTCGAATAGTGAATCGGGACGATTACGAGGGAGAGAAAATGAGGGTCAGAGCAAGAGCTCTAGAATCGGGAGCAGAAGCTTGGTAGGTCATCATGATTGAACAACCAATCGTGACAGCGATGCAGAATGTCATTTGAATCAACAACGCATTCAGCTAAAAAGATAGTTGAGCTATTCTCTTCCTTGATTTCCGAATTAATAGAACCTTTGTTCGCAGCTCCCCAAAATGATAGTCTTTTGGGTATCGCCGGGCAAAGAATTTGATCAAAAAGGCTGGAAGAAATGGAATCACGGCGAGGAAAAAGTATGTGTAGCCATTGATGTCGATTAGGAAAGTGATCGAATTCTCGATTTCGCCGAGACAGTCTTCATCAGAGAATCTTTCTTGGAAGTCACTGCACTTGAGGGATCTGTAGGCATGTTGGATCCAGGACGTCATCCAGCCTTAGATGTGATTTTTGAAGAAGAAAATTTTCTGTACCTTTGATCGTGTTTATTCTAAAAGTAATAATCGTGTAGTAAACCCCGTAAATCGGGTAGATCCAGTTTTTCATCTGAGGCAAATGATCTCTTATTGGTGGTCGTTTTTGAGCTGCTGGTGGATTTTCCTTTTCGATTTCTTTCTCCTTCTTGTTTTTGCAGAAGAGTTCCACGGCGATTGCGCTTTTCATCATGTTGAATTTCGGCTCGACATAACCAGGTGGCTGCTCAGGCGGCTCGAGAGGTTTTGGGATTGGAACTGAAGGGATGAAGAAGAGTGTTCTGATGTGAATCACAAAAGACAAGATAAAAAGAATCAGAAAATATTTATTCAAGGGAAGTCCAGCTTCATAGAGCTTTTTCGCGACCAGCATCGATGTTGCAGACGAATTGATCAAGCCTGGAATCATGACGATCAACGGAGTTGTGATGGATTTATACACTGGTGCGACGAAGCTGTTAAGAATGATGTATGAAATGGAGGGGAATGCAACGAAGGTGACACCGACAAGCAAGTAGTAAGCGCTTGATTCGTAGAAAGACATCAGTAGAAGGCCAGTAGAAGTCAGGGAACCAGCGATGACTCTAGAATAAGATTTATCAACTGACCATTCCTTCTCTATGTTCTTACCGTGTCCAATGACTCCCAATGAGTGTCTGCAAAGTTCCGAAAATGATCGGCCCTGAGCAAGAGAAGATCGTTCCAATCGTCCACATCGTTCCCACCATCGCACTCGCCTCTGGGCAGTATTCCCCAGCACTGCTTTCAGTTACGGTGCAGTATTCCTCCATGAAAATTTTCTGACCCGTGAAGATTCGCTGAACGAAAGGAATACCGTAGAAGATATTCGCAAAAATCATCATTTCGATGACTCCCAAAAAGAGGGAAACATTATTCCCTAGCATTTTTAGCGCCTCTCTCTTATCGTTTCAAATTTATAATTTGTATTTCGAGCCTGCTTATATTGGTCCCTCGTTACGGGCGTTTCCAAGGGAGAAAAACGCGAAAGCAACCTTTTTGAAAAATAGACACTTGTTTTCCGTTTCTTGTCCTTCATTTACGCTTTTTCTAATAAATCGACTTGTTATTCATATATCCCCTTTCTTCTATGCGGAAATCTTGACCAACTCTGACGAACGGACGAGAGTTGTTAACCCCAATTTAAATTATAGCCTGTCTATTTTGTCAAAAGTTATGAACGACCCTCGCGATCGTCAGAAACTCACATAGAAAAATGAGTCTTCCATGATTTCTGCCAAAAATCAACACGCAGCAAATTTTAATCGCTCCTCAAATTTCAAATTCGATCACCCGCTATCGCCAAAAACTTTGGTCCAAAAACACATTTTTCTTCAAAAAATGGGAACTAACAGCAGATCAAGCAGTTCCTCCGGAAAAAGGAGGAACACTAGAAATGTGAGAAATACCCGAAGACACACGACGGAAACGAATTTGATGAGAGAAGCAGATGCGCTGCAACTTGATTCAGATATGGACCTGGAAATACGATTGCCTGGTTTTACGCTTCATACTCAGCTTCAAATTGCGATCTTTACAGGGTCGGTCTTTATTTGGACAGCGCATTGTAAGTATTACTCATTATGATGAGGTGGATAGTGAATTCTAGTGATAATAATCATCTGGCCGCTTTGGGCGCTGATGAACTCTGCCGTTTCCTCCCCAGTTCTTGGTGCCGTCTTTCTATTCAAAGGCATTTTCGTCCAGTGTTTACAATACATGCCAGGTAAAACAATGCCTAATCACTGATTAGTAATCAGTCCCCAATTAATCAGCAATCAAGGGCAATTCCAATGCGACAACTTCCTTCGACCCGTTTTCTCTCTTTCCGCCATTCAGCTCATTTTACGATCCTTCGCGATTCTCTCTATTTTTTGCGGTGCGATCAGCTTGATTCTGATGCTGTTTGGGATGGAATGCACAAAGACGTTTTTAACGAAACCAAAAATTAAGGTGACTATTATGAAAGCAGCTGCGGTTTGGATGCTTTTGGGTGCATCTATGTTATTAGTTGTTGGAGGAAGGAGTTTATTATTGTTGTTTTCAAGCGTTTTTCACGAAAAAACATCGATCAAAACTCTGAAAAAGCTATGTATTCTGCCTCCCTTGCTCAAAACTATCATGCCTCGGAGTTGGTTCAATCTTCGATGGGATCAATCTTTTCTGGCAAAGCAAATATAGACGTAGATTCAATTCGTTACGAGCTTGGTGGCTGTTGTTATGCTTCCTTCTGCGTTTCTTTCTTAGGTAAAGTTAGCGTTGGAGGAAAAGAATGATGGTTTTAGAATATTGCCTGGGAGTGGTGATTTATTTCTTCCGTGGATTTGTGAATGAAAGAAAATTGAGCGTAGCGGAACATCAGGATCAAGAAAAAGCTTATGAGGAAAAACTCAGGGCGCTAATGTAAGTTTATGATAATTTAGACGAGAATCTATTTTTTAAATTTTAGGAAAAACAAAGAAATGGAAGCCTACATGTACTGAAAGAATTTTGACATTTTTTAATAAAAAAAATTGCTCCCAAGATTGTCAATAAAAATATGTCCAAGTTCTATTTTTATCAAATTATATTTATGCCGTAATTTTAGACGTTTCTTTTTTAGATCTCGATTCCTCGAATATTTTCCCACAATAGCGCTCCCCGTTTTCCGCAACTCCGCGCGGCTCAGATGGCGCTCGCGAGTCGCTCTGCGCGCCGCCGCTTTTCGCCAATATGGAACAAATTTGGAAATTGCTCCTTCTATCAACAAAAATCTTTGTTTTTTGATTGCTAATCCGGGGATTAATTTTTGATTGACAATTAACCCAACGGAATTTCAATCACTTTTTTGAGATTTGAAGAAGAAAATATAAAAAAGAGATTCGATAGAAGACAAAAAGTAAATAAATTTTGAGTCAGGGTTGGTTTTATTTTTGTTGACAAATTAATAAATAGGAACATAAAAATTTTGATTTAAAAAAAAAAATTAAAAATTATTTATTTTAATAATATTTTAGCCATAAATATCCTTGAAAAAATTTTTTTTGCCTTGAAGGAAATTTGTGTTCGAACTGATCATTCAAATTTTTGACCAAATTTTGACTTATTTTTGCATTATAATTAGCCAAATAATAATTATAATACCCAAAATATAATTTTTGAAACAAGGACCAATTTTGCCGATTAAACCATCTATTTTCGTGACTTCTGCAATTTCACGTAAAACTAATTCGATTTCTTCTTATCAGCAATCATGAGTAAAGTTAAACCTAGGCCACTTATAAAAATAGCGCCGCTCATGAGCCGCCCGCAAAATAAATCAAAACGGGGGATCGCCGCGTTCCCAAATGCGGAAGTCGGATCGAAAAGGGTAAAATCAAAACGTTTATTAGCTCACATCACGTGGCCTTGTTAGCTGTGTCGATGGATTTATTTCAAAATGAAAGATAAGCAATAAAAGACTGATTCTTTGACCCGAATTTTGTGTCATTTTCTTAAGGGTTTACCCTTATTATTTCAAAAAATAGATAATTTCGACGATTAACCATCATTTAAGGGCGTCAACTTAAATTCACGATACTTTTCTTTGGTGATCATTTCTTAATCCGTCGACCATGAGTTAATCATTAATCAGTTCAAATCGTGCCCTAGAAAATTGCCAAAGAAAGTGAACATGCGGTTAACAACGTGCAAGTCTAAACAATAATCGACCTTGCTGATCCGTGGATATAAAAACGCGCGACCCCTTGATGGTTGAAACCATCTCAGGGTTACCACTCCCTAAATAAACAATTCGTGAGCCTGAAGGGCAGCGAAAAAATGCTCAAGGAACATTTTTGCCCTTTTCACGTTGACGTGGGACCGGATTTCACGTGATTAGCCAATTTTTAAATCGATAAGCAAATTCTGAATAAGAATGCCTATTCAACAAAATACATAAATTTACCCTTAATTTTAAGTATGTCAATTTGATAAAAATAAGATTATCTCTAGATCAGGGAAAAGAGAGTTAGTGACGTGATACCCTTAATTCTGAAATAAAGAAGGAGTTTCCTGTTTATTAATGGAGTCCCTTTTATAAATCGATTTTTAAATGGACGACCCCCTTAACTTCTTATCAATTTCTTTTTTGATTCCTTTTTGCCAAAAAACATGATTCCACGAAACTTCAAATCTGGCTGCTAAACTGGCCCTTCATCTTATTCTTCCTAAAATCGACAACCAAAAAACAATTGTTGTTCATGTTAAACAGCGCGCTTTCTTGCCTCGTATCTATCATCCTCGAATGTGTGATTTATCGCTCAGCTGGCTTCTTAATTCGATATAACGAGAACGTGCCGAAAAATAAATCAGCTGGAAGTAAAAATGATCGATTTGAAGTAGCACACGTAATCATTTTATTGAAGAAAAGAGGGTGGTTTTAAGGGTGTAGCGTTCGATTCAACACTTGAGTGATACCCTTATTCTCTGACAAGAGATAAAAAAGGACTGTTTTTAAGGGTATATCAAGGGTAAACGATCATTTTGTTCTACCGAACTTTTTAATTAAAAGCTTCGTGACACCCTTATTTTATTATCCGAAAAGAACCTTGAACCAATCACCAAAATATAAGCACAAAGATAAATCAACAAAAGCTCAGAATACGCTTTATATACCCTTAAAACGGAAGAAATAAGAGCAGAAAAAATTTCTTCAAAAATATCTTTCTCCAAGCAAAAAATTCTTCGTAGATTTTCATCTCTTCGTTTTTTGAAATTTTTCCGCATCGTCACTCATCGTAAATATCTCCATGTATAAACACCACTTTCCACAACCTAAAATCGTCATTTTTCATGATTCGTGGGTCCTTAATTCATTTTAATCTCGACTGTCATTTTGACCTGATTTTTGAGTGGCACAGGCTTATGAAAAAGAAAAATTCGCCGCACCACGTGTTCGGACTTGGATTTTAAAAATCCAGTTAAAATGACGACAGAATTAAATAATGAAATTTTCATTTAGATGGTTAGAGGGTAGTTTGAAATGGGGAGAGCCTGTTTTTTAATTCATTTAGAAAAAAGGGATTGGTTGAGCAAAGAAGATAAAGAGGGTTACCTTAAGGCGCCGGTAACATTGAGGATATTTAGGAGCATCACTGCAAACCAGGACCATAAAGCTGTCTTTTTAGGTTTCGTTTAGATTTTTAAAGTACTTTGAGACTTTGAAGATAAAATAAAATGACAAGCAACAGCTAAAACGATGCCAATCGCAGCGCGAAACCCTTAGCAAAATAATGATACAAATAGAAAAGGAAGCAAAGTCGCACAAAAAGCTACGAAGAAGAGTGACTTTTCTAGCGTAGCCCGGATGATATCTGTTTTGTGGTTGCGATAAGGATCGAAAAAGATGTGAGGATAAACTTTTGGTCAGCTCGTTTGTTGAAAACCCTCGTTTTTTAGACATCTAACATGTTTTTAACGCTCGAATTATCCAATTCATTCGCCGAGACTCAGCATTTTTATCCTTCTTTTTGCCTTATTTTAGCCGAAATAACCAAGTGACACCCTTATTTTTTACTCGATCTAAAATTTAAGGCTACGAAAATCGAGAAAATAAGTTAATAAACCAGGCTAGTAGACAGAAAAAGGCAAAAATCAGACGCAAATCTAAATATACAAGGCCGCGCCTTTAGAACTTGGGCTCACATTCCGTTACCATAATTACTCGGGGCGAGCGTGACACTTCGATAATAACTTGCTAATTGGACTATGTCATGCGTTGTCCGGCCTCACTCCCTGTATGCTAATTTATCCGCGAAGTTTCGGCATCGACTGTTCCGCGAATTTTAGAAATTATTTAACAATCATTTTCACGAAAAAAACGCTGACTTTTAATGAGCCTTTTTTTTATTTTCATCTTCGCCACCACGATTCCTGTATTCATTTTGGTCTCTGCTCAAAAAAGCCATTTCAATTTGCCAAAATTGGCGTTTTGATTTTTTGAATCTCAATGTTCAAAAACCCATTATTTATGCTGTTTTTGCTTATGTCATGAGGAGCGTAGTCTGACTCTACTTGTGCTGGTCTGTTTCGGCAAAAATAGAAAACACGTGAGGAGCGAGTCTGAGTTGTGAGCAAAATGGGATGAGAGGGACTGTAATAATTGGATTACATATAATATAAAGATATAAATATTTTTCGTTCAAACTAAACCTCAATTTGATAGTCATTTACGTAAGAAGGTGTCTTTCGAGTTAACCAATTTAAAAAATAGAGAATAAAGCTTGAATTTTATACTTAAAGATATTAATAGCCGCGTTATTTGCAGCTTCATATGAAATTTACTTGAAGCAGCAAGCGGTTTTTCGAGTCGAGAGTCTCAACTTACTCGAGTGAAAAGTTAAGTTCTGAAATTGACTTTAAATTAAGCGACTAAAAGAAAAGGGCGAAATAAAGGTTGATGACCTTAAAATTGAACTTTGAAAAGATGAATTATTTTTCAAAATCAGTGGATTATATTATTTTCTCGCGCGAGTAAATTCCGGCTAGTACCGGGTATATTTGACTTTAAACATGTCGCTACCCCGAACGGGGTGTTTTCACTTTTTAAATGCGGAAAATGGGATAACTTAAAAATTCCTGAAACAACTCGAATTTGAAGTTCTCCCGGGTTCGCCCTTCTTTTCCTGGGTTAACTTTAGAAGTGGAGTGGTGCTTGTAATAAATAAGTTTTCGAAATCTTTGGACTACCGCTCTCTAATTCGCGCTCGTCTCTCTATTCCTGTTTTAACCTAAGTAGCGGCTTTGGCTTGGCTTCAGATTTGTAGTAACCACGTGTGAGGATGTTTGGCGAACGGCTTTGATTTCACGTTCATTTTTTGCTTCTAACTAAGGAGGGGGCCCCTTAAAAGAGAAGGTAGAATAAAGATTGTCGCGTAAAAATTATATAATCCAGTGATTGCAATCACATTTTCTTAACCCTTTTACGTCGTGCAATCACCTTTCTGCGGTGATTTTTGGTCAACTGCACGTGCGAAAATTGGCTGCTGCTTTAATTTCGCGGAAGCAATAGTTCTTTTAAAAGGCAGATAATTAAAGCGCATGAACTAAGAAGCTATTTATATTCAGAGCGATAGTACTGTATTTTATCTTTGCTCCGCAGCTGGCGTAAATAACCTGAGTCAGGGTATGAAAGATCGAAAATGAAAAGCCGCGTAGCGGCTTTTAAAAACAGAGCCGCGAAGCGGCTTCGCCATAATTGGAATTAAAATTAAAAAGTAATATTTCCGAAGCCGCTTTGAGGCTTCGATTTTAAGAAAGCCGCTATGCGGCTTTTTATCTTAGATCATTCAATACCTGACTCAGGTTTTCAACACAAATTGCCGAGCCCAAGTTTTTATCACTGATAAAAATTGAAAAATTTTTCGGGTAATTTTCTAGCTCTTATCCGAAATTTATACTGTTGCAAAAATGAACCTGTCCACGCCCTTCGATCACCTCGGTGATTTTCTAAATCTCCCGCTGC